CTCTAGCACCTCCAGCTCCAGTGCCTCCAACGGCAGAGCCTCCAGCTCCTGCAGCTCCACTCCGAAGGCGTGTGCGCTGAGCAAACCACTCGCGCGACAGGCATAGTCTCGGGGAGTGGGTCTACCTGAGACACACCTGAGGGAGCAGGACCCTGAAGGGGGAGGGGGTCTACCGGAGGGGGACCTGGAGCAAGGAAGAACGGCGAGGGGGGGAGAGGGGCAGTGCGGTAGAGGAAGAGACAGTAAAAGGGATCCGACTCGTCAAACGTGACGTCCTGAGTGGGGAGGACACTGCGAGAGGTGGGGTGGTAAAACTGACGGCTAGGCGCGTCAGGGGGAAAGCCAAGGAAGACGAAGGGAATAGCGCGGGAGGAGAGCTTGTCCGCGGAAGTATTGCGAACAAAGGCACGAGAGCCCCAGACCCGGAAAACCGTCGCATCACCAACCTTCTCCGTCCAACGCAGTGTAGGCGAGGTCTCCGGCAAGGAGACACGGGGCCAGAGGTTGAGCTGATGCGCAGCGTACCGGACCGCAAACGGCCACAGAAAATGGAGAGCAGCCGCATGGATCATGGAGGTACGAGCCACCTCCATGACTAAGCCAATGCGGCGCTCAACAAACTCATTTTTCTGCGGGGAGGCCGGAAGCGTGAACGACTGGAGAATGCCTTCCCCATGAAAGAAGTCCCACAAGAGGTCAGAGGAGAACTCACCACCTCTGTCAGAGTGCAGACGTAGGTCAGGAAGGTCTTGGCAGAGCCGCTCGCGGAGCTGGAGACGGACTGCGCGGATCCAAGGGATCAAGACATCAGGGACCTCACCCTTGCTGCGCAAGGGGAAGACCGTGGTGTAACGCGTGTAGTCGTCAACAACCAGCAGGAAGTAGCGCTCGCGGCCCTGTCCACTGATGCGCGCTGGGCCTCACACGTCGATGTGGAGAGTCTGCAGGGGAGCAGTTGTCGGGGGAAACAAGGAGGAGTGAGGAGCGGCGCGCTGCCGCCCCTCGACGCAAGGAAGGCAGGGCGGGGCAGGCGAGGGCGGGAGGGGAGGCAGAGACCTGGGAAGACCAGAAACAAGGAGGCGGGAGTGCATGCCACAAAGGCGTGGCAGGGAGGGGTGACCAAGGCGGTGGTGCCACTGGAGAGTTTGGTGCGACAGGAGGCGACACGAGCAGGGGGCTGCTACCGGACCTGACGCGGACACCTGAGCAGACGCAGCTACCTGAGGAGGCTCAGCAGTCAGTGTGTACAGACTCGACCCAGGCTGACGGGTGAATGTGGCCAGGTAAAGGCCCGTCCGTATACACGTGCAGATCAACACACGCTGACCCCCAGGAGTGGTGGTAGTGACCATCGCATCCTGGAGGGCAGCGGTACTCACCAAGTTTGTAGAGAACAAGGGGAGGTGAAGACTTGAGGGTGAGCCGGACGGAGCCGCCGGACACGGGAGAACAATGGACGAACGTGCAAGAACTGGGCCCCGTGAGGGGTCAGCCAGTCGGACTGGAACATGTGCATGGAGTGGAGTGAGGGTGGTACTGTCACGAAAGAAACAGCGGGAAGCACCTGAGTCAAGCGTAAAGGTGTGCAAGGCCTCAGCAGGCGCAGTACCAGAGAGAGTAGACTCACTAGCACCTAGAGCAGCAGCCTCTATAACTAGGTCGGGCGGCACACACAGGTAACAGTCACCCTCAGCACTAACAGACAAGGCATACATGGCAGCAAGGATAGCATCATAGTCAAGAGCAAAGATATCAACTCCAGACCTAAGCAGCTCTGCCCATCGGGGGCGCTCAGTCTCGTCTCCAAACTCTGCACGCCAAGCGTCATCAAGGCGAGAGAAGCAGCGGTGCTAAGTGTGAAGCTTCCCGCATGTCTGAGCAGCACGGTCACCTGTGCGAATTACATACCGACAGCGAACACTACCCCCAGACGCCCCACGCTGAGCAAACCACTCACGAAGTTGCTGAGGCGTAGGGGTCTCGCTCCGGCCCCGCTGCTGCTGCCTCTAGCCAACGCCAGAACCTCCCCTCTGAACAGCTCCACCCCGACCGCCACCACTGCCGCCGCCTCCACTCCCACTGCTGCCACCAACGCCACCCCCACCCCCACCGCTGCCACCACCGCCGCCACCGAAGCCCCCACTCCCGCCACCACTCCCACTGCTGCCACCAACTCCGCCACCTCCACCGCCTCCCCCGCCTACACCACCATCACCCCCGCTGCCACCGTCACCACTCTTGCCACCCTTGCCCTTGCTGCTGCGGCGCTTCCCACTAAGAGCAGAAGAAGCCCCAACATCCTCAGCACCAAGGATGGCAACAGCACCAGAAGCGTAGGAGGGGGCAAGGGGGGAGGGGGAGCACCCCTCAAAGAAGTGTGTGCGAGGAGTGCCACGAGCAGCACCTACAGCGACTACGCTAGTCTTAGCTGTAAGGAGGTGCTTCTCGAGCAGGTCGACAGTTAGGTCGGTGGGGTCAAGAGCGAGAAAGTGGTCCCTGACTGCGCGAAGAGAGTCAGGGAGGCGGGTGACTATGAAGTAGAGAGTGATGTACATCAGGGGGGGGGGGGGTTCCTGTCAAGGAACTTGGCTGGGAGGGCAGAGCGGTAGCGAGCGTTGCTAGTGCGAAGGTGGGTAACGAGGTCCTCGACTGTGGCAAAGGCTGACAGCTCGGGAAAAAGGTAGGGCAGTATAAGGCGGCCGAGAGCAGCAGTGGCAGGGGAAGAGTAACGAGCGACTACAGCATCGTACAGGGCCTTAGCAGTCTTGTGCAGGCCAAAGTGAGTGCATTCGGCTAACGGCAAGTGGTTGCGAACGTCTAAGCGAGCAGCAGCGTCACGGGTAAGCCACTGTGAGCGAGTCGCACTGTCAGCTATGGCGGGAGGGGCGAGAGAGGCTCCAGACGTGTGGTCAAACTGCGAAACGCTGTCTCTAGATTCGCTCAGTAGGTACAGCTGTAAGTCGTCGAGCCACGCATCGAACTGGATCGGACGGCCCTCATGATCGAACGTGAGTACACTGAGAGAAGCCATAGCGGGCAGAGCAAGGTGGCGCGTGACCAGCAGAGCAGCACGCAAGTAGAGCGGCGCCCGAGCACTAGGGAGGTGCGCAGGGCAAGGCAGGGCGGCGCACGGCTAGGGCGGCCGGCAGAAAGGGCGGCGAGCGGGCTGCCAGAGGGCGGCGCGCGGGCTGCAAGGGGCGGCGAGTGGGCTGCCAGAGGGCGGCGAGCGGGCTGCAAGGGGCGGCGAGCGGGCTGCCAGAGGGTGGCGCGCAGGCTGCAGGGGGCGGCGAGCGGGTTGCAAGGGGCGGCGAGCGGGCTGCAAGGGGCGACGCGCAGGCTGCAAGGGGCGGCGAGCGGGCTGCAAGGGGCGGCGAGAGGGCCACCAGAGGGCGGCTCGCGGTCTGCAAGGGGGCGGCGAGCGGGCTCCAGGGGCAGCGAGCGGTGAGCGGGCCACAAGCGAGTGGCGAGCGGGCTGCAGGGGCGGCGGGCGGGCTGCAAGCGGGCGGCGAGCGGGCTGCAGGGGCGGCGAGCGGGCCGCGAGCGAGCGTCGAGCAGGCAGCAGGGGCGGCGAGCGGGCCGCAAGCGAGCGGCGAGCGGGCTGCAGGGGCAGCGCGCTGGTTGCAGGGGCGACGTGCTGGCTGCAGGGGCGGCGAGCGTACTGCAGGGGCGGCTCGCGGGCTGCTAAAGGTGGTGCGCGGGCTGCAAAGGGCGGCGCGACGGGCTAGCTAAGCCTGGCGCGCGGGCCAGCAGGGCGGCGCGCCAGATAGGGCAGTTAATGGGGCAGCGCTGTGGTGGGCCCTAAAAAAAATCGGTCCTAAGGAAGGATTTGCTCTGAAACCATGTTGAAACTACTGAACGAGAATGAGTGGATTGAACAGAAAGTTGGGTACAAGTGCTAACCCTAGGTGGTTTGTACACCTTATGGGCTACCCCATTATAACCTACACAATGTAAGCAAGATATAAGTTGAACAATCTAGGCTCCTATCTCATTCTGCTCCATGCTTTCCTTCCATCTGCTTGGGGTTTCGTCGCGTTCTTGCCTAGTGTTATCTTATTTTAAGTTCAATATCAGCCTTTACAAAAAGGAAACACTGATGCATCAGACTTTTTTTTAAGGTAACACTGAATTTTCAGGCTTTTTTTTTTGGGACACTGACGATCAGGGATTCTACACAGAGGGACCCTGATGCATTAACGTGCCTAAAAGTGAATCATAGGCCCTGCTAAAGAGATAGAATTTGGTTAAGTCTTGAAAAAGGCATAGAGTTGGCACACAAAGAAAATCCACTAAAATACTGGTAGAATGAAAGATAAAATACATGGGGTAAAGAACTACCCAACCACTGAACCTAACAAGAGAACGTTCACACCAGAACGATTAGATAACTACCACTTAGCTGCGCTTTGCCAAGTCAGCATCGGCATGTGAAAATTACAACACATGCTTAGTTGGTAAGTTTTACCTAGCTCAGAGTAGTTATTTTAACTGTTCAGTTTGTTTTAAACAACTTCTGTAACGCACGTTTTCGTAGTTACGAAAACGTGCGCCAGGTTCAGATTGTGCAGGTGGTTCAATTTTTTCCCAGATTGAAAACCCCAAGTTCACGCACTGTTTCCCGGGGTCAATTTCTCAATGTCCCGCAATGTTCCGAAATTCCTACGCAAAAGTTCCGAAACGATCGCACTTTTGCGTCGGAAGAGGTTCGTCGGTCGAGAACGTGCTTCTCTGCAGAAATTCGCTTCTGCAGACGCGCCCTCCTCTGGAGAATGATTTCTGCAGATGCGCATTCTTCTGCAGCAGAACCTGCTTTCTGCTTCTCCGAACTCCCTCTGCTGCAGAGTTCCACGTAGTCCTCTGCAGTATTCGCTTCGGCGGAAATCTGTACCTTCCCTGCAGAACGCGACGACCCTCTCTGCAGGGTCAGTGCAATCTCAACACCGCTTAGCTGTACGATTCTCACCCTTTCTCGTTCGTCCTCACACGTGACGCCTCGTGCGATGTCCGCAGCAGCAGCGGCGGGTCGCGCCGTGTGGTTCGACGCGCACTGCCATCTGCAGGACCCGCGAATCGCCACGCGCGCCGCGCGCATCGTGGGCGACGCGGCCGACGCGGGCGTCCAATGGATGGTCTGCAACGGCACGAATGAGGTCAGCAGTGCGCGTAGTGACGTCAGTATTGACGTCAGGATATTACCTCCCCCCCCCCTTTCCCTCCCCTTCCCCCTCTCCCTCCCTCCCCCCCAACCCTCTTTCCCCAAAAAAGAGAGACAAGTAGAGGTTCTTACACCCATGCTCCCATGCGCGCCCTCCCATTCCCATGCCCAATGCTTCTCATGCACGGGCGGGCATCAGGGGGACTGGGATGCAGTGGCCGCCATTGCTGCTGCCCACCCTTGCGTCATCCCATCCTTCGGCCTGCACCCATGGTATGATGATATGGCCTGCACTCATGGTGTGATGATATGGCCTGCACTCATGGTGTGATGATATGGCCTGCACCCATGGTGTGGCCTGCACTCATGGTGTGGCCTGCACTCATGGTGTGGCCTGCACCCATGGTATGTGAATGTACATGCACAGCACATGACCGATGGAACATGACAGATGGCTCATGACAGATGGCTCATGACAGATGGCTCATGACAGATGGCTCATGACAGATGGCTCATGAAAGATGGCTCATGACAGATGGCTCATGACAGATGGCTCATGACAGATGGCTCATGACAGATGGCTCATGACAGATGGCTCATGACAGATGGCTCATGACAGATGGCTCATGATGCATGAGTCATGGCGCATGGCGCACAACCTGAAACGAATACCACGTGATCATGCACATAATACATGCCCCGCACCACACGGCATGCCCCCATGCCCGCCCGCCCCATGCCCCCATGCCCACCCCATGCCCTCATGCCCGCCCCATGCCCCCATGCCCACCCCATTCCCCCATGCCCGCCCCATGCCCGCCCCATGACCCCATGCCCCACCCATGGCCCCCCATGCCCCTATGGTCCCATACCTCCATATACCCCCATGCTCCCATGCCCCTATGGTCCCATACCTCCATATACCCCCATGCTCCCATGCCCCCATATCCCCATGCCCCCATGCCCCCCCATGCCCCCATGTCCCATGCCCCATGGGCCATGCCCCCATGCCTGCAGGTACATCCACTCTCGGTCGCCCCAGTGGCTGCAGCATCTGGAGGAGCGGCTCTCAGCCCCTCCCCACGCTGCCATGGGCGAGGTGGGCAGTCCATGCAGCCGTATTTGAGGCTGCAGCTCAGGGAAAGAATGAATGAAAGAAAAAGAACAAGAGGGTTGGGGAAGGAGGGAGCCTGTGAACGGGGGGCTGTTGTCAGGGCCTGTGAACGGGGGGCTGTTGTCAGGGCCTGTGAACGGGGGGCTGTTGTCAGGGCCTGTGAACGATAGGACCAACGATAGGGGCACCGGTGCTGCTGGGCAATGCCACTAGGACCAACGGGATAGGACCAACGGGATAGGACCAACGGGATAGGACCAACGGGATAGGACCAACGGGATAGGACCAACGGGATAGGACCAACGGGATAGGACCAACGGGATAGGACCAACGAGATAGTACCAACGGGATAGGACCAACGGGATAGGACCGATGGGATAGGACCAACGGGATAGGACCAACGGGATAGGACCAACGGGATAGGACCAACGGGATAGGACCAACGGGATAGGACCAACGGGATAGGACCAACGGGATAGGACCAACGGGATAGGACCAACGGGATAGGATCAACGGGATAGGACCAACGGGATAGGACCAACGAGACGACCAACCGGGGCTGTTGTCAGGACCTGTGAACGGGGGGCTGTATGTGAGTGAAGGTGGGCGGAGGAACAATTGGGGGGAGGGGAATGGAATGAAGATACGGCTTGAAATAGCGGCTTGAGTACCTCTTGTGCCTTGAAGGGTCAGACCTCTCTCTTGGTCCGCATGCCCGCCATGCCCTGCCCCTTGTCCCACTCCCGCAAGGCAACAACAGCAACAGCAGTGGCAGCAGCAGTGGCAGCGGCAGTGGCAGCGGCAACAGAGGGGCGGAGATGGAGGAGCAGGTGGACCGTGGAGGTGATGTGCGAGCAGCAGGTGTAGGTCAAACCTCTCCGTTTTTGTCACTTGCACCGCAGCGAAGGGCCAAACCTCTCCTTTTTTGTCCGCCTGCCCCGCACCTCAACCCACTTCCCCCAGGCAGGCTTGCATCGTACCAGGAAAGCCAGCAGCAGTAGCAGCGGCAGCAGGGGTTCAGCGATGGAGGAGCAGGTGGAGGTGATGTGCCAGCAGCTAAAGCTGGCTTGCCGCTTGCACCGCCCCATCGCCCTGCACTGCGTTCAGGCGTATGGTCACATGCTCACGGCCCTGCAACAGGTATGGCCCTTCGTGCATGTGGGTGCGTGTGGCAGCGGAATTTGGAAAGGATGGGCGAGTATCGACATGCTCTCGCGGCCACCCTTCAGGTGCTATGCATGAGCGTGCGGTACAGTGCATGAGCGTGCGGTACAGTGCATGAGCGGGCGAGTATCGACATGCTCTCGCGGCCACCCTTCGCCTCCACTACACTCCCTCCCCACAGCATGGTCCATTCCAGTAGGAGTAATTCTAGATATTCTCAACGGCCCTCTAGGCATGCTCCATGTATTCAGGTGCAGTGCATGAGCGGGTGGTGCAGCGTATGAGCGTGCGGTGCATTGTATGAGCGTGTGGTGCAGCGTATGAGGGTGCGGTGCAGTGTATGTGCGTGCGGTGCAGCGTATGAGCGGCCGGTGCAGCGTATGCACGGGCGGTGCAGCGCATGAGTGGGCGGTGTAGCGCATGAGCGTGAGGTGCAATGTATGAGCGTGCGGTGCAGGGTATGAGCGCGCGGTGCAGCGCATGAGCATGCGGTGCAGCGTATGAGTGGGCGGTGCAGCGTATGAGCGGGCGGTGCAGCGTATGAGCGGGCGGTGCAGCGTATGAGTGGGCGGTGCAGCGTATGAGCGGGCGGTGCAGCGTATGAGCGGCCGGTGCAGCGTATGCGCGGGCGGTGCAGCGTATGCGCGGCCGGTGCAGCGTATGCGCGGGCGGTGCAGCGTATGGGCGTGTGGTGCGGTGTATGAGCGTGTGGTATCCTTTTGTTTCTCTTACTCCACGTCTCGTAACCTCACTCTGCCCCTCTCTCCCCCACCTTCTCCCCTTTCCTTCTCTCCCTCCCCCTTTCTTCTCCACAGCACGGCCCATTCCCAGCAGGAGTCATTCTGCATTCCTTCAACGGCCCTCCAGACATGCTCCCAGCGCTTGTGTCTCTCAACGCTTACTTCTCCTTCTCCCGCCTCTCCGCCTCCTCGGCCCCGCACAAGCTCGCACACCTCCTGCACCAGGTATGCTCCTCACAACCTCCGCTTTTGCACTGCAAGAACAGATTCTTGTGTCCCACACTACATCTTCCCTCCCCAATCCACATGCCTCACCCACCCCTTAGGGTACTGCTCCCACCCACCTCATCCGCTCTCTCCCCTCCCCCTTCCCCTCCCCCTTCACCTTCCAACCCCCCAGGTGCTTTTAAATCGCCTCCTACTGGAGACAGACTCACCTGACGGACTCCACCCAGCCTTCTGACCCACCTCTTAGTTACTCGCTCGCTCCCACCCTCCTCACTCCTCTCTCTCTACCCTCTACCTTCACCTTCCACCCCCCCAGGTGCCTCTGGATCGCCTCCTATTGGAGACAGACTCACCTGACGGCCTCCCCCCTGCCAGGCACAAGGGGGAGGAGGGCAGCACTGGGAGGGGCGGGGGAGAAGACGGAAAAGCGGGGAGGGGTGGGGGGGAGGGGTGCAGGGAGTCTCATTCTGAGGCGCGGCAACGAGAGGAGAGGGGAGAGGGCGAGAGGGGCGGAGTGGAAGGGAAGAGAGGGGAGGAGAGGCATGAGGAGAGAGGAGAGGAGAGAGGGGAGAGGGGGTCGGGAGGGCCACAGGAAGAAGGCGAGGGAGGGGCGGAGGACAGTGGCGATGGTGCTGCGTTGAACACACCGGCTACCATTGGACTGGTGTGGGGGCACTTCAATTGAGATGCATTCACACCCTCCCGCATGCCACACACTTCCATCGTGCATGCCACACACTCCCATCGTGCATGCCACACACTCGCATCCCGCATGACACACACTCACAAATGACTCTGCGGCACCATCAGGTGTGACTCTAGTCACCTCTCTTATTTCTCCCATTTCTCCCTTTCCTACTCACTTCTCCCTTCTCCCTTCTCCCTACTGGCTTCTCCCTTTTCCCCCCCTCCCCCGCTCCCTTCTCCCTTCTTCCCCCTCCCTTCTTCTTCCCCCTTGTCCCCCCACCCTGTCCCCGTCCAGGTGCATAGGATAGTGGCTAGTTGCATGTGCACGTCAAACAAATAAGTGGAAGAAGCAGCATTTCTAAGTCACCTTCAGAATCGATTCGCCTTTTCCCTCCTGCCTTCTCTCTCCGCCCTGTCCCCATGCAGGTGTGTGAGATGGTGGCGAGCAGCATGGGTAGGTCCAAGGAAGAGGTAGCAGACGCAGCATTCGCCAATGCTGTTCAACTCTTCTCCTTCCTTGGCTCACGCCTTCCTTCTTTTGAGACGCCGACAAAGGAGTAGTCGCTGCATTTCCATTTTGAGGTGTCCCTGCCACAATGGTTCTTTGGTTAGTGTGTCTGCATGTACATGCCTTGTGCATAGGGTGCCTAGATTGTGGATGTGCAAGTCCTGTGGTTAGGGTGCATGGGCTTTTGATTTGGGTGTGGCTAGCTCTGTGGTTAGAATACCATAAGGCTTGTGGTTGTTGTTCCATTTCAATGCTCTGATGCGCAAGCTTTGTAATTGGCCTGCCTGGGTGCGCAAGCCCTGTATTTAATGTCCCTGCAGTTAGTGTGACTGTGTGCAGAAGCCTTGTATTTAGTGTCAAAACTGTTATAGTACTTACTTTGTGTAGGCTATAGTGGGGTAGCCCATAAGGGGTACAACCCAACTAGGGTTAGTACTTGTACCCAATTTATGTTCAATGCATTCATTCTCGTTCTAGATTCTAACATGGCTTCAGAGCAGGTCCTTCCCTAGGACCGAATTTTTTTTAGGGCCCACCACATAGTTGTTTCACTAGCTGCCATGCAGCCCTGCCCTAACGGCCCGCCGCCCTGCTAGTTGATGTGCCGCCCCTAGCAGCCCGTCACGCCGCCCTTAGCAGCCCGCGAGCCGCCCCTGCAGCCAGCGCGCGGCCCCTGCAGCCTGCTCGCCGCCATTGCCGCCCGCTCGCCGCCCGCTTGCGGCCCGCGCGCCGCCCCTGCAACCAGCTCGTCGCCCGCTTGCGGCCCGCTCGCTGCCCCTGCAGCCCGCTCGCCGCTCGCTTGTGGCCCGCGCGCCGCCCCTTCTGCCCGCTAGCCGCCCGCCTGCGGCCCGCTCGCCGCCCTTCAGCCCGCTCGCCGCCCTTACGGCCCGCTCGCCGCCCTTGCCGCCCGCTCGCCGCCCGCTTGCGGCCCGCTCGCCGCCCCTGCAGCCTGCTCGGCGCCCGCTTGCGGCCCACTCGCCGCCCCTTGCAGCCCGCGAGCCGCCTTCTTGCAGCCTGCACGCCGCCCCTTGCAGCCTGCTTGCCGCCCCTTACGGCCCGCTCGCCGCCCCTTGCAGCTCGCTCGCCGCCCCTTGCGACCCGCTCGCCGCCCCTTGCAGCCCGCTCGCCGCCCTCTGGCAGCCCGCTCGCTCCCCCCCTGGCAGCCCACTCGCCGCCCCTTTGCTACAGGTACACTAACCCCACTCTGACTGCAGGGCAGCGCCTAACTACAGGTACGCTAACCCCACTCTGACTGCAGGGCAGCGCCTAACTACAGGTACGCTAACCCCACTCTGACTGCAGGGCAGCGCCCAACCCTGATGCATGCAGAACGAAGAAAGGTTAACTGTGCGAAGGTTACGTTTGTGAATTATCAAGATAAGCTTGATCTGCTGTAACTCTTGCTGTGATTCATAGTGCAGGCTGTAGGCTGTAGGCTGTTGGGCGTTGGCTGTTGGCTGCTGGCTGTATCTCTATGTATCGCGCAGGCTGTTAGGCTGTAGGCTGCAGCTCTTCTGTATAGTGTAGGCTGTAGGCTGCTGGCTGTGATCTGTAAGCTGTGTCACTTTACTTGTAGGTAATATTGAAGATTAGAGAGCAGCGGAGCAGAGGAGCAAGAGGACAATCCACACGAAGGAAAAGGAGAGGAAGCAGAGGAGAAGAGGAAGCAGAGGAGAAGAAGAGGAAGCAGAGGAGGAGAGGAAGCAGAGGAGGAGGAGAGGAAGCAGCGGAGGAGGAGGGGAAGCAGGAGTGTCCTGGTTAAAGCAGAGGTGGAAAGGAGCAGTGGACGACCACGCAGAGGATAGGAGGAAGCACGGGAAGCAGAGAAGGAGAAGAGGAAGCGCATGAGGAGAAGATGTTGCTTCAGCAGACGTGGTAAGATACCCCTTGCCCTTTTAGTCTATCATCCTTGTCCTTTCATCTTCGCTCGGTTCCCCTTGCCTCCTGTACTCGCCTTCGCCTCTCTTGCCACTCCGTCACCTCGTTGTGTTGTTGATCTGCCACTGTCTCAGATGTTCGGAAGGCGAGGATGATGCAGAGAGAGCAGGCAAGAGGGACCAGCGATAAGGGAGCAGCAATAAGGGAGCAGCGATAATGGAGCAGAGATGAGGGAGAAGACTTGTCATATGGTAAGTCCCTTGGACATTCTGGTACCCTTCTTATTCCCCTTGACCCCCTCCTTTCAATGCTCTGAATGCCAATTGCTGCTCCGCTTCACTCTCACCTGTCTGTTTATCTCCACATTAGCTTTCCTTGGCCCAATGGCTCTTCCCTCCCACTCACTTCTTCCCTAGTCTCCTGTACTTGTCTTCTTCTCTCTTGCCACTCCTTCACCTCATGTGTATTTGATCTGCCACTCTCTCAGATGATCGGAAGCCAAGGATGACACAGAGGGAGCAGAGATTAGGGAGCAGAGGGAGCAGGGATTAGGGAGCAGAGATGAGGGAGCAGAGATGAGGGAGCAGAGATGAGGGAGCAGAGATGAGGGAGCAGAGATGAGGGAGCAGAGATGAGGGAGAAACTTGTGATGGGGTAAGTCCTTCCGTCATTTACCCCTCTTATCCTCTTCGACTCGCTCCTTCAATGCTCTGCATACCATTCACTCCTCCGCGTCACTCTCACCTGTCTCTCTATCTCCACATTCGCCATTCACTCCTTGCCTCCCACTGACTTGCGCCTCTCCCACTCCTGGCTCCGTGACTGTACACTTTCACATTGCTCCTCATACCATTCCTGGCACCACTCCTCCCTCCGCTGTGCTTTCTTTCATCTGTGATTTCTCCCCCATCCCCTTGTTCCCCCTAGCCAGTTCTCTCTATTCTCCTGTATACATCATCGATGCATCTCTCACATCTTCCCTGTCCCTTCTCCTCTGCCTTTCATCTTACAGCGAAGCATGGGAGTTGAAGCGGATGCGATTGGAGCAAGGGGCAACAAGCAAGTGCAAGTCACGTGGTACGTTCCTCATGCCTTCCTTGCCCCCTTTTTGCAATCATGCTCTTTACTTCTGCCCCTCCCTTGCCTTCCCCTTTTTCGAAATAATGCACTGTGCTTCTGCCCCTCTCTCTTTCCTGTCCTTCATGCCACCTGCTCTCCTCTCATATCCTTCTCCCCCCTTCTATTCCCTTCCCTGCATTTCCTTCTTCAGATAAGGACAGCAGTGGTGGCATGGACGGACATCAGGCAAGGCCAAGATGATCCTCTTCTCATGGTAAGGCTGCTAGCTCAACCGTGTTTTCCTCTGCCCCAAGGCCTTCCCTTTCCATTTTCCCTCCCATGGCTCCTTTTTTGTACCTTCACATGCCTTGCTTTTCGCTTCATATACCCAAACTGGAAACACACAGCACATCAGATCATATCCTTTTTTATCATGACGTGGAGCTCAAATCGCGTGTGCCTTGCCTCCTCCTCTCTGCTTGCAGGACAACCAAAGAAGTTCCCATATGGAAGCCAAGACTGCAGGATGAAGACCCCATATGCTAGAGCTGAAGCAGTTTAATTAGGATGTAGGATATCTAGACTGGTAACACTCTCAGGTGTGGTATACCCCCTCCCTCCCCCTCCCATCCCTCCCCTCCCCCCCCCCCCCCCCCCCCCCTCCTCCCCCCCCCCCCCCCTTCCACTGCCTGCGTTGCCCCTCCCTCTTCCTCCCCTGGCGACCCACTTCCTCCTGCGACTCACCCACCTCAGCGGCCCCCTGCATAGGCTAACCACACTACAGGGCTCGTGCGCACTAACCACAGGACTCGTGCACTCTAACCACAGGGCTCTGCCTTGGGGCATGCTAACCACAGGGCTCACTGATGACAGCTTGTGCACCGGGTCAGGCTAACTACAGGGCTCGACTCTTAACTGCAGGGCTCGTGCACTCTTAACCACAAAAGCTCGTGCACACTAACCACAGGGCTTGTAGAATCGAGCAGACTAATACAGGGTTTGTAGAATTGAGCACACTAACTACAGGGCTTGTAGAATTGAGCACACTAGTTACAGGGCGTGTGAAACCAAGCACACTAACTACAGGGCCTGTAGCATCGAGCACACTATTTACAGCGCTTCTAAAACCGAGGACAAAGATGTGACAGGGCTTGTTGGATCGTGCACACTAACTACAGGGCTTCTAGATTGAGCACACTAATCACAGGGCGTGTAAAACCAAGCACACTAACTACAGAGCTTGTAGAATCGAGCACACTGATTACATGGCTTGTCAACCAACTACAGGACTTGTAGGAAAGATCACACTAACTACAGGGGCGTGTGAAACCAAGCACACTAACTAAAGGGCTTGTAGAATCGAGCACACTACGGTAACTGCAGGGCCTTCGTATTGAGCATATCGGGCTTGTGAAACGAAGCATGCCAACTACAAGGCTTGCACACTAATTTAACACACCTTAGCAAACAAAAACCACAGGGCTCGAGCATGGTATGCTACACAGCTAATGGATCAGAGCACATTAACTTGGCTCATGGAAGTTGAACACAGTGCTTATGCATTGACCCACACTACCGTAACTCCAGGGCTTGCGCATCAGGGTGCTAATTTTGGGGAAATGCGCATTTGCTCCACACTGTCACTCGTTCTAAGAAACTCATATGCCCGAAAGCTTATTCGACCATCAGAGTTCATAGGCCAATAACATTAGCTGATGGATCACCTGAGCTTTTGAAACTGCCGCCTGCCATTCCAACTAGGGTCAACTGGCTCTTCTGTTGGTAACTCTGGTGAGCCAGCATGCAAATCTTCAGGCAAAGCTGCAAGTGAATCTCCAGGTGAATCTTCAGGTGAATCTTCCTCGGAACCATCTGGAGAGTCGAGGCACGAGTCTGCGCGTGACACAAACGAGTTGTGGGCGGTGGTGCGTGCCATGCTGAGTCGAATCATTGCTCAGCTGATGCCCTGCAGCTCTGATACCACTGTGCTGATGTCGGGACGAGAGCGGGCTGCGCGGGCGGCACAGCGGGCGGCCAGGCGGGCGAAGGAGCGGATGGGACGGAACGGCATGGACTGGGCGCTTAGAAAGAAGTCAAGGACTGTAGCGAGATCGTCTGCTGCTATGCTGTGCAGCATCTGGGGGTGAGGAGTGGTGGAACAGGTAAGAGGAGCGAGAAAGAGGAGGATGAAAGGAAGGATGTTTGGGGAGGTCGGTGGGCGGACGCGAAGAATTGGGGAGGAAAGCTGAGGGATGGGTTCGAGGCGGAAGGCGCGATGAACGTCAGCACTTGGAATGTTGTTTCAAGCACCTTAGAAAGCATGTGAGGCGCATGGCTTTATTGTGAAGCGTGAAGAGCAGGAGGATGTGAGGAGAACGGCAGGCGAGAAACAATAGTTACCTGATTATTGATAATTAAATGACAATGGGCATTCAGGGCAGGGGAAGGCCCACCTGGTGCACATCGAAGGTGGCGGTGCTGGCAGTGGCTTGGTCCGTGGTGGTGGCTGGGCAGCCTGAGAGGAGCTCGAGCATGATGATGCCCAGGCTGGCGGGGCGGGTCAGAGGGGTGAGGGGTGAGAGAAGAGGTGTGAGAAGGGAGAGTGACAAGAGGGGGTGTGAGAGAGGTGAATTGGAGTTAGTAAACGGCTGTATGCATGCTCTGCGCTCAGCACCCATACACACCACTAGAAAACGCATCGAGAAAGCGCATTCAGGAAGACCTATTGCTGCACTCATACGCACCACTGGGAACCGCATTGGGAATCACAGTGAGCAATCACAGTGGGGAGGAAAACAAGGAAACTATCCTATAGATGTCTGTGCGGGGGGTTGGCCACATGCGCTCCCACCAGTCGGGGTCCCTATGAGAAGCTGCCACGTGGCACTGCTGCATTAAGCAGGGAGAGCTGGGTAGGCCCTTGATAATGCCGAGATTCGCCAACCGGGCCTGGAGGGGGTGGCGACGCACGCATGTAAGAAATATTGTGCAAGTGTATGACATACCACACATCAGGCATGCACGCATGCACTCACCACAGGCAGCACTTTAAGGAAGGCAGAGGAGGAGCAGAAGCTTTGGTGCACCAGGGGGGCTGAGCGGCCGTTGGAGGTGACTCATACCGCGTAATGTACACGCTACGTGGCTCTATAACACATCAGACATGCATGCACTCACCACAGGCAGCACTTCAAGGAAGACGGAGGAGGAGCAGAGGCGGCGGTGCACCAGAGGGGGCTGGGAAGCTTTCGACTCATGAGTTGCAATGTACATGCACATCAGACATGCACGCATGCATGCACGCACACTCACCACAGGGAGGACTTCGAGAAAGACAGAGGAGGAGCAGAGGCGGCGGAGCACCAGGGGGGACTGGGTGGCCTCTTGACGCACCTCAGAAAGTGATATTAGTGTACACACACATCATACATAGACGCACTCACCACAGGGAGGACTTTGAGGAAGACAGAGGAGGAGCAGAGGCGGCGGTGCACCAGAGGGGGCCGAGCAACTGTGTGCAGATGGCACAGTGCCTCTGCCACGGCTGTGGCTATGTCCAGCCGCTGAGAGAACGCCAGTGGTTGTGGTGACTGTGCGTCTGATGTTGTGAGGGGAAGGGGGATGGGAGGATGGGGGAAGGGGAGTTGACAAAAGGGGAAACTGGGATCAGCAGATGTGTGCAGATGGCACAGCGCCTCTGCCACAGACGTGGCAATGTCCAGATGCTGGGAGAAGCCAGCGGTTGGGGTGACTGTGCGTCTAGTGTGGAAGGGGGCGTGTGAATAAGGGGTATAGAGAGGTGCTCATGTGTGCAGATGGCTCAATGCCTTTGATCGGCCTTGACAACAGCTTTCGATCGGAGGATGTGCGCACTCACTGCTATCTCTGCCCTGCATCATCAACTCCCTCTGTGCCTGCAAGCGAGCACACAGTGTCTTCTGGTCAGACCATTCGTACAGCAGCAGCAGCTCCCTCCCCCCTCCCCCTCTCCCTGCTGCTGAAGTTGGTGCTGCTACTTCTTCTGCTCCTGCTCCTGCTTCTGCTTCTGCTTCTGCTCCTGCTTCTTCTCTTCCTCCCCCACCCACTGCCTCCCACGCCCCGCCTCCTGACCTCCCGACACCTGGTTCAGGCGCACACTGCGTTCTTCTCATCCTCCCCTTTCCCCCTCCTCCTCCTCCCTCCCCCCTCTTTAACCCCTTCCCGACCCCTTCCCCTCCCACCTCCACTCGGCAATCAAAAGACGAAGCAGATTGGTCAACCTGTTTTCCTCCCTCCTCCACCTCTTCCCTTTCATCACCCTCTCCCGTGTCTCTCCCCCCTTCTATCCCTGCTCCCTCCGCTCCCACAGGTTCTGCTCTCACTCCTCTCACCACTGCTTGCACTGAACCCACGCCATCTCCTCGCACAGACCCCCGACCCTCTCCTCGCCCTGACCCTCCACCCACTCCGTGCCCCGACCCCCCACCTCCCCCCTGCTCCTGCGTGCCTCTCTTCCGCCACAGGATCTGCGCCCACTGCCTCATGCTCTCCCCCACTTGTCTCAGTCGCCCGCTGCCGCCTGCCTGCCCCAGAGGCTGGTCGCTCCAGCCAATCAGGTGCAGCAGGTGGGGATGCGACAGGCCAGAGAAACGGATGATCTGCCGTGTGTGGGTTGGGGTGCGATGTGCATTTAAGGATGGACACATGTGCGGGTGAGTGCCGGGGAGTTGAGGTGAAAGAGGTGAATTGTGAGAGGTGAGACGGGATGGAAGACATAGTTTTGTGCTTCGAGGGAATGGGATTGTTTCAGCTTGAGTCACTCCCTATTGCTCGCTCCCTGTCACTCTCCCGATCCCTCACTCCCTATCCCTCACTCTCATCACTCACTCCCTAACCATCACTCCTATCCCTCACTCCCTAACATTCACTCCCTATCACTCACTTCCTCGTTGAACGCTCTTCTCTTGGCAGCTGCGCCAGTCCAAGGCAGCCACGTGGCACCTGCCAAACCATCAGGTATGGTGGCCCGAACCACAAGCCAAGGCTCGCCCTCTGGTCCGGAGCATGGGAAGGAGTCTCCAAAAGGACCCGAACCAAGCTGAGTGGTGGAGTGGGGAAGGTGTGGGGATGGGGGAAGAGAAGAACTACAGGTTGTTGGAAGGAAGGTGGAGAGATATGGAGAGGGGTACCAATGGGTGATCAGCAGTGCAGGAAGGTGGAGAGGTGAAGGAAAGTGCTGCAACAAGGATTTGAAGGTGAGTGAGTGAATGCAGGAGGGAGTGAGTGAATAGGGAGTGAGGGAATGAGTGAGTGAGCGAGTGCGTGGTGCAGAGGGACCGAGCGAGAGGGTGTATGCAGGGGAAAGGGAGGGGTGGGGAGGTATACCTTGAGAAGAGGGTCGTAGTGGTGGGTGGAACGCGCCATGTAGTCTGCTAGAAACACCTCATCGAAGCTGCTCTCTACTCTCGTGCCTGCCATGGGAGAGAGTGCGACAGGGTGTGCAGGGGAGAGGAAAAGGAGATACCCTGAGCAAAGGGTTGTAGTGGTGGGTGGATCGCGCGATGTAGTCTGCTAGAAACACCTCATCGAAGCTGCTCTCTACTCTCCTTGCTGCAAGTGGAAAGCGATCCGGTGCCATGCCATGCCATGCCAAGCCATTCCGCATCATGCAACATATGACACATGGCAGCCAAGGGCAGCACACGGCAGCACATGGCAGCACACCAGCAGCCATGGCCCATGGAAGGGAGAGGCGTCAGGAAGCACCACGGTGGTGAGGGAAGGAGGAGCAGCAACATCAATAACCTTGAAACCACAACCGTGAAACACAAGGGAACCAGGTTACCAGAAGCAGCAGCGCATGGGGGACCGCACCTTGTCGGCAGCACATGCAGAAACCGATGCTGGCTATAACGAGGATGATTGCAGCACAAAGGACCGTGGCGATGAATGAAACGAGAAGAGGGCGCGACTGCAAACGAATTCTCCAGCCATCTGATAGGTTGGCGCGCGCAGGGGTGGGGGGAGGGGCGGGGCGGGGAAGGGGGGGGACGAGAGGGGAGAAAGAGTAACTGGGAGGGCGAGGTTAAGGGGGGTAGCTGGGAGGAGCAGTTGGGGGGTGGGGGCGTGGAATGTAAAAAAGGAGCGGAATGCGCATTAAGTCTGAAAGCGAAAAAAGGGGCAGCCGAATGCGCGGGGAGGGGGAGTTTAACACATGCACGAGGAGGGGGCAGCGCGCATGCGCGGGGAGGAAGGGGCAGGGAGCGTGCGCGGCGGATGGGACTTGCCAGACGGCGAGGCGGACGATTCTTGCAGGAGACGACGCGAGACGCGTTGAAGCGCGTTGATGGAGTGATGCGCGTCAGGCGCGATACGTGCGAGACGCGCGAGAGGCGCGAGAGGTGAGTGAGGGGAGTGAGGGGCGAGAGTAGAGTGAGGGGAGTGAGGGGCGAGAGTAGAGTGAGGGGAGTGAGGGGCGAGAGTAGAGTGAGGGGACGGGGAACAGCACGGCGTATAGCGCGGCAGGCTGCTGCTACTGCCACGACTGCTGCAGTTGCCCAAGACAGCGACGACTACGAGTAGCGATACTAGTAGGGCCGGTGGCCGCCGGGTTAGACGAATGGACCTATTCCAGCGGGAAACGTGGCAGTGCGAGCGCATTCCGCCGGTGTGAAGAGTCGATTTTTGAGGCGCCTCGAGACTCGAGCGCACTCCGGTGTGCACGGCGCGCGGAGCGGCGCGAGCTGCGCTATTACGTGCCGCAGATGTGCCACTCAGTGCGACAGTCGAATCTAGCGCCATCGCCGCTTGGCGAATCTCTTACGTTCAATAAATATCTAAAAAAACCCTGAAGCCTAATCATGAGCAAGGCGCTGCGACGCGGGATTGTTTACACGGGACCCTACTCTAAGCAGGGTCTGGTATTATTGCCGTGAAGCCACTGACGAACCCAAGACATGCGGAGATTCTGACCAATTCTGCACAACCTACACAACGATCTTGGGCTCTGCGATGACGGTGACAAGAAAGGCGTCAAGAGCGGCGGAGCATGCTTATGGCCAAGATGAAGCGTCTTGGAGACTCCCTTTCGGACTTATGAAAAGGGTTTCCGAATCCCGAGTATAGAACACGTGAAAGAGAGAGGGAATCGTTGCCTGGAACCATCTTCATGGATTTCACTCAACAGCGCGTTGGAGTGTGAAAATCATCTTAACCCTTCCGAACCCACGAAAATCCCATGCCATCTCATCGCATCACATTACATTTCAATCGCATTGCTTGTCGTCTGCAACACCAATAATTGTTACTTCTTGACGCGACTCGTCACAACGGAACTTTTGGCAGCGACGCGCAAGAACCTTAGGTGTACACCATGAACGCTTACCGGTACAACTAAACAATATACCAGATGTAAAGAGGAGAGTGCTGTAACCACTTCAGTATACTAGGAGGTTTGGAGATCAAGGTCTGATAAAATAAACTATTTCTCACGCGACAGGAACAACACTATGATGGCCTACAGCTATAACAACAATTTACAATGAGCAGAAGAAAGGCATCGCTTCATGCCCTGCCGATTGAAACTCTTCTCAGTTGTTGCCTGCACATGCCAGAAAGTCAATTTCAGAACAGATCCAAAAGTATAAAATGACTGCCATTAGTGAATGCATGTGCATCAAAGCAGCAAAAGTTGAAATTCTAAAACCAAACGTTGGAAGCTCGAACAAGAAGCAGAACAGCGCCCTCTTACCCTGCAGGTACTGCAGGATCTCAAGCATGCGAATGAAGAGGTTGATGATGTCAAGATAGATGTTGAGGCTTGCCATCACATACTCATCATACGAGTACCCTGCACACACAGGGAACAGATCATAGGGGCAGTAGGTATTTGCAAGCTCAAACAAAGTTATCACTGCAGCCTGGCATATAAACTAGGGTAATAAGGGATCCAGCTCAAGTACTGTGAAATCGATTCATCGCACAATGTGAGAGTAACGCGGTTACTTACGCCTGATGATGAGGTCGGTGTCATACACAATGAAGAGGGCGAAGATGAGAGCACCCACCAGCGCCAGGGCGAACCTGCACAAGGGAAACACACAAGCAAACACGAGATAGGCAGGACAGAGTGGCACGCAACCCAACATAAGTGGCGCTAGGAAACATGACAGTACGAAACAGGATCACTCAGCTCCCTCCGTGTTTTACACCTGAAAAATCGGTTTACGTTTGGAACACAAACAAACACAAGCAAGTGTAAAACTGAACACTAATGCGAGTGAAGAAACTGAGCACTCACTCGCTGCCGAGGCCCCAGAAGATTTGGATGAAGGACCAGCCGAGCAGCAGCCAGAGACTGACGTACAACATGGGACCCAGGTAGCTGGAGCAGGGTGGGGACAACAAGAGGGAGAGATGCAGAGAGGTGAGAGATTGAGAGGAGCACTGAGTAGGCAGAAGCCATAAATCCGCGTACAGCATACGGAGCAGGTAGTTAGAGAGAGCAAGGGTGGAGGGGGTGGGGCATGGGAGGGGGACGGATGAAGAGAAGAGGACGGGGTCCAGAAAAGGCAGTAGACGCAAGGAGAAGCATGGGGGACGACGAGAGTGAGAGTGTGCGACAGAGAGAGGGGAGGCGAGGGAGCACCTGAACTCCTGTCCCTTCTTGACAGCATAGTAGGTGTACGCTGTGAGCCCCAGCACCACTGAAGCCGTAAGGCCGAGGGCCTCCACCACTATGGGCCCTGGAGCAGGAAACAGGCGGACACGGTGGGAAGGACGGAGCGAGAGTACGAGTGGGTCCCTGGATCTCTCTGGCTAAAAATGATTAAGGACAAGAGAAGCTTTAGGGAGCTTCAGAAAGGACAGAAAACGATGGAAACATCTGAACGGAATGGAAGGTGTAGGAAACGAGAGGTCGTCAAAGAAGGGGGAGGGGGGGGGTTGTGGGGTGGAGCGGGGGGAACGGAGGGGGGTAGAGACTTGGGAAGGGGGACAAACAGAAAGGTTCTGGATATGTGCTGGAGCGAAACGACGTGCGAGAAGGATACACTGGCCTGAAAACAGAGAGGGCTTGAACGGAGCACACAGAGAGGGCTTGAACGGAGCACCCTTTCCAGCCCCACCCCATTATCCCTCCTCATCCCATCTGATCTTCCCATTGTTTTCACACACTGCCAGAAACCCCGTGCAATGCTTACCGCTGTACATGCTGCAGATGAGGCCCACAGTCATGCTCATGGACGCCGTCTGCCCGGTCAGACACACGGGGGGGGAGAAAGACGAGTGGGGCAGAAAGAAGTGGGGTGGAGAGAGGGTGTGGGAAGAGGAGAAGAGAGGAAGAGGGAACGAGGGGAAGAGGGGAAGAGCGGTGTGAGTGAGGACAATGAAAGGCGAAAAAAAGTATCTGTTGTCAGACATGCAGCGCAAAAATAGAAAATACAAACGAGTCACCAGCGGGAATCGAAATCCGTACGCAACAGCAGAGATGACGTACCCAGATTGCGAGCAAGGCAAGGTTGAGAGGATGGCGAGACCGATAGATGACGAGAGGAATGAGAGCTGCGTACGAAACAGAGGAAGGACGTACGAGGAAACCGTATGAGGCTCATCATTAACAAGAAAAGCCGTCGTATCTAGCTAAGAAAAACGACCGCCACAAACAACCGAGGTGACTTTTGAGTCGACTCAAAAGTCTCTAAGCGAAACGACCGTCACATTCAACCGAAGCGACGAAAAATGGAGCAAATGTTGAGAATGAACGGCGAACGGAAGACGAAAAGACACGCTGACTGAGGAATGTAGAGAGAGTGGAAGGGACGTACTGGCGAAGGGTAGGATGGTGGCGAAGAACATGAAGTATCCATTGGTCAGGCCGAAATCACGGACGGATGGGATGAGAGCGAAGCACGATCCGACGGCCGCGGTGAGCAGGAGTTGTGCTCCAATGATGCCGTAGACCTGCGGAAGTAGAAGAACCAGGTGAGTGAATACTACTAAGTGACATGCTTAAAGCACAGCAGTGCCATTGCGCGCCTTCGCTTCGGCCCATCTACTCCCTCACTGATTAGCGCTGCACGTTAGTCCTACACATTTCATTCTGAAGGGTGTTACTATATACGACGCATATGCCAGTCGCGCAATAAGTGAAGCCACGTGGACTAGCTTAAGAACGCAGGGTGCAAACGACGTCCATGACTAATAATACGAACGAAGACAAACAGATAAGCTGCGATGAAGAACGATACGGCATCAGCATACCTTCCTGATGAACCCCCATCGCATCTCATTCTCGGAAAGCGTGATTCCCGGGTAAAGGAGATCGCTCGAAGGGCCCGCCTCCACGTCAGCTCCCTGATTCTTCATGAGGTGCGCGTCGACGGCGTGAGCGGCTTCCATGGCGGCAAGAGGATACTAGAACGAGGAAGAGGAGAAAACTAGAACACAATTCAGAGACACCTAGAACTGAAGTGAGCCTTGGAATTGCTTTCTCTGCTTCCACCTCAATGTTGTCGTTAGGGTTTCAAGTCTGCGAGGTTTGTCGGAATGGCACATTGTGGTAACCAAATAAATCGACCGGTTCGTCAGGAAGGCTGGCTCGACGGCGATAGATAATTCCCGTTCCAGCACAGCGGAGGGGATGATGTCACCATCATGGAAGCGACGTTTGCTTGGTCGGCAAGGTAACGGAGTTCGTCAAGTTCGCGTCAAGTCAAGTGAAGTTCCAGCATCTGGATTTCAACGTTGTACACTCCTAGTTTCAACATTAAAGCTTTCGTATACATTTGAAAAAGGGAGGTTCAAAAGTTTTGAAATTTGAAATATTGGTAACCCAGAAACAGCTAGTTTCACTCGCTTCACAAGGGAGGTGATCTCCCCGTCACCCAGGGCTCACTGGTGATTCAAAACTTTTGGAATAACAAAAGTATACGAAATCCAGTCCATGTGAGATCTACGCCACTACGCTCAACAGGCAGCATAAATCGTAGCAAAGCACATCGCGACAACAGCCAGCGCAAATCACTCCCGTTTCCGACACAAACTTAGACGCGTGGGGCAGTTTAGTGTAATTACACGTCCGAGCCAACGTCAGTTCCGCCCTCTAACACGGCGAGCCCGCCGGACCCCTTCTCACAGCCTCGCCTCGTCGTCCGTCGCGTTGCCTCACCACGCGGCCTCCTCACGCCACCATGAACGCGCACGCTGCGTCTCAAACTGCCGAACACGCACGATCACAGTCGCTTCCCGATCGCGCGACCTCGCTACCACGTTTCCGCAGTAGCGGCGGCAGCCGCAATTGAGGTGTCGCGAGGGTAATCAGAAACGATTGCTCCCCATTACCTCTTCCCGCCTCCCCGTTTCCCCTTCCCGCCTCCCCAATTCCCCTTCCCGACACCCCATTTCCTCTTCCCGCTCCCCATTACCCCTTCGCGCCTCCTCGTTTCCCCTTCCCGCTCCCCATTACCCCTTCCTGCCTCTGCAATTCCCCTTCCCGCCACCCCATTTCCTCTTCTCGCTCCCCATTATCCCTTCCCGCCTCCTCGTTTCCCCTTCCCGCTCCCCATTACCCTTTCCCGCCTCCCCAATTCCCCTTCCCGCTCCCCATTACCCCTTCCCGCCTCCCCAATTCCCCTTCCCGCTCCCCATTACCCCTTCTCGCCTCCCCAATTCCCCTTTGAGGGGGAGCAGTGGGGGAAGTGAGAAGGAGCAGGAGGGGAAATGAGGGGGAGCAGTGGGGGAAGTGAGAGGGAGAAGGGGGGGAAATGAGGGCGAGAAGGGGGGGGGGGTTGAGGGAGAAAAGGGGGGGAATGAGGGGGAAGAATGGGGGGAATGAGGAGGAGAAGGCTGGGAAATGAGGGGAAGAATGGGGGGAATGAGGGGGAGAAGGGTTAGAACTGAGAGGGAGAAGGGGGGAAAATGAGGGAGAGAAGGGGGGAAAATGAGGGAGAGAAGGGGGGAAAAATAGGGGGAGAAGGGGGGGAAATGAGGGGGAGAAGGGAGGCAAGTGGAGAGGGAGTAGGGGGGGTTGTGAGGGGGAGAAGGGGGGAGGGGGGGTAATTAGAAGAGGATGTGCTTAGCGGGAGAGGCGCTATGCGGGCGCTAAGCGGGAAAGGCGCGCAGCGGGTGCGGCGCTAAGCGGGAGAGGGTGAGGCGACACGCGGGAAAGGCGCACAGGGGGTGAGGCGCGAAATGAGAGAGGCGCGCAGCGAGTGATTCGTTGCGCGGGAGAGGCGCGCAGCGGTTGCGGAGCTAAGCGGGAGAGGCGCGCAGCGGGTCAGGCGCTAAGCGGGAAAGGCTCCGTAATTTTCAATCGGCTTACTCGATCGCACCTACCCAGCGTGGTGATGCAACCCGTCGAGGCGCCCTTGACAGGGCTTCGACGGGGCCCATCAATGCAGCACGACGCGCTCGACGAATGCAGAGCCTTTCCCTCTCCGATTGCCGCTGAACGGCGCAGCAGTGGAAAGGAGCTGGCGTGCAAGCTAGATGTATTTTCCCACTCGCACAAGCCTATAATGTTACCTAAACTCATCTCACATGAGAATATCTGAGCGGTGTCGATGCTCCGCATGTTCTTTGTCGCGCCCCGGTTCCTCTATCTATGCTTAGCGTATGTTAGTCACATATCATGGTTCCTAGTGAAATCTGACTCCAAGGTTGGGTGACGGGGGAGTTTCCTGTGTTTGGAACTCCTCAAAGCTGCAATTTTTCGCCAAACCTCTCGCCACGCTCAGTTGTTTCGTTCTGGCGAATTTTTCCCTGGCTACAGTGCAAGTCCAAACAGTACTTGCAAATGTATACGAAAGCTTTAAGCACTTCTAGGGACATGTAGGTGAAAAAAAACATTCCAACAATTATTATGCAGCATCGGATTACAAAACCCGGCCATCCATTCCATCAAGTGGGCCTGCCCACATTCCCTTCATGGGAGGTAGTTGAGCAGCGATCACACTCCAGGGAGGATATCCCACTCCACTAGCTCGCACACGCCCATCTAGTCGGAGAGAAATGTACCTGCGATGATGAATCCAGTAAAGATGCACCAGAAAGTCAGTGTATACAAGAATTATTGACGGAGTGATAGTCACCTTATAGGAATGAAGAAAGGTAAACAGGAGAATCGGAAGATATGGACTTACACAGGAGATCCTGGAGCCACATTGGCAAACTTCATTTGCTCCTTCAACCATCTGCACAAAGCCGAACAACCAGCAAGCAGCAAATAGTCAACCAGCTTGACAAACAACTCTCCGGTTTCATCCAGCATTGAACATGCAACTCAAACACTTCAAAGTGCCCCCTCAAATACGGTACTTCTCACCTGTTCCATTCATCAGTGTAAGTTGGCCGGCCCATCCACCTCTGAAGCAACCCACTGGCAGCTGTAGCAGCCTGCGCATTACCACCCACCTCTCCCACTTTCCCCCCACCATTTCCATCCCCAGCCACTTCACCCCCCCAAGCCGGATCCACCACCTCTGCAAACTCCTTAAAATCCCCCGGAAGCACAACATTCCCAGAAGCCGCTGCCCCTGCTTCCACACCCACAGTCACAAGCGGAGCGACCACCACGGCTCGCTCCAGCAGCGCAGCGCGGTACGGCTCGGCAGCAGCGAGGGCGGTTTGCACGTGGGAGAGGGGGCCGGCGACAATGATGAGGCGGCAGGTGCCCTGCAGCTGGGCCAGGCTCACGATGCGCCCCGTGGGCAGCTCTAGGCGCAGCTTTGCCAGGGACTCCTCCCGGGTCAGCCGGTTCAGAGATGCGTCCTTGCCCCGTGCGTCCGACCTTGGGGTGTGGAATGGAAAGGGATGGGGATGGGGACAGGGATGGAAATGGATGGGGCGTAGAGTTTGTAAGGGCAAGAATGGAGGGACGGGGAGCTTCGGGTGCAGTCTAGCCCGAAGTAGCTGCCAAATGAGTCGGTTCAGGGAGGCGTCCTTGCCTTTAATGCGATCGTGGGGGTTGGAACGGGGGTAATTGGGGTGTATGGCTTGTAGGGGGGATTGATTGACGTATGTGGTTTGCAGGGGGAAAAAAAACGGAATGAATGAGGAGCATTTGATTCCCCGTCACTGTTGCTGCTGGGCCTTGCTCCTTTCTTACTTCGGCATGGATTACTATGCTCGGTCCTGCTATTCCCACTCACTTGAATCAGTGTCTGTTGCTCAATTCCTTCGTTTTCCATAGCGCCTAGGACGCCCTCTTCCAGTCATTCTTTTTCAATCATAGTTCCAATCCTTTCTTGTTCTTGACCAAATCGAACCCTCCACTTCCCCGTGCCTCACCGGTACAGGAACGCGAATATAGCGACAGCCGCCACGTCAATCCCGAGGTCCTTGAGCGAGTCCTGGATCTGCAGCGCGTCCGCGTCGCGCGCGCCCGCGGCGATGGCGAGCAGCGACGTGGCGGTGATGAGCGCGCCGATGGACGCGGACGCGATGAACGCGCCGTACAGGAACATGCGCACCGTGCGGAACGGGTTCAGCACCTCCTGCCTCATGCGAGCATCCTGGCTGCGGGGGAGGCGAGGACGGGGGGAAGAGGGGGACCGAATGCGGGGCAGAGGGGGCGGGGGTGGTTGCAGCGCAAGCGGGATGTAGTGGAAGCGGCGAGGCGGAGCCGGACAGCGGGATTGAATTCAACACGCGGTCCACCAATGCACGCAATTATCCCATCAGTGCACGTGTGCTCGTACCTGTACACTTTGCGCTCCTCCTTGCCGTCGCCGTTCGACCCGCTGGCTCGGCACGGCACCGCTCGCCGCTGCCGCTCCGTTCCATGCGCGCTTGCGGGGGAATGTGGAAGGCGTCGAGCTCGGAGCGGCAAGAGCAGCGAGCGGTCGAGGAAATGCGCGATTGGTGGAGTATTCCGCTGCTGCAGCTGCGCGTGCTGAGCTGGAAGACTATTTGTTGCAATATTGCGAGGTTGAGAGAGCGCGACGATGAGATGATGGGAGGTTGCGGTGCGAGCTGATAGGTGTGAGGAAAGGGAGCCCGTGGGAGAGGAGGAGCAGGAGGAAGGTGAGATGGTCCGGGCCGTGGTGGCTGTTGGGACACAGCTGATAGACAGCATTTTGATTGTCTACTTCAACCTTCGGAAAAAAAAATGCAACGATAAATAGGCAATGCTGTGGCCGCGAAGGCCGGTTGAGAACGGAGATAGATGCCGCGTCGTGATTTTACTAATGCAGCTGCAGCAATGCAAATTTGCTCAACCGCAGCACGAGCTTGTGCTGTGAATTGCTTGAGACTGCGCCATCAGCTGCTGCTGATTTGTTGTTCTGCTGAGGGGGCAGATTTTGGTGAAGAATGGAATTGAGGAATGTGGTTCTGGCTGTGACCGTAACTGCGACCGGGAAATGTGATTGTGGCGAATTCTCCACGTGTATAAATTTTCTGTGTCGTGGCGAGCTGTGAGTGCTCCATGTGCATCGCTGGAAAGCCAAACAAGATTCAGATGACCGACATCTCTATACCGCGTACGCGCCTTACCAAAGCTCGAGTAAACGTGGAGCTTTTAAGGGGCTTCGAAGTTTCGATTCCCAACCCCAAGGGAGTGGGGTGGACACTGGACCCCTGTGAAAATACCATAACAGTGAAATCATGAGAAAAATATTCTCGGGCCTGTCGAGTTTGCCATGAACCCCTGCGCACCGAGCCATGTGACCAGGTCTATCTGAACACCGTTCTGAACCGCGTTGGAAGTCGAATTCCAATCATTCCCATTGCTTTCGTCCAGCTCTCCAGGCGAACACAGCAAATTTGCTCGTTCCGAGGGAAAATCATTAACATTCTTCAGCAGACTATCATTTCCCAGCATTGCTGTACTGTGCTGGCTGTGCAGTGCTGTGTTGTGGCGGTGCGCGCATGGTCGAATCAGTCCGCCATTGCTCATCGAGCGTTACCGGACCGCGCAGCCGTAGCCTTCTTGGGTTGGTGCTGTGAAGTCACGTTTCCAACTCTTTACCTTCTGCAATCTTGTAGTCCCTTCTACATCGAATTTGGCTTCCTGTTGTCTAGCACGAGTACAGAAATTGCTAACACTGTACATCAGTAGTATTGCAAACGCGAAGATTCGGGACAATAGTTTGACAATTAACTGAGATTACATTGAAATACTGTCAGCCATGGCGAGTTCCGCCGTTGCGCAGACTACACTAGCAGCGTCAGGATTCCAGCACGCTTCTAGAATTCTCCTCCCATCTCTCGTAAAAAATGATGGCTCGACCATCAGTCCAGTTCGAATTGCACACGTGTCAGCCCGTCGCCGCAACCACCTCCGATCAGACCTCCTTCCAGGAAGCATCTCCGCGCTTCGTTTCTCGTCCACCGCTTTCCCCGTTCATCGCTCCACGTCGTCTCGCTTCGTTACAGTCACATCCGTTTTAGCGAGGGATGACGTGGTTGCGACAGGCGACGACAGCGGGTCGCAGGCTCAGCAGAGTCGCACGGAGTCGTTCTTGCTGGCGGTGGAAGAGGGAGAGAAGCGCGTCAAGGAACTGGAGGGTAAAGTGAACGCAAAGCAAAGTGCGCTGGAGCAACTACAGGTACATGAACACATCCGATTTAGTCACACACGTTAGCTTACTTCACCCGTTTTTAAACATTCTTAGGTATCCAGGTCCTTTATTGTCCGAGACTGTGAAGGGTGAGTTATGCCAAAGGAAGCAATGAAAATATGCTTGAATGATTGATCTCCGTTTTTCCTGTCGCCCACATGAACTGCAGTCTGACATTGACAAGCTCTATTCTGAGACGTTCGCTGGAGTGGAGATTGCAGCGGAAGCACCAGGAGCAGGCGAACAGGAAGGGAAGGAGGGGGAGAAGGAGCAACAGCCTGCTGCTGCTGCTGCTGCTGCTGCTGACGTTCCCCCGCGCGTGTTTGAGAGCATGAATGAGGAGGCGTGGGGCAATCTGGGCCGTTCAGAGCCATCCGTGCTGAAGGCGCTGATTGGTGAGTGGGAGAAATCGTACCGCTGGAGCTTCACTGGCGTCATCACTTGCACTAGGCGCCAGTTCTGGCTCAGAGCATCCATCCATGATTCACTCCTTCTGACCGTAGAACGAAAGTCAACACTGTCCTTGTTTGCAAATTGGATTGACTTGAAACTTCTGCAAGATGCTGGAGTTTCCAAAGAATTCCAGCTAATCTCTGTCTGCACGGGATGTTACTGCTCTGTCATGGGACGAACTTTCACTGATTCCTAACGGTGTTTCTCTGCCGTTCCAAATTTGTGCCCTCTATGTTTCACTCCTGCACTCCATCACTCCCCTACTCCCACACATCAGAGTCGGTGGACCGACCAGCATGGACGGCCTTCCAGCGGGAGGTGCACAGCTTGGCGCTCAGGCGCGATCGCACGCGGCAGGAGCTCAGGGCGCTCGTGGAACAGCTGGACGAGGCCCGCACTGCTGCTGCTGCTGTACGGCCCTCTTCACATCCCGCCCCTCCCTCCCTCCCTCCCTCCCTCTCTCTCTCTCGCGCCCTCCCGCCCTCCCTCCCTCCCTCCCTCCCTCCCTCCCTCCCTTCCTCCCTCCCTCCCTCCCTCCCTCCCTCGCTCGCTCAGTCCCTCCCTACCTCCCTTCCTCACTCGCTCCCTCAATTCTACTCTTTTGCCTTCGTTCATGGCGCTTACTGCTGTCCCTGACGTCTCATGCTTTGGAGGTCGTTGTTCCCGGCTTATATCTGCATGTGGCGCTCCACCCTCTCCCTCCCGCACAGCAAGAAGCCACTGCTGCATTTCCTCTGACCCCCCTTCCGTCTTCCACCCCTACTGCATCTCCCCACATCGCTGAATTCTCGCATAGGAGGAATCACCCTCACATTCTCCCCTCCCAACCCCACCGCCTGCCCCCTAACCCCCGCTGCTTTCCCCCACCCCCAATGCACCCCCCACTGCCTTCCCGTCTCCCATCGCCTTCCACCTTGCACAGCCCATGGAAGAGACATCATCAGGGTCGGGTTCAGAGACGGAGGGCCCGGCAGCAGTGATCCCGGGGCTGGGCACGGGGGTTGAGCGCAGGTCTCACTGCATCCCTCACTGTTTCCCCTCTCCCCTCGGCCCCACCCCGGCCACCTTGCACAGCCCATGGAAGAGACATCATCAGGGTCGGATTCAGAGGCGGAGGGCCCGGCAGCAGTGATCCCGGGGCTGGGAGCGAAGGGGGAGCGCAAGGTGGCGAGCATGGTGCTGGTGGCGGGGTTTGAATCGTTCAACGTGGCGCTCTACAAGCAGGCTGCCGCTCAGCTGCGCTCCCAGTGCCCTGGTGCGCTCAGGGGGCAGGGCAGGGGAGCGGATGTGAGGTGGATGCATCACAAGGGCCGTGGGGGGGGGGGGATGGGATGCAAGGATTGAGATTGGGCAGCAGGGTTTAGGACGTAGCTATGAGAGAGTGGGTGAGTGGCAGTGGTTCTGACTTGTGTCCTGCTATTCACCTGGGCGTTGATCTAACTGTGCTTCTTTCACCTGTACTGTCCCATGCAGGCATTCGTCTCTCTGTCTTCTCCAATCGGGACATTCTCTCCAAGAGCAACGAGGTGCGTCAACCATCCAATGTTTGCTCCAACTGCTTTTGTGTGCTTCTGCTGCCTCTTCGTGTGCTGCTCTGCGCTCACACCTGACTTCTTAGACCAGTCCTACTGTCAACCCGCTCAACCTCCCTTGCTCCCTCTCTCTCGTCTTGTGCCGCGTGCGTGTGCATGTGAGCATGGCAGATGGAGGCAGCACTGGCACGAGCAGATGTGTTCTTTGGAAGCCTTATTGTCGACTACGATGAGGTGCGCCTGTTCCTTCATGACCTAACTGGATTGTGTTTTGAGTCGACTCAAAGCACTGGCAAGCACTGGCACGAGCAGATGTGTTCTTTGGCGGCCTTATTTTCGACTACGATGAGGTGCGCCTGTCGTCTCAGGACTTCAATGCAATACTTTGTCAATGCATCTTTGAATCCCAGTCACGCACACCTGTCAACCGGTTTTGCCTCTAGCAGGAAGGCCTCTTTTTCAAAGCTCCTTCCTGTTACCTGTTCTCCATATTCTGCCCCACCTGTCTTCATTAGTAACCAATCAGCCTTCCCATAACTTCCGCACTCTTCCCCCACTACCACATGTCGCCCCCCACCCCCCTTCTGTCCTCACACGGCTTGCAGTGCGAGTGGCTGCAGCAGCGCATCAAGAGCATCCCCATCCGCCTCATCTTCGAGTCCTCCCTCGAGCTCATGGCCATGACCACCCTCGGCAGGTACCTCTAGACTCTACCCTCCGCATGCATGCATCAACATGGTGATTGGATTGGTATGGTCCCCTCGTCCCCCTTATCCCCTCTCGAGCACCACATATGGTATTCATAGCTCGTTCCCAATGCGCCTCAAGTCCTGAATCGCCTCCTCCCCTCCTTCCCTCCTCCCCATGGACCCCGCCCTTCCCTGGTTTCTCCCCCAGCTTCGCCATGGCAGGGGGCAAGAGCCAGGGCATGCCGGCCCCGGTAAAGGCCGTTCTCTCAAAGTTCGGCGCGGGCCGGGAAGAGGACCGCATGGTGGGGTACCTGAGCTTCCTCAAGGTCGGCCCCAAGCTGCTGCGCTTCATCCCGGGCAAGCGAGCACGGGACCTGCGCAACTGGCTGACGGTGTATGGGTACTGGAACCAGGGCGGGCTGGTCAACGTGGTCAACATGTTCCTGTACCTTGCGAACGAGTACCTGCTGCCCACGGGGATCACGGCTTCTGCTCCCGTGGAGACTCCGCCCCTGGGACTATACCACCCTGACTATGGTGAGTTGACGTCAAGGTTGGTCAATGCACACAATGCTGCCAACGTGGTCATCATGTTCCTGTAGCTTGCCAATGAGTACCTGCTGCCCACTGGCATCATGGCTTCGGCTCCTGTGAAGACACCCCCACTTGGATTGTATCACCCTCCCTGACTGCGGTGAGTTGATCTGACACGGACCTGCGCAACTGGTGAGCTCAAAGTGAACCGAGTGTGTCCCAGCCCAGTTGTTGGGTGGCTTCTTCACTCACCACCAGTTCTCACCACCATACATCCATGGATCCTATTCCATTTCCCCAGCAAACAATCCTGTTCTCCTCCTTCTTCCCCCACTCCCCAGACGGCTACTTCACCTCCCCCAGTGCCTACCTGCGCTGGTTCCGCTCGTCCCAAACAGCCCTCCCCCCATCGGCGCCAGTGCGCTGCTCCTGTATCGCAAGCACGTGGTGACGCAGCAGCCCTACATCCCTCGCCTCATCTTCCATTCCCAAGCTCATGTTTCCCCACTCCGTCCCTTCCCCTTCTCCTCCCTCTTCCCTTCCCCTCCCCCTTCCCCCTTCCCCCTCCTCCCCAGACGGCTACTTCACCTCCCCCAGCGCCTACCTGCGCTGGTTCCGCTCGACCCAATCCTCCCTGCCCCCATCGGCGCCAGTGGTGGCGCTGCTGCTGTATCGCAAGCACGTGGTGACGCAGCAGCCGTACATCCCCCGCCTCATCCGCATGATGCAGCAAGCAGGGCTGGTGCCGCTGCCCATCTTCATCAACGGCGTGGAGGCTCACACGGTGGTGAGGGACCTGCTCACCACGGCATACGAGCAGGAGGAGAGGAGGAAAGGCGTCATCATGACTTCGTCGCTGGCGCAAGATGCTGTGGTGGTTGATGCCGTCGTCAGCACCATCGGTGAGCATGCTAAGCTTGCTGTTTCTGGCACCATTGCTTGCACCACTGGGATCTGCAGCACTGGCAAACCCACACACATGTTCTGCTCTCACAAGATCTCATGCTGCTTGCTGTGCTCCTCTTGTGTGTTACTGACACCAAGACAGTCGATGCCCCATCATCACCACATGTGCTCGCCCCATCCGCCCTCGTCGTGCAGGATTCCCCTTGGTGGGAGGGCCAGCTGGTTCAATGGAAGGCGGCCGCCAGGCAGAGGTGCGACCCCACTCTCTCTACTGCTCTCTCCGCACGCTCTTTCTTGATCTACTCTCGTTCCTCACACTCGCAGCTCTCGTTCCTCACACTCGCAGCTCTCGTTCCTCACACTCGCAGCTCTCGTTCCTCACACTCGCAGCTCTCCTTCCTCACACTCGCAGCTCTCGTTCCTCACACTTTTAACTGCCCAAAGGTGCTCTCATCGACCCTACCCACACTCAACCGCTTTCCCCGCCAGGTGGCCAAGTCCGTCCTGCTGGCAAAGAACGTGCCCTACGTGGTGGCAGCACCGCTGCTCATTCATGACAACCCCACCTGGGAGAATATTTCAACATTCTACCTACCTTCCTTTCCTTCCTCTCGCCACCAGGTGGCCAAGTCCATCCTGCTGGCAAAGAACGTGCCCTACGTGGTGGCAGCACCGCTGCTTATTCAGGCATTCCCAGCTGGAAGCGTTTTGTCTCAGCTGCTTGTGTCCTTGCGCTGTTGGGCTGTCAAGATTGAGGCATCACAAGTATACAACCTCTACCCCCTCTCGCCGCCAGGTGGCCAAGTCCATCCTGCTTGCCAAGAACGTGCCCTACGTGGTGGCAGCGCCGCCGCTCATTCATGACATCCTCAGCTGGAAGCCTCTCGTCTACACTGCTTGTGTCCTTGGGCCAGACTTATGAAATCACAAGTATACAACACTCTACCCCATCCATTCCCCTCTCTCCACCAGGTGGCCAAGTCCATTCTGCTGGCCAAGAACGTGCCCTACGTGGTGGCAGCGCCGCTGCTCATTCAGGACATACCCAGCTGGAAGCGCGACGGCGTGCAAGGGCTGCAGTCAGTGGTGCTCTACTCGCTGCCGGAGCTCGATGGTGCCATCGACGCCATTCCGCTGGGAGGGCTTGTCGGCGATGGCATTCACCTGGTAGGCTGGGGTTAGACGGTATGCATGCGCCTGGTAAGATGTGTTCACCTGGCGCAAGGCTGCAGTCAGTGGTGCTCTACTCGCTACCGGAGCTTGATGGTGCCATCGACGCCATTCCGCTGGGGGGGCTTGTCGGCGACGGCATTCACCTGGTAAGCTGGTGGTGGCAGATGTTATGCTGGGTTCAGATGGTAGGCTGCATTGACTCGTACAGAGCTGCATGCAGTAGTGCTCTCGTTGCCTGAACTGACCAGAGCCAGGAGCCACGGCCCCCACCTTCTGCTTCCTGCCCCACCACATAACATACCAGGTGCCAGAGCGAGTTCGGCGCCTGACCTCTCGCCTGTGGAGTGGGATCAACCTGCGGCGCGCATAGAGAGCTAGCTCAGCGCAAGGTGGCCCTCGTGCTGTATGGCTTCCCCCCTCCTCGATCCCCCTGCCCCACTCCCACTCTTACCACCCTACCACCCCAGGTGCCAGAGCGTGTGAGGCGACTGATATCCCGCCTGTGGAGTTGGATCATCCTGCGGCGCAAAGCGAGAGCCATAACGTTACACGGCTTCTCTCCTCCCCTCCCACACAACCCCAGGTGCCAGAGCGTGTGAGGCGCCTGACCTCGCGCCTGTGGAGTTGGATCAACCTGCGGCGCACAGCAAGAGCACAGCGCAAGGTGGCCCTCGTGCTGTACGGTTTCCCCCCCGGCGTGGGCGCTACCGGCACTGCTGCCCTGCTCAACGTGCCCAAGTCGCTGGAGGCACTGCTGCAGCGCATGCACGCAGAGGGGTGAGTTGCTGAGTGCATGGGCATGGCATTGACGGCACGTAGGGTGGCCGTTGTGCTGTATGGCTTCCCCCCTGGGGTGCGTGCTACTGGTACTGCCGCCCTGCTCAACGTGCCCAAGTCGCTGGAGGCACTGCTGCAGCGCATGCATGCAGAGGGGTAGGTGAGGGGTGAGAGGAGAGGGGTGAGGGGAGAGGGGTGAGCTGCTGACTCAGAGGAGTGAATTGGCATAGCATAAAAGGCATGTTGGCACAGCTGGCTCTAACTCAATTTCAAATGGTAAACTATTTACCCTCTCGTCCTTCTAACTGCCGTGCCCTCCCCTGCCCCACTTCTCCCCACTCTCCCCTGCCCCACTTCTCCCCACTCTCCCCTGCCCCACTTCTCCCCACTCTCCCCTGCCCCACTTCTCCCCACTCTCCCCTGCCCCACTTCTCCCCACTCTCCCCTGCCCCACTTCTCCCCACTCTCCCCTGCCCCACTTCTCCCCACTCTCCCCTGCCCCACTTCTCCCCACTCTCCCATGCCCCACTTCTCCCCACTCTCCCCTGCCCCTCCTCTCCCCGCCCTCCCCTCTGCCTGCTCCTCCACCAGCTACGACCTGGGCCCAGCAGGTGAGGCAATCTCGCGCGGCGAAATCAACGGTGAGGATCTGATCGCGCTGCTGCAGGAGCTGGATGCGGACAGGGTGGTATCAGCGGGGGAGAAAGGGCCCGAGCTGGCGCTCAAGGCGGTGAATGAGAAGCTGCAGCGCAGCGAGGACGGCCCCAGGAGCATCCCTGAAGGGGTGGTGCCCGTGGCAGAGTGCATCGACTGGCGGCAACTGAGGGATTGGATTGGGTGAGTGGGGAGTGGCAATGCTGGCTTGAGCTTGGGGGTGAGGTTCTAAAATGGCTTAGAAGTCACGCCCACTCACTGACCTGCTGATTCTTGGTGTGTGGCAGGGAGACCCTGACGGGGCGCATGGAGAGGGCGTGGGGCGAGCTGAGGAAGATCCGATCCATCCACTGCGACTCGGAGGGCAGGAGTGTTGTCAGCGGCATTCAGCTCGGTAACGTGTGGTGAGTTACCATTGCGCGGTAATTTGCGTGCATGCAGTGCGGTGCAGTGTGGTACAGTGCATCCAAGGTTCTAACCGTTCTAGGGTGAGGGTGGAACATCTGCTTGCTGCGTGCAGTTGAACAACACCTTGCCACTGCTGCTGCTGCTGCAGATCCCAGTGCTGCGTGTACCGAGCCCAGTGCGGCGATCCTGGGCTCTGTACACAAGCAAAAGATGCTCTCGTCTCTCTCTCTTCTCTCTGCTCATCCCTCTAGACATCTTACCATCTGTCACTCCTCAACCCGCCCCCCTTTCCCACTGTGCCCTGGTGATAGTTAGTTACCCTGTGTTGCCCTCTCCATTCCACTTTCCCGCCCAAACCCTGCCCTGGGTGGCACGGCAGGATCGGAGTGCAGCCAGTGCTGGGCCTGGAGGGAGACCCCATGCGCCTGCTCTTTGAGCGTGACCTCACTCCCCACCCCCAGGTAGGTAACTGTTCGTTGTGCTGTCACTCACTGTTCTTTTTATTAGTGTTGTTTCTCCCGTTCATTTTCTCCCGTTCATTTTCTCCCGTTCATTTTCTGCATTTACCCCATGACACTTATCACCCCTCTCACCGTGCACTGTCGTCACCCCTCTGCTGTCCCACCATCCCCCCACCAGTACGCAGCCTTCTACAAGTGGCTGCAGCAGGGCATGCAGGCGAATGCAGTGGTGCACTTCGGCATGCACGGCACTGTGGAGTGGCTTCCTGGCAGCCCTCTGGGCAACACAGGTGTGGAAGAGGTTCGGGTGATGTGACAACGGGGGGCATGGCATTTTATGGTGTGGGAAGGATAGGGTACTTGGTATTGCACATATGTATGTGCACGCCTCCATCCGTCTCCCCTCCCTCATCCCTTCCCTGTTCCCTCATCCTTCCTTTCTCCATCCGGTCTCCACACTTCCTCATCCGTTTTCCCTCCTGCCTTCTCCTCCTGTCTCCTCGCCCCTGCAGGCCTGTCTTGGTCCGACGTGCTCCTGGGCAACCTCCCCAACATGTGAGTTTCACACTCTCACCTTCCACACTCTTTCACCTTCCACACTCTCTCAACCTCCACACTCTCACCCTCTGCACTCTCACCCTCCACACCCTCTCACTGCCGAGCCAGCTCCACGAGCTGGACATGCCACGTATCTCACGTGTCTCGCTTTTTTTCCACCATTCACCCTCACACGCCTCGCCCTCTGAACCAACTACTATTACCCGGTATCAGCGCGTGCAGCGTGCCATTTTTCCTGCATCCTCACAGCACCCTCATGATCATTTCACCTACTCCTCACTCCATGAGCCTTCCCAACACCCCTAACGCGAGGGAAAAGGGTTTGAGCCTATGATTCCACCAGCACCATGCAGGGCGGCTGATGTGCCTCCGTTTCACCCTACCAGCTCGCACCTCCACATTCGCCTTCTTCCCACTGCTGTCTGCCCTCCATGTGTCATCACCCCCCACCCCCATCAGCTAAATACATCTATGCGGCCAACAACCCCTCCGAGTCCAATGTTGCCAAGAGGTGGGCGGAGGTGTTGTGCCTTAGCGTCAATCCCCCCCAACATGTGCTGCTCTCCTGCTCCCTCCTCCCCTCTCCTCCCCCCCCACCCCCATCAGCTACATCTATGCGGCCAACAACCCCTCCGAGTCCATTGTTGCCAAGAGGCGCGGCTACGGCACCATAGTGTCGTACAATGTGCCTCCGTATGGCAGGGCAGGGCTGTACAAGGAGCTCGCTGGGCTGAGGGAACTGGTGAGTTGTAAGGCGCCTTGAGCAGAGGGGCGGGGATACGACACCATAGGGGCGGGGATACAATGTGCCGCCCTATGGCAGGGCAGGGCTGTACAAGGAAATCGCTGGGCTGAGGGAGCTGGTGAGTTCGTGAGGCGCCTTGAGCAGAGAGGCGGGCGGGGGTACGGCACCAGAGTGTCGTACAACGTGCCACCACCCTATGGCAGGGCAGGGCTGGTTAAGGAACTTGATGGGTTGAGAGAGCTGGTGAGAGCTTGCACGGAGTGTGGGACCTCTTGACCAGTCACAACGTCCCTCCGTGCAAACGTCTCTCTCACATGTCTCGGGCCCACTCGTCAACTGCTTTCCTGTCCACCTTTCAATGCCATTTCATCTCCGCTCGTTTTTCTGCTGCGCCGTGTGCAGATCTCAGAGTTCAGGGAGGACCCAGCAAAGAACGAGTCACTGAAACCAGCCATAGTGGGCGCGCTGGTGACGGCGGGCATGCAGGCGGACTGCCCCTTCGTGCCCTCTGATGGCTCCAGCGGTGGCGAGGCGGTGTTTCTGGATGAGGAGAGCATTGAGGGGGTGTCGGAGGCGGAGTTTGAGAAGTACCTCGTGAAGCTGTATGAGTACCTGGTGAGTCCGTGTGAGGGGGAGAGGGAAGGAGTGAGGGAGTGAGGGGGGGAGGGAGGGGATGATTGAGTGAAGGTGCGAGGGAGTTTTTGCAGGGGTGACTGGGAGAGCTACCAGGGCAGCACAAGCCCTCGGATGGTTCTAGCGCAGCGAGGCGGTGTTTCTGGACGAGGAGAGCATTGAGGGGGTCTCTGAGGAGGAGTTTGAGAAGTACCTCGTGAAGCTGTATGAGTACCTGGTGAGTCTATGCGCGAGGGGTTGAGTGAGCGAGGGAGTGAAGGAGTGCCTGCACTGCTGCGCCTCAACCCTTCCCCTCTCGTCCCTGCCCAATCCCTTTCCCCCCAATCCTTCTCCCCCAATCCACTTAACCCACGCTTTCCCCCCATCGCTGCACATCTCTGCATCCCAGGCGGTGGTGGAGAACCGTCTGTTCTCGGAGGGGCTGCACAATCTGGGCCGTCCACCCAAGGAGGAGCAGATGGAGCAGTACCTTTCGGCCTACTTCGGGGATGACCTGGATGACACAGCTATCGAGGCTGTTGCTCACACCCATGGGGACCTGGCTGAGGTGCGTAGTGTGGAGTGGTGGGGCGTGGTGATGGGGGGAGGCCGATGGGGGAGGGGCCAGTCCCATCGGAGGAGCAGAGCAGATGGAGCAGTACTTGTCGGCGGTACTTCGGGGATGACCTGGATGGCACGGCCATTGAGGCTGTTGCTCACACCCATGGGGGGGACCTGGCTGAGGTGCGTTATGGGGGAAGGTGATTGGTTGTGATGGGAGGTGATGGGAAGAGTGGCACGATCAGATGGAAGCATTTTTGTTTGGTAGTGCACCGACCACCACCGTCGTATCTCACCTCACCATGCCTGCCCCACTGTGCCTGTTCCACCATGCCTATACCACAGGTTCGGCAGCGCTTGGAGCAGCTATACCTGAGGGACGGCGTGGCGCCGCCCGTTCGGGATGCTGAGGTGGACGCCCGCGTGGCGGAGGCGGTGAGCATTCGGCAGCTCCTGGCGCGCAACACGGAGGAGCTGGATAACGTGCTGCGTGGGCTGGACGGTGAGAGTGGTTTAGTGCGGTGCGGGTGGATGGGATGGATTGTCTGGATGGTGGAAGCAGTGAGCAGCTGCTGACACGCAACACAGAGGAGCTGGATAACGTGCTGCGTGGGCTGGACGGTGAGAGAGAGCAGAGTACATTTTTTTGAAGGGCCAGGGTGGGGCAGCCAGATGCATGGTGTCAAGGCAGGTGGAGGGGAAGGTTGGATGGTAGGGACAGGGGGATGACTCGAGTCTTGCAACTGTACTCTCCGCCATGGTTGTTGCTTCCTCGTCCATCCATCTCCTCCCTTGACCCCTCTGTCGGCCCTGTATGTGTGCAGGTGACTATGTGCCTCCTGCTGTGGGTGGCGACCTGCTGCGAGACGGCCCAGGTGAGGCTCCACAAGCGCACCCAACATCATTGGGTGTTTGTAAAACCTGTCAGATATGAGAATTGTTGGAAGACGCCTGAAACCTCTCCTTACGGTCAGCTCCCCATCTCTCTCTCCGTCGATCCATGCCCCAAGCTGCATGCTCCTCTCCTCTGTACCCCATTGCTATCCCTCCCTCCTCGCCTCTTTCCCTTCACCCGTTCCTGAGCATTCCTTACTTCAAGAAAACAACTCGTTTCTCCTTGTCCTGACTATATCCTTTCCCCCTGCTGCATGCTGTGTGTCCCGTGTTATGTGCTTCTCTGCAGGAGTGCTGCCAACGGGGCGCAACATCCACGCCCTGGACCCCTACCGCATGCCATCAGCAGGTGACTACCAACACATAATAATTCACAAAAGCAATTCACATTCGCTGGTGGCAAGCTGCATTGCCTGTTTCCGCCATGCGGCTCGGCATGAACCCCCCTTGTGTGTGATGTGATGTGATGACCGCATCACCTGGCACTGATGGGTGTGGCGTGTCTGATCAAACGACCGATTGACTGCTCACAACACGTTTGCGGTCAATCTGGCTAACGTGCTCGCTGCTGAGAGTGAGGGACCGAATTTGCCATGCATGTGTGTGTCTGAAATGAACATGCTTCTTTGCTGCCCCTTCACTACGGTTCATTCACTTCTTTCACTTACAACAGAAGACTCTCACTCACTCCCACCATGCTCTCCTGACCTCTCCACTCTCGCTGCTCTCATTGCTCTCTCCTCCATTGTCCCTTCTCCTCCATCTCCCCAGCGGCATGGGAGAGGGGCAGTGCCATAGCGGCCAACATAATACAGCAGCACCTGGACCAGCACGGCACGTACCCTGAGACCATTGCCGTCATGCTCTGGGGTCTAGACGCCATCAAGGTGGGTGGGATTTTCGGTGTGAATGATGCTGCCATGCTGCTCTGCTCCATCACCAACTGACTCTGCACCGCACGTGCATGCTTACAGTGTTTCTTTCCTCTTCTCTCTTCTTTGACCACTCTCGGCTGTTTCCTCCCTCTTGTCCGTGCCAGCTCTTTCTATGAAACATCACATTCGCCTCGTCCTTAATGCAGGCCCTCTCTCCCCCACCTTGTTCCCTCTCCCTCCCTGCCCTCCACCTGCATGTTGCCATTCCTGCCCTCCACCTGCATGTTGCCATTCCTGCCCTCCACCTGCATGTTGCCATTCCTGCCCTCCACCTGCATGTTGCCATTCCTGCCCTCCACCTGCATGTTGCCATTCCTGCCCTCCACCTGCATGTTGCCATTCCTGCCCTCCACCTGCATGTTGCCATTCCTGCCCTCCACCTGCATGTTGCCATTCCTGCCCTCCACCTGCATGTTGCCATTCCTGCCCTCCACCTGCATGTTGCCATTCCTGCCCTCCACCTGCATGTTGCCATTCCTGCCCTCCACCTGCATGTTGCCATTCCTGCCCTCCACCTGCATGTTGCCATTCCTGCCCTCCACCTGCATGTTGCCATTCCTGCCCTCCACCTGCATGTTGCCATTCCTGCCCTCCACCTGCATGTTGCCATTCCTGCCCTCCACCTGCATGTTGCCATTCCTGCCCTCCACCTGCATGTTGCCATTCCTGCCCTCCACCTGCATGTTGCCATTCCTGCCCTCCACCTGCATGTTGCCATTCCTGCCCTCCACCTGCATGTTGCCATTCCTGCCCTCCACCTGCATGTTGCCATTCCTGCCCTCCACCTGCATGTTGCCATTCCTGCCCTCCACCTGCATGTTGCCATTCCTGCCCTCCACCTGCATGTTGCCATTCCTGCCCTCCACCTGCATGTTGCCATTCCTGCCCTCCACCTGCATGTTGCCATTCCTGCCCTCCACCTGCATGTTGCCATTCCTGCCCTCCACCTGCATGTTGCCATTCCTGCCCTCCACCTGCATGTTGCCATTCCTGCCCTCCACCTGCATGTTGCCATTCCTGCCCTCCACCTGCATGTTGCCATTCCTGCCCCTATCAGACGCGCGGCGAGTCTGTTGCAATAGCCCTTGCACTCGTAGGAGCACACCCGGTGAAGGAGGTGAGGGTGGGATGGGAGGCCAGGGAACTGGGAGAGTGGGATGGGAGAGAGACGAGGTGAAGCTCCAATGCAGGGTGGGGCTGAGTGAGGGATGCTCTTGTAACTCAGCACGTGCTGCCGGGCACAGGGCAAGTAGTGTGGTCAGACATCACTCCCTAACATCCTTCCATGTTATCATCTCATAGCATGTGAGTGGTGCCGTCAGCATTCATAGCATGTGAGTTGTGCCGTCAGCATTCATAGCATGTGAGTGGTGCCGTCAGCATTCATAGCATGTGAGTCCGGAGGCATGTGTCACAAAGCAATCCACTGACGCCCTGCTGTGCCATCATCTCTCACTCCTCTCTGCTTCACTCACCCCGCCAGGGCACGGGGCGAGTGGTCCGTTTCGACCTCACACCCCTGGAGCAGCTGGGGCGGCCCAGAATAGACGTACTGGCCAACCTCTCAGGCATCTTCCGAGACAGGTGGGCAAAGCAGCATTCTCTTGAAGCTGCAGGCTCGTTTTCTTCCGCACAATATTGCCAACTGCCACCTCCTACCTTGCATTTTTGTTTCTTTTCGAGACAAGGGAGGGAGCCAATCACCTTGCCTACCCTCCCCCCTTCATACACCCGCCCCTGCCTCCGTCCCCACTTGACCCCCCAACCAACGTGGTGGAGCTGCTGGACGACCTGTTCAGGCGAGCAGCCTTCTGAGTTGATTCCAAAAGCACTGCCCCTCTCACACTGTCCGGTCCCCTCTGCCCCCCCGTCTGCCCCCCCCTTACAGTTTCGCCAGCATGGTGGAGCTGCTGGACGACCTGTTCAGGCGAGCAGCCTTCTGAGTCGACTAAAAGCTGCACTGCCCTGCCCTGCCCTGCCCTGCCCTCGATTGCCCCGGCCCTGCCCCTTGCAGTTTCGCCAATGTGGTGGAGCTGCTGGACGATCTCTTCAGGCGAGCAGGAGAGGCGGACGAGCCTCCAGAGATGAACTTCATCCGCAAGCACTCGCTGGCGCTGCAGGTGCTTACTCTCACTCTCACTCTCACGCACACGCACACGCACACACGCACGCACACACGCACTTGCACTTGCACTTGCACTTGCTTGCTGATTGTCTCCAGATAACTGATAAAAAGCACTCCCTGTCAGTCACTGCATATGTTCTCGAGCCTCCAGAGATGAGCTTCATCAGCAAGCACTCGCTGGCGCTGCAGGTACCCTCAGGCACATGTGCTTGCACAGATCACCACATCGTTCCTTGCAGTCTCTGCCCCTTATCTGCGTCCTTCGTGGGCTGTTTCTGACTTGTCCGTTCTTCGCCTCCCTGTCACGTAACATGGTGGTGTCTTTGGAAGCAGGCAGTAAGCAGAAGGTAGAAGACAGCCATGAGAACTCTGCTATCTCTTGTTTCTCATGCTGGCTGCCCTTGCAGGCAGAAGGCATTGATGCATCAACGGCCAGGATCTTCTCCAACCCAGCAGGCGACTACGGATCAATGGTCAATGAGCGCATTGGCGCAGCTGACTGGTTAGTTCCTTCCCCTTCATCCTCCCCTTTCCTCTCACCAAGTCTATTTTACTCCTACTTCCCTCCCTCTACATGCCCCTCCTCCATTTTGCCTTCCAGCAACGACGCCATGCAATCTGCTGTGCCTTATCCCTACTACTATTTGCGTCCCGCTGTTTGCTGCTAACACACGCCATCCCTCTCTCTTTGTGGGCATGCCTGTTGCGTGCCCTATCACAGGGAGAACGGGGAGGAGTTGGGGGACACGTGGCAGTCCAGGAACTCGTTCAGCTATGGCAGGGGCGAGCAGGGCGTGGCTCGACCAGAGGTACGGTGCTGCTCCTCATGTGCTCCTCATGTGCTCTTCTTGTGCTGTGCTATTGCTGCCGTTGGCCTACCAGCATAACTCTTCCCGACTTGGACCTTCCCTAGACCATCTGTGGAGTATGGACTCATGGACATGTCTCAGTCAGCTCCTTGCATCAAGTCTTCCACGCACCCCCTACCCCACCCCACACCATCCCACTCCACCCCACCCCTCCCCACCGCACCCCACCCCACTCCACCCCCACATCACCAGGTGATGCGCAAGCTGCTCCAAACAATGGACCGCATAGTGCAGGAGATAGACAGCGTGGAGGATGGGCTCACGGACATGTCCCAGTCAGTTCCTACTCTCTCCACACACCCCTCACCCCTCCCGACCCCATTCCACCCCACCCCACTCCACCCCTCCCCAACCCAGGTGATGCGCAAACTCCTCCAGACAACAGACCGCATAGTGCAGGAGATAGACAGTGTGGAGTATGGGCTGACAGACATCCAGGAGTACTATGCCAACACTGGCGCCATGAAGAACGCCGCTGAGACCGCTCGCAACGGCGCCAAGGTAACGCATTGCACCGCACCGCATCGCACTGCACTGCACAGTTGCCTTTTGAGTCGAGTCAGGAGTGCAGGAGATAGACAGTGTGGAGTATGGGCTGACAGACATCCAGGAGTACTATGCCAACACGGGCGCCATGAAGAACGCTGCTGAGACGGCCCGCAACGGCGCCAAGGTGATGCACACAGCCTCCTGTGCTCCGCTCGTCCCATGCTCCCACAGTGCTTTCTCTCTGCCACTCATCTCCATCTGCTATGGCATGTGCATACCACAGAACCATCCTCCCTCCCTCCGCTCCCCTTTGCCCTCCCTGCTCACAGGTGTCGTGCAGTGTGATGGAGACGTATGGCAAGGTCTTTTATGAGGTGCCTCAGAATTCAAGTCTCCCAAACCTTTTTTTGCCATGGCTGGCGCACCCTGCACGCTCGCAGGTGTCATGCAGTGTGGTGGAGACATACGGCAAGACTTCTAAGGCGCCTCAGAAAATGATTTGCCCAATCCCCACCCTCCACGCTCGCAGGTGTCGTGCAGTGTGGTTGAGACGTATGGCAAGGACCTTCGCCCGCGCGACCTTGAAGCCACACTGCGACTCGAATACCGCTGCAAGGTGCGCCGGGGTGTGCAGGGTGCCCTAGGAGGTGCAGGGTGTTTCAAATCGCATGCTTCGGTTTCTCATTGCATGGCATGGCTCAGAGCCCTGCTGCGTTCTCTAATTTTCCTCCCACACCATCATACCTCAGGCTTGGAAGCCGTGCCATTCTGCGACTGGAACAGCAGATATTGCTTAGCTAGTCACCCAGACACTGGCTGCCCTCTCCTCCATGCAAATCTCGCTGCTACGGCAACCCATCTTTTACCCCATGGGACCTCTGCCCTCCTTCCCCTCCATTCCCTCATCCCCTCTCTTCCCGTCCCTCACCTGCCATGCCAGCTGCTGAACCCCAAGTGGGCGGAGAAGATGGCAGCGCAGGGCAGTGGGGGCGCGTACGAGATCTCACAGCGCATGACAGCACTGCTGGGGTGGGGCGGTACCACGGGGTTCCAGGAGGACTGGGTGTTCGACCAGGCTGCTGACACGTACGCTCTCGATGAAGCAATGGCTGCTAAACTCAGGAAGAACAACCCCCAGGTGCGTGTTTATCTGTCTGGATGTGTGTGCGTGCGTGTGCTGCTGCTGGGGTTGGGCGGCACCACGGGGTTCTAGGAGGACTGGGTGTTGATAAGTACTGCTTATCGAGAAAAGGATAATAACGGACTGCTTCTTGACGAGAAAAGGCATTGCTAATAACGCGTTATTATCAATGCCTTTTCTCGTCACACAACTCTGCCACAAGCCTTCAGTTTCTGGTCCTTGAGGTGCGTCCCCTCTGGTTTGTCCTTTCACCTTGTCCAACTGCAGGCCTTCCAGAACATTCTGAAGCGCATGCTGGAGGCAGCGGGGCGCAGGCCTTCATCTTTCTGACCCTCCAGTTTGTCCCTTTGGCCCTGTTTCGTGCATGCACCCACCGTGGCACTGCAGGCGTTCCAGAACATTCTGAAGCGCATGCTGGAGGCAGCGGGGCGAGGCATGTGGCAGGCTAACGATGAGGTGATCGAGAAGCTGAGGGAGCTCTATGCTGAGATGGACGATGAGCTTGAAGGGGTGAAACTGCGCTAGCTAGTGATGGAAAATAAAGTAAAAAGAAACTGTATAAATAACCAGTATGAGGTGATTGAGATGTTGAGGGAGCACTATACCTAGCGAGATAGACGATGAGCTAGAAGGAGTGAAGCTGCGCTAGTGGGCAAATTTGCATATACTAATAATGGTACGGCAAATCTATATATATTCACCCTAGGGAGGGATGGATGTTGCTTTGGCAGGCAAGCCGTAAAAACTACGGAGGATCAGAGGCAATTTGTATAGATTCTTCTTGCCATGTACCCACAATTGCCCTTTTTTATACTACTTGATAAGACAGTGCAATTGCCCTTTTTTATATTGCGGCAATCATCCACGGGAATAAGCATGCAAATTACAGTGCAGCTCCTGGATGGATAATGATATCGTGCAATCACGTCATCATTCAACAGGTGCCTTGTACCGTACGCTACATTCTCTTTTGCACTACTGAGCTTTAGCAGACCTAAAATTTATACGAATCTGCTTATTCCATCAACTGGCATGATATACCAAGGCAAGAATCTAAGCTTGAGTCGTGACTTCAGGGATTCTTGCCAAGAAGTCACCACTCAAGCTTAGATTCTTGCCTGCTCGCAGCGCTGCTGCTGTGGTGCTCGCAGCGCTGCATAGGGTGTGCATGGGGTGTGCATGGGGTGTGCATGGGGTGTGCATCGTGGGGAGGGAGGGAAGGCATGTGGTTGAAAGCACAGCTCGCAGGTTGAGGGCCTGGGCCTTGCTGCGGGGAAGGAGAAAGACAGGAGGGGAGGGACAGGAGAAGGATAGCTCGCAGACCGAGAGATTTAGCTGCAGCAATGATTCCAGCACACGACACCCCATGATTCCAGCACACGACACACCATCTCTATTGCTTCCCGGTTTCCCGGTTTCCCAGTTTCCCGGTTTCCCGGTTTAGAGGGAAGGCGGGAACTTGAGATTTAGGTCCCCATGATTGCCCCTATCTAAACTCACCCTGGAATTTCACCCCCTCTTTCTCCTCGCCCTCTCACCCCTGGGGGATTTAGGCCTTCACCATTACCCCTCACTTGACTCACCCACCCAAGGGGTTTCAGCCCCCTCCTCCCTCATGCACCCACCCAACCCAAGGGGATTCAGTCCCCTTCCCTCTCACCCACCCAACCCAAGGGGATTCAGTCCCCCTCCCTCTCACCCACCCAGCCCAAGGGGATTCACCCCTTCCTTCTCACCCATCCCACCAAAGGCGATTCACCCCTTCCTTCTCACCCATCCCACCCAAGGGGATTCACCCCTTCCTTCTCACCCATCCCACCCAAGGGGATTCACCCCTTCCTTCTCACCCATCCCACCCAAGGGGATTCACCCCTTCCTTCTCACCCATCCCACCCAAGGGGATTCACCCCTTCCTTCTCACCCATCCCACCCAAGGGGATTCACCCCTTCCTTCTCACCCATCCCACCCAAGGGGATTCACCCCTTCCTTCTCACCCATCCCACCCAAGGGGATTCACCCCTTCCTTCTCACCCATCCCACCCAAGGGGATTCACCCCTTCCTTCTAACCCATCCCACCCAAGGGAATTCACCCCTTCCTTCTCACCCATCTCACCCAAGGGGATTCACCCCTTCCTTCTCACCCATCCCACCCAAGGGGATTCACCCCTTCCTTCTCACCCATCCCACCCAAGGGGATTCACCCCTTCCTTCTCACCCATCCCACCCAAGGGAATTTACCCCTTCCTTCTCACCCATCTCACCCAAGGGGATTCACCCCTTCCTTCTCACCCATCCCACCCAAGGGGATTCACCCCTTCCTTCTCACCCATCCCACCCAAGGGGATTCACCCCTTCCTTCTCACCCATCTCACCCAAGGGGATTCACCCCTTCCTTCTCACCCATCCCACCCAAGGGGATTCAGTCCCCCTCCCTCTCACCCACCCAACCCAAGGGGATTGGATTCAGTCCCCTTCCCTCTCACCCACCCGCTCAAGGGGTTTCAGGCCCCTTCTCTCTCACCCACCCAGCCAGCCCATCCCACCTCACCTGCCAGCAGTAGGAGCAGCAGACAGCCCACTTTCGTAAGGAAACAGCACCTCCAGAGGCGGTGCCTTGAGGGGCGAGGTGTGGTAGTGAAAAATTGCTTTCAGCCCAAGACTCAAATCCCACCCCTGACGTAGCCAGATCTGACGCGAACCAGAGCCGCCGGCCGGTCGGCTCTGACAGTGTCCATTAGGCCTTGCACGTCAGATTTGATACTTGAGCACCGAGTGCCGTGCCGCACAGATTCCACCCACCACACCCCACCCACAAGACACAACTTCAGGAGATGCTGCCCCTACGGCAGTGAACTCCCCGCTTGCTCCCATGCCCCCCACCCACCCACCCCACACTTCAACCCCATGCCTCCTTACCTGTACCTACCACAGCCGTGCAGAGCGCCATGATGCCGAGGCTGCTGGGAAGGGGAGAGAGAAGGGGGGATTAGGCCGGGTGCTGCTGGGAGGGAAGGGAGAAGGGAGAGAGGGGGAATTGAGTGAGAGATGGACACCACTCCAGTGCTGCAGTGCTCCCACCTTCAGCCTGCAGGGAGAAGAGGGAAGAGAGAGAGGAGGGGATCAGCTTACCATACCTCACCTGTTACCATACCATACCTGTACCATACCACACCTGCACCATACCACACCTAGTCCCTCCTCTAGTACCCCAGCCCCCACTGCCGCTGTTGACACTTCTTCTGCTGCTACTGCTGCTGCCGGTCTGCTACACTGCTTCCCCTTCTGCTGCTGCTGCCCCTCTCCTTCCCTCCTCTGCTGCACTCCTGCTGCCTCCTGCTACCCTGCTGCTGCCCTGCTGCTGCCATGCTGCTGCCCTCCTACTGCCCCCTGCTGCCCTGCTACAGCCTTCAATGTACTGGGAGGGAGGGAGAGGGAGGGAAACAGGGAGCAAGGGACAGCAGTGAGAATGGGGAGAACAGCAAGCATGAGGCAGGGAGGGAGCAAAAACGACAAGTGAGCATCCAGAGAAGACCAAGCAGCAGCATGAGTGCACGAGGGTAAAGAGGCTCACCTTGTTCCACACGACCCCATCCCTATACTCTCCCATCCCATCCCAGCCGAGTGAAGTGCTGCCCCCCTCCCCCCCCACCACTGCCACCTGCAAAGCCACAAGGGGAGGGGTGCGGGGGAGTGGCGGTGTTGACCCCTACGCCCCTCCCCTCCATCTGCAAGGAGAGAACTGAAGTCAAGTGAGTAAGTGGCTAGGGGTAACAATGTGACGGGAGTGCATGGGCGGGTGGGGTGGGGTGGGGTGGGGTGGCAGGTAACAGCAGGAAAGGGGGCCACTGGTGCAGCTTCAGCTACAAGCCACAGACTCAGAAGGAGGCTTAACCTGAGAGCATACCTGTACCTGGGGTGGTTTACCAAAAAAAAGGGGTCTGTGGCTTGAAGTTGTAGCACGACCAGAGGCTCAGGTTTGAAGGGAGGTTCAGGTCTCTTGGGTGTGACAGACGGCAGCACATGAATAGAGAGAAAGGGCGGGGTACTTAGCTGTGGGTGGGTTGGGTGGAGAGCAGCTGCTGCCTGTGCACTCCATGTCCCCCGCCGCTGCCACTCCCGTGTGAGCGACCTGCTGGGACGAGAGGGGGCAGGTCGGGACAGAGAGAGGATGGGGGGAGGGGGGAAAGAAAACGGAGAAGTGAAGGGGGCGCAGAGGAGTGGGGAGAGCAGTGAGGAAAGAAGCCGAGACAAGTGAAATTGAAGAGTGCAGTAAGCGCAAGCACGATGAGTGCATGAAGGAGCTGCTGCAGTGGCACACCCAAGAGACCTCGTACCAGCTCAACCACACAAAAACAAATACCTGAGGCTGTACCAAGAAAAAAGATACCAACTACCTTGGGGGAGGGAGGTCTAATGGGTGTGACAAAGAGCAGTGAAAAAGGGAGTGTAATGCATGGTGCAAGCATGACAAGCAAAGCGACGCAGTGCGAGGGTTGGGAAAAAACAGGAAGGGCGGGGCACTTAGCTGTGGGTGGGTTGGGTGGAGAGCAGCTGCTGCCTGTGCACTCCATGTCCCCCGCCACTGCTACTCTGCTTCCCCAACTGCTGCCTGCTGCTGCCCCCTTGCTGCTCTGCTACTGGGAGCAAGGCAGCGGAAGTGGAGTGGAGTGCTGCCCCCCTCCCCTCCCACCACTGCCACCTGCACGGCCACTGAGGAGGGGCGTGAGGGAGCGTCGGTGTTGACCCCACACCCCTCCCCGCCACCTGCAACGCGCACACACAGAGCTAGTCAGAGCGCAGTGGTGGGAGCAAGTTGAAGGGGAAACTGTGACTTGAGATCCAGCCCAAGGGAAGGGAGGAGGAGCCACTGGTTGAGGCACGGCCACAAGCTGCAGACCCAAGGTCACCTGAAAAAGAACCCGAGGGGTGAACCTGCACCTGAAAGGGTTACCTGCACCTGAAGGGGTTACCTGCACCTGAAGGGGTTACCTGCACCTGAAAGGGTTACCTGCACCTGAAGGGGTTACCTGCACCTGAAGGGGTTACCTGCACCTGAAAGGGGTTACCTGCACCTGAAGGGGTTACCTGCACCTGAAGGGGTTACCTGCACCTGAACGGGTTACCTGCACCTGAAGGGGTTACCTGCACTGCACCTAAGGGGGTTACCTGAAGTGAGGGGGTCTGAGGCATGTAAATCGTGCTCAACCAATGGCAGGGAAGGGTGAAAGCACAACTGGCTAACGAACTGGCAGCAACAAAGTAAGAAGCCATGATGTGGCGGGCAATGGTGAGGGCATGGAAGTGGGTGACGTAGCTGATAGCGTGAGGGCGAGCTCAAGGCAGCTGCAGCACCACCAGCTGCCTCCCTCGGCAGCAGCCCTCCTCCAGGTGCCTAATCCCTGCACGGCCACAGGGGAGGGGCGTGAGGGAGCGTCGGTGTTGACCCCACACCCCTCCCCGCCACCTGCAACGCGCACACACAGAGCTAGTCAGAGCGCGGTGGTGGGAGCAAGTTGAAGGGGAAACTGTGGCTTGAAATCCAGCACAGGGGAAGGGAGGAGGAGCCACTGGTGGAGGCACGGCCACAAGCTGCAGACCCAAGGGCACCTGGAAAAAAACCTGAGGGGTGTACCTGCACTGCACCTGAGAGGGTTACCTGCACCTGAGAGGGTTACCTGCACCTGAGAGGGTTACCTGCACCTGAGAGGGTTACCTGAAGTTGAGGGGTCTGTAGCATGTGAGCAGTACTCAACCAGTGGCGTTGTTTCAAGAAGACGGTGCTTCAGCAGATGAAACGAAAGAAACGGCATGGCAGGCAAGGGTGCGGGCATGGGGGAACGGGCACTTAGCTGATTGTGTGGTGCAGGCGGAGGGGGTGCTTCAATGAAGAGCGGGCAGGGCGAGCAGGGACGGACCTGCGAGGCAGAGGAGAAGGGAGAGAGAGATATGGAGATAGTAAGAGGCAGGTGGGAGGGAGCGACACTTTTAAACGAGAAGACAGGCAGCAGTGTGAGTGCAAAATGACGGTGGATGTGACGCCAACCACAACCCCACAAGAGACGCTACCAACCTGAACCTGCACCTGAACCTGAACCTGAACCTGAACCTGAACCTGAACCTGAGGGGGAGTGGGCTCGAGTGGAGTGTGGTGGCAGGGGCGATACTGCAACCTCAACCGTTGATGAGGCCGGCGCTGCTGCCCCGCTGCCCGCGCTCCTGCTGCCCGCCCTGGTGCTCCCCTCACCTGCTGCTCGCCTGCTGCACTCCCCCTGGCTTGTGAAGGCCTGGCAGGGAAGGGATGGGAGGGCAGGGAGGGGAGGGAGGGCAGGGCGGAAAGGAAAGGCAGCCGAAAGTAAGAGGGGTTGCAATGGAGAAAAGTGTCAAACACATGTGCAACAGCAGAAACGACAGTGCATGTGACGCCAACCACAACCCCACAAGAGCCGCTACCAACCTGAACCTGCACCTGAACCTGAACCTGAACCTGAGGGGGAGTGGGCTCGAGTGGAGTGTGGTGGCAGGGGCGATACTGCAACCTCAACCGTTGATGAGGCCGGCGCTGCTGCCCCGCTGCCCGCGCTCCTGCTGCCCGCCCTGGTGCTCCCCTCGCCTGCTGATCGCCTGCTGCCGTCCCCCTGGCTTGCGCACGCCTGGCAGGCAGGGAGGGCAGGGCGGGGAGGGCAGCGAGGGGAGCGCCGTGAGGATGAAGTGAAGGCAGTGGGGGAGGTGGGAGCGAGAGTGAGATGAGGAATGGAGAGTGCAGCGTGCGAGACGGCAGGAACAAAAGGCAAGACAAGGGAGGGGCCACTGGAGGAGCACATCCACAAGCCACAGACCCCCAGGGGAACCTGAGGGGGCTGTAAGGCTTTAGGGGGGCTGAACCTGTACCTGATGGGTTTACCTGCAATTGGGGGTGGGGGTCTGTTGCTTGTGAGGCGGACCCCAACCAGTGGCGAGTATTTCAGGGAGAGACGGTGAGCAGCAACGGTGGACATCAAGCGAGGGAGATTGGAGGGAGGAGAAGGCACTTAGCTGGCGGTTGAAGAAGCACCAAGCGGCGATGCTGCTGCTGCCGCAGCTGCTGCTCACCCCCACGCCAACGGAGGCACAACCGTGCGACCATTTCGCCATGAAACGAATTGCGGACGACGATTTCGCCGTGCGACGACGCGCAGGCGACGATTTCGCCGTGCGTCGCAGGGGTACGTCGCGCGGACGACGATTTCGCCGTGCCACGACGCGCGGACGACTGGCGCATCTGAACGCAGACAATAACGGGGAGTGAGGAATTTGGGATAACGAGCAGTGATAACAGCAACAACGACGAGTCGTAGGGACGGGAAATGCGATTGTGAAGATTCAGCGGAGCAACGGGAAAGACAGACGTACAAATAACTCAATCATCGTGAATCGTACCGAGTCATTTGCGGGTATCGTTATGATGAGCGTGACCAGTGGCCGGAGGACGGACGAAGCAACGAACGGTGCTCACATGAACGAGGAATTGCGTCGCCGCGACGGGAGTATATGGCGAGCGTGAATCGGGAAGAACACGTGCAAATCGGGAAAAGGATCATCTGAGATGTGCGACAGCGAAACGTGAAATCTGATAAAATCTCACGGCGAAAAAATAACATTCGGAATATCGCATTGGAAGACTAACCCGAGGTTCTCAGTGGCGACGATTGAAACAGAAAACGAAGAGCTTCGCTAGCAGGCGGATGAAATGAACTCAGACGGCGAGGAGCTTGGTTGAAACTGAGCCGAACGAACCTGTGTAGTGTGGAGAGAAATTGAGCCGAAAATGACGAAGAAACTGGTGAGAATGAGGAGCGACGGGGTCACGGATTCAGTGAGCCTCCCTTCCCGTCACCCTTGCAATGCTGTGGTTGTCTCAGGAACTGGATCTGACAGTTGTTCATCACTTCTAAGGTTGGATCTAGTTCTAATCCTAGCCGTAGCTTAGATGTGCCAAACATGTGTGGTTCAGGCAAGGGGGGAACCGTCCGTCCGCTAGACCATTCACGTGCCCCATCGCCGACAAGCGGCTGCATCAAAACGGAATCATCCGACACGTACCAGAAAGTGTTCGTTAGCGGAAGCGGGAATGGAGGAATTGAAGAGGGAAGAATATCGCTCAGGATCTCGACCGTCGATTTGCAGATCTTCTAACAGTTTCCGTCATCCATCCAGGTCGCCCACTGTCGCCCGCATCGCACAAATTCGATGTGCCAGCGTTGGCCAACGAGAGGCCGCCAAAACCCCAGCCTTGTAAGAGATCCGTTGTGATCGTTTGGGTGCTCTCTGCTTGGTGGAAGTGTTCAGTTCAGAATCTTGTTACACTTCGTGGGGAAGATCCAAGTGGCGAAAGAACAGACTCCCAAGGCTCACGCTGCTGACGAAATGTGTGGTAACTTCTGGGATTCTAGCTTACGCCAATCAGTGTGCCCACGAATGTTCTGACGTGGCAAATATCTCTGAGGCATGACAGCATCGGTTCGTTTATTTTAGCTACTGAGTTCAGTTGATGTACAGTTGCTCTAACGCAAAACCACTCACGGCTACAATGTATGATTAAGACCATATAATATTCAGTGTCCACTTATACAGATGTGTAATCGGAAAACAGTGCGTGCTACTATCCATTTGTTTGCACAGCTCTCTTCATTATGGCATAGTATCAGTCACTTATACAGGGAGTGATTGTTCACATCCTAGCCCCAGCACCAGAGTCCAACAGCGAGGGCAAATCTTTCCAAGGCGGCAAGGACACCACTGGTAGTGATTACACTCACGCATCCTAGTCCCAGCACCAAAGTCCAGCAGTGAGGGCAAATCTCTCCACGGCAGCTGCCAAGCCATCATAGTCGTTTGTGGTCGACACATGGTCTGCCACTGCCTTGACCGAAGGGCCAGCATTTGCCATTGCCACACCCAAACCAACCATCTGGAGCATCTCAATGTCATTCTCACCATCTCCTGCTGCCATGACCTGCTGCGGGTGCAGACCCATAATGTCGAGCACAGTGGCAAGGCCCGTGGCCTTGGAAGCACCAACTGGAAGCACTTCCAGCATGCCAGGCACTGATGTGATGAGCGACCCTCTGCCACCCAGGTTCGCGTCCAGACGAGGCCTTAGTGCTGCCAAGGTGCCATCGTCAGCCATGAGAATGAGCTGGAGTGTTCGTAGGCCACGGATGGGGATGTTGCAAAACATGGTACCGGAAGAATGGGTTATCACATCAAGCATATGCAGTCGGGAAGCTTGAAAGAATATAATCAAAGGCCACTTAGGGGAGAATGGAAGGGAATTGAGAAACACAAGAGTGGCGAGGGAGTCAGCAGTCACGCTGGGCAAAATACCTTGTGAATGGATGTGATGCCAATGAGGTCCTCAAGGGGCCCAACGGCTTCTGGGATTGGCTCGCCATAGGGAATCAAACGGTCAGTGTGCTCGTCCCTTTCTTCACACAATCTGGCAAACAAATCGAGAACGTGAGATATTTTAGTGAAGCTGTATGCTCTTTAGTAGCTAAAGGAGAACCTCGTGCACCACTTAATTGCTCAAAATGCAGCCCTGCGAGGCATTGACACGAAGAGGGAGAGGCGAATGCCACCATGTTCACAGCGCTTACATTCTCTCGCCACAATAGGCCGTGAGCGTGACGCCTTCGGCTTTGCCGAACCGAATAACCTGCCGAGCCACATCCTCCGCCATGGCTCGCTCGTACAACAAAGTTCCGTCCGCACTGTACACCATCAGGCCCTGGAGGGAGACAATGAGATGATCAATGTTTGTGAGACGGATTCGGCATGACCATTATTAGAATGAAATCACAAGACTGCCGATAATACAACACTCACCTGTAAAAAGACTCCAGGAGTTTCAAGCTTCAAACGCTCCTTAATTTCAGGAAACCACGGTCCTCGTGCTTTGCCAGTGGCCAGAACGACCTGCACCAAAAGGTCCGCTTACTAAGATAACCGTCGCTGGACAGTACAACCGTTGACTTGAAGTTCCTGAGATCAACTGAGCAAAACTGATGAAGAATTGAACTTAATGATAGAATTGATGCTAACCTGGATGCCTTGCTCTTGCGCCATCAAAAGCGCTCTCTCGTTCCGTTCACTCAAGGCGTGGTTGCTGTTAAGCAGAGTCCCGTCCACGTCAGTCGCGATCAGCGCAATCTGTCTCGAAGGCAGCCCGCGGTCCTCATATTGTTGAAACCGTTGTCGTCGGTTCAACCCGGCGTCCGAAACTTGCCTCACCGGGCTTTGCGGCTTCGGCTTGGCTGTCGTTTGCAGGAACTCCAGCTGGTATTGCTTCGTGCGCTTGCTGACTGTCCCTGGGACAACGGCGATGGCCCTAGTGCATGATTGCTGGGACTCGCGTGTTCTATGTGGCTGCAGTGCAGAGCTGGAGACCTGAGAGATCGACCATGCCTGTTGTCGCTGACTACAAGATGACAGATGCCTGCTCGGCGTTCTCGATGTAATTGGTGAGGCTATGGCTGCCATGGCTGCTGGAAAAACGTCAGTTGCGCGTTGATCTAAAGCTAATCAGAATTAACCTGCTAAGTCCAAAGAGATCGTCGAGCAGGCAAGCGATCTGGAGGTTGTAGAGGAAAGATGAGACAAGGTTTAGGAAGGTGTGTGGATTGAAATAAATGGAACAAAGATCAAGGTGAACTTTACCAAGCCCCTGGGAAGTGGAGGGAGAAGCCCAGGGGGAACCAGCTGATCCATCCGCAGGCAAGGGAACGGCTGGGATGTGATCGATGGTGGAATCTCGATGGAGGAGGTCGGTGAAGCATGTGCGATTCTATCCACCAATCAGACCACAAAGGGGTGGACCGGAGGGGCAGGCGAAAAGGTAACGCGATTTGAATGGCTGCTAGCCGTACCAAAGTTCGTGGACAAAACGCGACTGTCGGGAAAAGTCGATGCGGATTGGGCCTTAGTGCGCTGAGTAGGCGCCGATTCCAGGCGAATGGGTCTTTAGTCAACAAAAAGCTGCCACGTGACCAGCCTGGCATGTGCATTCCTCTCTCCCCCCTTCCTGACCTGACAGCAACAATGTCAGAAGCAGACAAACCACACAGAAGTGGCCCCCAAATCCATCTGGCGCTGGGGCTACTTTCCCTTTCCGTAAAGCCCTGTCCCTTGAAGAACTGCTGCACGCGCTATAAGAACATTATGGGTTCAAAACTGGAGAATGACTGACCCCAAGTCAAAACCAAGGCTTTGCACTCTCAATCCAAACATTCATTATTGTGAGAAAAAACACTTTTGCTTGTGACAGCAGATTGGATGGCCCCAAATTTACCAAAGGCAATAATCTTTACATGCTGTCAGTTTGTGTAGCCAATGGGCAGGTATATGCTGGAATCCTTACTTTCCCGGTTATGGTATGAATGCACTGCTCCTTCACTTCTGTTTCCTCTTTGTCCCTAAACTAACTCCTCCATCCTCCTTTTTTTTCTTCACATCTTTTTTCACCTTTTCCACCTTTGAAGTAGTCTCAATTTGACCACCCTTGCTGCTGCCTCCACCACTGCCACCACCAGTACTCTTGGTGCTGCTGCTGCTGCTGCTGCTGCTGCTGCTGCTGCTGCTGCTGCTGCTGCTGCTGCTGCTGCTGCTGCTAGCCTTACCACCAGAAACACCACCACTGGTCTTACTCCTGGAACTCTTCCGCGCACCTCTTGCCAACCCTGCCTCCCCCACCGCCTTCCTCCGCATCACCATTCCACTGCCCCCTGCCAGCTCACTCCCACGCTGCACTGCTTCTGCTGAGCCTGTTCTCCCACCAGCAGAGGCAGCAGCAGAGCCGGGCAGTGCAGGTGCACTGGAAGCAGGCAGCCCTGACTTGCCTTGGGCCCCCCTGGCCTGGCCTGCAGCAGTCAAGTGAGGAGAGATGGTGATTCTGGGCGGCACTGGGGCGTCGGCACGCACTGAGGCACCGGCTGGTAGAGACTGCACAAACACACGCATGCTGCTGCTGCTGCTGCTGGCACTGCTGCTAGTGTTATACACTGCTGTTGCTAGTTGTGGTGGTGCCAGTGACGGGTAGGCCGCATGAGACGAGGGGTACAATGGAGGGGAAGGGGAAGGAGGGCCGGACGGGATGGAGGCGAGATACGCAGGGATGTTGAAGGCAGGAGCGACGTGCGGGGGAGGGTCGTGTGGGGTGAGAGGCGGGTCGACAGTGGAGCGGCCATTGTGGGAGAGCAGGAAGTAGCCATACGGCAGTGCTGCATCCACCTGATGGTGCGGGTCAGAGCGGGTGACAGTGGGAATGGGGAGTCGGGATGAGGATGGGGGCAAGGGCATGTGCATGGGCATATGCATGTGCATGGGCATGGGCATGGGCATGGGCATGGGCATGGGCATGGGCATGGGCATGTGCATGGGCATGTGCATGTGCATGGGCATGGGCATGGGCATGGGCATGGGCATGGGCATGGGCATGGGCATGGGCATGGGCATGGGCATGTGCATGGGCATGTGCATGTGCATGGGCATGGGCATGGGCATGTGCATGGGCATGGGCATGGGCATGGGCATGTGCATGGGCATGGGCATGGGCATGTGCATGGGCATGGGCATGGATGCTCTCACGCACCTGTATGTGCAGGGTGACATGGAGGGCAGCACAGATGACGTGGACGAGCGAAGGAGTGCCATCTGGCAGGGCGGGTCCCATGAGCAGCTGCTCACACGTGGCAGGGGAGGCAGCCAGACCCACCACCACCTCCTCACGCCCGCCCTCTCTCTCTTCACCCCCCTCACCCCCACCCCTTGCTGCTTCTGCCGCTGCTGCTTGTGCCCTCCGCTCCCGCCGCCTATCCCTGGCCCCCTTTCCTTGCCTGCCCTGCTTGCTGCCTGCCGCTGCCGCAGACTGAGCCTGTCGTTGCAAGGGGAGAAAAGGGTAAAGGGGCGTGTGTGAGATGCAAGGGCGTGGGGAGGAAGGGACACACATGGTGGTGCATGGGTGAGGGGAGGAAAGGGACACACATGGTGGTGCATGGGTGAGGGGAGGAAAGGGACACACATGGTGGTGCATGGGTGAGGGGAGGAAAGGGACACACATGGTGGTGCATGGGTGAGGGGAGGAAAGGGACACACATGGTGGTGCATGGGTGAGGGGAGGAAAGGGACACACATGGTGGTGCATGGGTGAGGGGAGGAAAGGGACACACATGGTGGTGCATGGGTGAGGGGAGGAAAGGGACACACATGGTGGTGCATGGGTGAGGGGAGGAAAGGGACACACATGGTGGTGCATGGGTGAGGGGAGGAAAGGGACACACATGGTGGTGCATGGGTGAGGGGAGGAAAGGGACACACATGGTGGTGCATGGGTGAGGGGAGGAAAGGGACACACATGGTGGTGCATGGGTGAGGGGAGGAAAGGGACACACATGGTGGTGCATGGGTGAGGGGAGGAAAGGGACACACATGGTGGTGCATGGGTGAGGGGAGGAAAGGGACACACATGGTGGTGCATGGGTGAGGGGAGGAAAGGGACACACATGGTGGTGCATGGGTGAGGGGAGGAAAGGGACACACATGGTGGTGCATGGGTGAGGGGAGGAAAGGGACACACATGGTGGTGCATGGGTGAGGGGAGGAAAGGGACACACATGGTGGTGCATGGGTGAGGGGAGGAAAGGGACACACATGGTGGTGCATGGGTGAGGGGAGGAAAGGGACACACATGGTGGTGCATGGGTGAGGGGAGGAAAGGGACACACATGGTGGTGCATGGGTGAGGGGAGGAAAGGGACACACATGGTGGTGCATGGGTGAGGGGAGGAAAGGGACACACATGGTGGTGCATGGGTGAGGGGAGGAAAGGGACACACATGGTGGTGCATGGGTGAGGGGAGGAAAGGGACACACATGGTGGTGCATGGGTGAGGGGAGGAAAGGGGGTGGGCCACCCCCCTGCCATCGCTGCACCCCCCAGATGTCCGCCCCCCCATGTCCCTTCACATGCGCCGCCCCAAAATCCCCCCCACAATCAGAAGCAGGCATGGGCGCACCAGGCAGCGCTGCAGGGCACGCTCGAGCGAGCCAGCATGGCCAGGTGTGACTCCACCCGCCCCCCTAAGTCCCCCCACCCCCGCCCCCCCAACTCCCCCCAACCAGCAGCACAAGGCATGGCCTTACCAGGCAGCGCTGCAGCGCGCGCTCGAGGCGGGCCAGCATGGCCAGACGCGACTCCACCCGCCCCGCCGCCCAGCAGCACCTGCACGGCACCGTCAACGAGGCGGCAAGGCTTGGACGCATCTGAGCACAGGTGCAGGTGAGGCAGGTGGAGGAAGAAGGGGAGGGGGGAGAGGGGGGATGAGAGCAGGGATGGGGATGGGGGTTGAAGGATAGGGCATGGCTGCATTGCATTGGTCAACTCACAGCACATGGCAGCACTGCACCCCTCTGCACTGCACTGGGCTGCAGAGCACATGGGAGCACCGCACAGCACCGCAGTGCACCAGGCCAGAGAGCACTCACGCGCTGGCGGGTGAGTTCGAGCAGGCCGAACTGCGAGATCTCCCCCACTCGCACCTTGCGCCTGTCCCCCCCCATCGCCCTCCTCACCTCCTCCTCCACCGCCCTCCGGTGCTCCGCTGCGAGAGAGGAGGTGGGGGGAAAGGAGGGGGGAAAGAGATGGCACATGCAAGCAGTCAAATGGAATTAATGAAGTCAAGAGAATCAACGAAATCAACAAAGTCAACAGAGTCACATTCACCTTTATGCATGTCAATAAAGTCAATGACCACGAGTCCTCCCAGGTCCCTCAGACGCAGCTCCACTGCTATCTGCCACGGCAGAGGAGGGAGGGAGCAGCAGTTGAGGGGCAGCAGTAGGGAGGACAGCAGTGAGGTGGGCAGCAGGGCACGAGCGATGTAGCAGGGTAGGGAGAGACAGCAGCATTGAGTTTTGAGACGTCTCAAAAGATGTAGCAGGGTAGGGAGAGACAGCAGCATTGAGTTTTGAGACGTCTCAAAAGATGTAGCAGGGTAGGGAGAGACAGCAGCATTGAGGGATTGCCTGCAGGCCAAGTGCATGCGCAAGTGCTGCAGATGCCCACCTGGCGAGCGATATAGGCCCCTAAAGAGCAGGCGCACAAGTGCTGCAGACACGCACCTGTCTGGCAGCAGCGAGGTTGACAGCAAGGAAGGTGTCCTCCTGCCGTGCTGTGGGCCGGGCTGCATCATGAGGTGAATTTCGATCCGACTCAGAACACACCGGTCTAGCAGCACAGCAGCGCAGGTGCTACCGACGCCCACCTGTCGGCAGCAATGAGGTTGACAGCAAGGAAGGTATCCTCCTGCCGTGCCATGCACTGGGCTGCAGAATGGGGTGAACTTTAAGCCGACTTAGTGCACACCGGTCTAGCAGCAGCGCAGGTGCTACCGGCGCCCACCTGTCTGGCAGCAGCGAGGTTGACAGCGAGGAAGGTGTCCTCCTGCCGTGCCGTGGGCTGCAGCACGCTCCACCCGCTGTTCACGTCTATTGCCACCAGCGCCTCTGTCTCCTCTATCACCAGCGAGCCCCCCCCTGCCAGTGGCACACTGGTGTGGAGAGGAGGGAGGGAGGGAGAGAGGGAGGTGCAGCGATGCAGTGAGGCAGGAAGAGAGCAGAGGTGCAGCACGCTCCACCCGCTGTTCACGTCTATTGCCACCAGCGCCTCTGTCTCCTCTATCACCAGGGAGCCACCGCCTGCTAGTGGCACACTGCCATGCAGCCATGTGGCAGACAGTGGGGCGAGGGAGGGAGGGAGTGAGGGAGATGGTTCACGTCTATTGCCACCAGCGCCTCTGTCTCCTCTATCACCAGGGAGCCGCCCCCGGCTGGGGGGACACTGCCGCACAGAGAGGGATAGTGGGAGAGGGGGAGGCACAGCGATGCAGCGAGTCAGGAATGCAGAGCAGAGGTGCAGCACGCTCCACCCGCTGTTCACGTCTATTGCCACCAGCGCCTCTGTCTCCTCTATCACCAGTGACCCGCCGCCTGCCAGTGGTACACTGGTGTGGAGAGAGGGAGAGAGGGAGGGATGGCAATGCATGGAGGCAGGAATGGAAGGAGAGAGAGGAGGGAGGGAGGAACCGAGGGAGATAGTTCACGTCTATTGCCACCAGCGCCTCAGTCTCCTCTATCACCAGTGACCCGCCGCCTGCCAGTGGTACACTGGTGTGGAGAGAGGGAGAGAGGGAGGGATGGCAATGCATGGAGGCAGGAATGGAAGGAGAGAGAGGAGGGAGGGAGGAACCGAGGGAGATAGTTCACGTCTATTGCCACCAGCGTCTCAGTCTCCTCTATCACCAGTGACCCGCCGCCTGCCAGTGGTACACTGGTGTGGAGAGAGGGAGAGAGGGAGGGATGGCAATGCATGGAGGCAGGAATGGAAGGAGAGAGAGGAGGGAGGGAGGAACCGAGGGAGATAGTTCACGTCTATTGCCACCAGCGCCTCTGTCTCCTCTATCACCAGTGACCCACTGCCTGCTAGTGGCACACTGGCATGCAGCCATGTGGCGGTGGGAGAGAGAGGATGGATGGAGGGAGGGAGGCAGGGAGGGAGGGAGATAGTTCACATGTATGGCCAGCAGCGCCTGTGTCTCCTGAACCAGTAGGGAGCCACCCTGGCAGTGGTACACTGGCAGAGAGAGAGGAGTGGCGGTTGGCAGACAGAGGGAGGTGAGTGGGGAGATGGTTGCACGACGAGATGGTGAGAGGGAGGCACGCGGGTGCAGCCAGCACGCCCCACACCGCACGCCCCACACCGCACGCCCCACACCGCACGCCCCACACCGCACGCCCCACACAGCACGCCCCACACAGCACGCCCCACACAGCACGCCCCACACAGCACGCCCCACACAGCACGCCCAGCATCAACAACGGGTGCATACCTGCGGTGCAGCGCGGAGAGCAGCGCGGGCTCGATGTGGGCGGTGTCAAAGATGGGCGCTGGGCCCGTGTGCAGCTGCACCCGCCCACACAGCGCCGGCTGCATGCGCTGCAGATACGCCTCCAACTGGCATGCAGGCACGTGCGTGCACCAGGGAAGGAGGGGAAGAGTACGCAGCAAAGTGAATGCGTGAGTCGTTTGTTTAGGCACAAAATAGGTGATGGCCGCAGGAGCACACCAGCCGTAGACATGGGCAAAAAACCCGACAGGTCTCAGTGACCTGGTCTCAGTGACCTGGTCTCAGTGACCTGGTCTCAGTGACCTGGTCTCAGTGACCTGGTCTCAGTGACCTGGTCTCAGTGACCTGGTCTCAGTGACCTGGTCTCAGTGACCTGGTCTCAGTGACCTGGTCTCAGTGACCTGGTCTCAGTGACCTGGTCTCAGTGACCTGGTCTCAGTGACCTGGTCTCAGTGACCTGGTCTCAGTGACCTGGTCTCAGTGACCTGGTCTCAGTGACCTGGTCTCAGTGACCTGGTCTCAGTGACCTGGTCTCAGTGACCTGGTCTCAGTGACCTGGTCTCAGTGACCTGGTCTCAGTGACCTGGTCTCAGTGACCTGGTCTCAGTGACCTGGTCTCAGTGACCTGGTCTCAGTGACCTGGTCTCAGTGACCTGGTCTCAGTGACCTGGTCTCAGTACCCTGGTTTCAGTGACCTGGTCTCAGTGACCTGGTCTCATTGACCTGGTCTCAGTGACCTGGTCTCAGTGACCTGGTCTCAGTGACCTGGTCTCAGTGACCTGGTCTCAGTGACCTGGTCTCAGTGACCTGGTCTCAGTGACCTGGTCTCAGTGACCTGGTCTCATTGACCTGGTCTCAGTGACCTGGTCTCAGTGACCTGGTCTCAGTGACCTGGTCTCAGTAACCTGGTCTCAGTGACCTGGTCTCAGTGACCTGGTCTCAGTGACCTGGTCTCAGTGACCTGGTCTCAGTGACCTGGTCTCATTGACCTGGTCTCAGTGACCTGGTCTCAGTGACCTGGTCTCAGTGACCTGGTCTCAGTGACCTGGTCTCAGTGACCTGGTCTCAGTGACCTGGTCTCAGTGACCTGGTCTCAGTGACCTGATCTCAGTGACCTGGTCTCAGTGACCTGGTCTCAGTGACCTGGTCTCAGTGACCTGGTCTCAGTGACCTGGTCTCAGTGACCTGGTCTCAGTGACCTGGTCTCAGTGACCTGATCTCAGTGACCTGGTCTCATTGACCTGGTCTCAGTGACCTGGTCTCAGTGACCTGGTCTCATTGACCTGGTCTCAGAGACCTGGTCTCAGTGACCTGGTCTCAGTGACCTGGTCTCAGTGACCTGATCTCAGTGACCTGGTCGTAGTGACCTGGTCTCAGTGACCTGGTCCAGCGAGTGCAGATGGGGAGAAGGGGATGGAATGAGGGAGAAGGGGATGGAATGAGGGAGAAGGGATTGCAGTCAGGGAGAAGGGGATGGAGTCAGGGAGAAGGGGATGGAATCAGTGAGAAGGGGATGGAGTCAGGGAGAAGGGGATGTAGTCAGGGAGAAGAGGATGGAGTCAGGGAGAAGGGGATGGAATCAAAGAGAAGGGGATGGAATCAGGGAGAGGGGGATGGAATCAGGGAGAAGGGGATGGAGTCAAGGAGAAGGGGATGGAGTCAGGGAGAAGAGGATGGAATCAGGGAGAAGGGGATGGAATCAGGGAGAAGGGGATGGAATCAGGGAGAAGGGGATGGAGTCAGGGAGAAGGGGATGGAATCAGGGAGAAGGGGATAGATTCAGGGAGAAGGGGATGGAGTCAGGGAGAAGAGGATGGAATCAGGGAGAAGGGGATGGAGTCAGGGAGAAGGGGAAGGGAGAAAGGGATGGAATGAGGGAGAAGGGGATGGAATGAGGGAGAAGGGGATGGAATCAGGGAGAGGGCGTACCTCTTGCAGGAAGGCAGGCGAGTCGACCACAAGGCGCGACACCTGTGGTGAGGTGGGGCGGTGAGGAGAGGAAGAAGGTCAGGTAGTACAAGGGAGGTTGGGAGGAAGGAGGATAGATGTGGATCATGGAAAAGAGAGGGGTGGTGGATAAGGAGAGGGGCAAAGGGGCGTGGGATGATGCAGCAGTGGTGTGGAGGCTAATGGAGCTCAACCAACCACCTGTCGATGCCCAAGTCAGTGACCAAGCACTTGAAGTCACCAGCGTCTCCATCACCACGTGGGCCATGCGTGCTGTGACTCGCAACTTTGGTCTGTTGTGAAACCCCATGTGTGACCCACCCCACCTGCTGGGAGTGCTATGTGAGCTCCTACCTTGACATGCTGCTGGGAGTGCTATGTGAGCTCCTACCTTGACATGCTGCTGGGAGTGCTATGTGAGCTCCTACCTTGACATGCTGCTGGGAGTGCTATGTGAGCTCCTACCTTGACATGCTGCTGGGAGTGCTATGTGAGCTCCTACCTTGACATGCTGCTGGGAGTGCTATGTGAGCTCCTACCTTGACATGCTGCTTGGCTTGGGGTGCTATGTGGGCCACACATGCTGCTGCCTCATAAATCACCCACCTGGTGGTGCTGCACCTTGTAAAGCCGCCCACCCACCTGGTGGTGCTGCACTAGCAGAGAGTGACTGAAATCAAATCAAGAGCCATGGGCGTGCCCTGCAGCAGCAGGGTAGGCCACACCCAGCCTTGACATGAAGCCCCATGTCTGCACCCCCCACCTGGTGGTGCTGAACAAGCAGCGAGTGAATGACGTCCAGAGCCATGGGTGTGCCCTGCAGCAGCAGTGTAGGTCCCACAGCAGGCACGTCCGCCACGCTCCTCACATGCCCCGCCACCACATTCGCGCGCGCCAGCACTGCTCTCCACCGTGCCACGAGCTCCGCTAGATCCGCCCCCAGCTCGCCCTCCCCCTTCCCCACCGCCGCCTGCCGCACCTGCTGGGGCCGAGGCCGGGAGGAGTGAAGGGAGGGCGAGTGAAGGGAGGGCGAGTGAAGTGGTGGGGCGAGTGCAGGGTGGGGTAGGCACATGTAGACAAGGCAGGCAACGGCGTTGTGGTCCGCCCCATAAGAGAGGAGCGGGAGGGGAGGAGGTGCGTGGGGAGGGGAGCGACGGGGATAGGCAGGAGGAGAGGGAAGTAGCGAAGTGGGAGAGGGGAAGGGAAGACGTGGCAGCAGCAGGAGGAAGGGGGTGCAGTGCGGTAATGTGCATTAGGGCAGGAGTGCACCTGGATGGAGAAGGAGCGGCGCACCTGGATGGAGAAGGAGCGGGTGGGTGCGAGACGGGCGACAATGGCCTGTATGCGCGCTGCCTCCTCTGCTGCCACCCCTCTCGGCATCACCAGCCCTGTTCCCCGCAGCACCAGCCGCTGATGGGCGCAGGGTGGGGCGAGGGATAGAGGAAGGTGAGGAGATGGAGAGAGTTGGCTGCTGCTGCCACACACGGAGGGTATACAGAACGCCCTGCAGCTTCAGATGAAGGCGCTCAGGTTACCCAAAGTGGTTTGTCTTCGTGCCACTTACCGCCAAGATGTAGGCTGCATTCGGCTTCTAGCATAGACCTTAGGACGTGATCAGTTGGCTGTCTTACATGATTGCCTTGGCTTCTCATACCGACCTCTGCTGTACCGTTTTTCTCATTCAATGGCACGGACCGTTCGAGAGATGGCTGGGGGAGGCGAGAGAGAGGAGGGGTTGGAGGAGAATGAAAAGAGTGAAGACGAGAGGGCAGAGTGCGAGCAACACTCACAAAGCAGCGGCCTGCCAGCACGGGGAAGGCCCGGAGCACGGAGTCCTTGGCGCCGATGGGCCCTCGCACCACCTGCACCAGAATCAGCATGCCCGCCCGCACCTCCCCCCACTCCTCATATTGCTCCTCCTCCTCCTCCTCCTCGCCCTTCTCCTCGCCCTCTGCTCCCCGCTCCCTCGCCTCCTCGCTCCCCCTCGTCCCCCCGCTATCCCCTCCCTCAATGGCCCCCGCTCGTCTCGCTCGCTCTCTTGCCGCCCGCCGTGACTCCATGAGCTGGCGCCACGTCAGCGACCACGCGGCCGAGCGGCGGCTCCTCGGCTGGCCTCGGGAGCCCGGGATGACTGTCAGCCGCCCGCCGCCCAGCCTGCCGCCCGCTGCGTAGGGCGGCGCACTGACCCTCGGCCGGCGCACCCCTGGCAGTGGGTCAACCCCCCATGTGGACTCACTTGTATTGGCAGCAGAATCTACCCACCCACTCCCCCCTTCCCCCTCTCCACCCACCCCCCCTCCCCCTGCCCCCCCTTGCCTCCTCTGCCCACTGCCCTCCCCTCCTCCCCTCCTTATCCCTTCCCCCAACTCCTTGCTTCCACCGCCCTTCTTCCCCCCTTGCCCCTTGCTGCCCCCTCCCCCCCGTCTCCTCCTCCCCCTGGCGCTGGCAGGAGCGGGGGGGGTGGGGGGTGGTGGGGGGAGGGGGAGGTTGAGCTGCTGGGAGAGCAGGGCGGAGTAGCGGCGGCGGGGGGAGGGGGAGAGGGGCAGGGGGAGGGTGGCAGCGAGGGAGAGCAGGCGAGGGCGGCCGGATGGGCGGCGCAGAGGGGGGTCTGGCTGCTGCTGCTGCTGCTCCTGCTGCTGCCTCCTTCCATCCTGATGCTCCTCCTGCTGCTGCTGTTCCTGCTGCTGCTCCTCCTGCTGTTGCTGCTCCTGTGGCTCCTCGGCCCTTTCACCTGCCTCTCGTTCCTCTACCTCCGCTTCCCTCTCATCTGCCCTCCTACCCTCCCCTTCCTCGTCCCTGCTTCCACTGCTGCCGCTGCTGCTGCTGCCAGTGGTGGTGGTGGAGGTTGGAACAGGAAGACGCGGGGCAGCAGCAGAACGGGCACGAGGGGAGGGCAGTGGCGGTGGGAGGGAGGGTTTGGGGTACAGCGGGACAGGGTTGGCGGGTGGGTTGAGAGAAGCAGAAGGGTGGAGAGAGGCGGGTTCGGTGGGGAACGCGATGAGAGCATCAACTTGTGGTGGTGTGGGCAGGGGTGAGGGCAGTGGTGAGGGCAGTGGTGAGGGCAGGGGTGAGGGCAGTGGTGCAGCAGGGTCAACAGGGGGGTCTGCTGATGCGAGGGCGGGGGGGAGGGAGGGCGAGGGGAGGGCAGGCGGGAGATGCGGAGGAGGGGGTAGGGAGGAAGGGGGTATGGAGGGCGGGGGTATGGAGGGCGGGGAAGGGGCGAGCAGGGGGAGTGGGCGGCTGTGCAGGCCGAGAGAGAGGGAAGAGGCGGCATGAGCAGGCAGGCAATCGGCTAAGCCGTTGGTGTGGTCCCGACTGTCATTCCCATTCCCGGCCTTCCCCACCACCTCTACTGCTGCTTCTTTTTTTTCCTCCTCGAGCTTCTGTTCCCCCCCATGCTTCTTCTCTGCCTCCCCACTACTCCCCTCCTCTTCCTCCTCTTCCTCCTCTGCTTCCTCCTCGTCCTCATCCTCCTCCTCATCCTCCTCCTCCCCTTCTTCTTCCTCCTCCTCCGCCCAATCATCACCAGCGCCCATGCCTTGCTTCCTCACAGCCTTCATCCTCCGCCGCTTCTCATCTGTCCTCTCTTCTTCCTCCTCCATCTCTTCCTCCTCCTCTGCCTCCTCCTCCTCAACATCACCTTTCACACGCTCCCACCCCTCTCTCTCATCCTCACTCCCTCCTTTCAATCGCTGCGGCATGGCGCCCCCATCAGCATCCCCATGGGCATGAGCAGGCGCATGAGCATGTGAGTGAGGAGCAGCAGCATGGCCAGCATCACTGCTCTCGTCTTCAAGCTCTGTCTCAAACTCACCCTCCACCTCCACCCACTCCTCCTCTTCTTCCTCCCCTTCCATCTCCTCCACCTCCTCCCCTTCCACCTCCCCCTCCTCCTCCTCCTCCTCCTCCTCTTCCCCTTCTTCTTCCTCCTCCTCCTCCTCCTCCTCCTCCTCCTCCTCCTCCTCCTCCTCCTCCTCCTCCTCCACCCCATCCTCCTCTCCTACCCACTCCTCTTCTTCATCGCCCCGTATCTCTCCCTCCCCCTCCTCTGCCATATCATCCTCATGCCACTCATCCACGTCCTCTTCGTGACCCTCATCTTCTTCCTCTTCGTCATCTCCTTCATCCTCCTCCTCTTCCTCAAATTCATCATCATCATCATCGTCATCATCACCATCCTCCTCATCCCCTTGCATACCTGCCACCACCACTGCACCCCTTTCCACCCCTTCCCTCACCTCCCATCCCTGAATCAACCCCCCACTCTCGACCCCCACTCCCACCCACACACCTGCACTCCCGTCCACTGCACCCGCCCCACCGCCCATCTCCTCCCGGCCCACCACCATCCCAGCCCCGGCAGCAGCAAGCCCACCAGACTGCCTCCCTGCATCCCATCCTGCTGCCATACGTGCCTCCACCCCTGCCACCGCACCATTCTCTCTGCCTCTCTCACTCACTGTCCGTGCGTCTGCATCAATCCCTGCCCCTCTGCCACTCTCTGTCTCTGTCTCTCCCTCTGCCCCTGTCCCTGTCCCTTCCCCAGCGCCTGTATCCCCACCACCGCTCCCCACCACAGCCGTGTCACCCCATGCATGCGCCAGGGGAGAATCGCCCCCAGTGGGCGGGAAGGTGAGGGGGCGGTCGTTGTGGGCGAGGTTGAGCAGGGAGGGCGCGGCCCCCCCGATGTCGACGAATGCGGCCTTCATGCCCGGATGCAGCGAGCGGATCACCCCTAGGTACACGTCCCCCACTCGCACCCCCCACGGCGCTGCAGGAGGAGAGGGCGCGTCCCCCACGCGCACCCCCCACGGCGCTGCAGGAGGGGGCGGAGAGGGCATGGGAGGGATGGGAGAAACGTTGCTGCCTGCTGCTGATGCGGCTGGGGGTGGGAGTGTGGGTGGGTTGGGTGCGGTGAGTGGGGTGAGAGGAGATGGAGCAGCGGCAGTGGTGGTGGTGGTGTGGATGATGGGAGGGCGAGGGGAGGAGCGGAAGGGCAGTGCAGGCTGGGGGAGGGAGGGGGGCGGGGTGGAGGCAACAATGAGTTCCACCAGCCGCCCCTCCTCCACCACTGCCACTCGCTGCAGCCCCACTGACGAGCAGTTCACGTATATGGCTACGCCCCCTGGGGATGCTGCTGCTGCTGATGATTGTGCTTGTGATGCTGACGGTGATGGGGATGCTGGTGGAGGTTTAGGGTTTAGGCTTCTGCCCCTCGCCTGGCCCTCAGCATCAGCGGCAGCAGCCGCCTTGAGTGCCTCCAGCATGCCCGCTCCCAGCCCGCCCTGCCCGCTGTGCACACCCAGCCCACCCTGCCCGCCCTGCCCGCCCTGCCCTGCCTGCGCATCTGCTGCCTTCCCCTCCTCCGCCTCACCCTTCACCCTCTCCCCCTCGTCCTGGCCCCCCTCGTTTGCCCCGTCCACCCTCCCTGCCCGCGCCCGCCCCTTTTCCTCCCCTTCCGCCCCCCCGCCCTCCCCCCTCTCCCTCTTTGCCCCCTCGCCCTCCGCCGCCTCCCCTTTTGCCCCCTCGCCCTGCGTCTCCCCCCCTGCCGTCAGCGCCATGAGCTGTTCGTCGCGTTGCTGCGCGGCTCTCAGCGCGGAGAGCGCGGACAGGGCCGCCAGGCGCAGCCGCCACGCACCACTGGGGGCGCTGTCGGCGCTGCCGCTGCTGCTGGGGGTGGCGGAGGGGATGGTCGTGGGCGTGGGAGTGGGCATGGGCGTGAGGTTGGCAGTGGTGCTGCTGGCACTGGGAGCGGTGTTGGTGCTGACAGCGGCACTACCAGCGGCACCACCACCCACAGCGCCAGGGCCGGAGAGCGGAGCACCAATGGCGCCCACACTGCCTGCTGCTCCCCCTGCCCCCTCGCCCTTGCCCCTGCTCCCTCGTGCCACGTCAGATGCCACGTGTGCTGCACCACCTGCCACGTCATACCGCCTCACCCGCCCTTTCCCGCCCCCAACTCTCCACCTGCTCTGACTGCCCCCCCTTCCCCACCCCTCCTCGTCCTCCTCCAAATCCTCCTCAACCTCCCAATCCCCCTCCCCTTCCTCCTCCCCTTCTTCCTCCCCCTCCCACCCCCACTCCTCCTCATCTTCCATCCCCCCTACCTCAACTATCTCCCCCTCCCCCACACCTGCAGCCCCGCCTGCTCCCTCCGCAATCGGCACTTTCTCTCCTCGCGTTTCCCCCAGTCCCCGACCCTCAGTCCCCCTATCACCCCGCACCCCATTCCCGCGCATTCCCCCGCCACCAGCCCCAGCCCGCCCCCTCAACCGCGCGCCCCGTTCCGCCTCCCCAGCCGAGTCCTCGTCCAAATCCCCCTCCACTTCCCCTTCCAAGCTTCCGCCGTCGCGCCATGAACCATCCGCCGCCCCCACACCTTCCCCTCCCCCTTCCCCTTCCCTCTTTCCGTTCCCCGAATCCCCTGATTCGCTGCTCCTTTCCCCATGCACTGCGCGCAACTTCCACCCTCTCCGCCTCTCCGCCCCGCTTCCCTGCGTCGAGGTGCATCGTCCGCCGATACGACTAGCGGAGGGGGAGCCAGGTACCAGGCGCGCGGAAATTGCCGGATGAGGGTCGCGCCTGCATCTCCACAACTCGCGCAGATGCTCGCGGGAGGCGGAGATGAGCGGCGCTAGAGGGGCAGCTGCGACAACAGCGTGGGGAGCGGGAAGGGGAATGGGAGCAGGAATTGACATGGAGCGGTAGCGTGGCGTGTGGGAGGCGCACGGAGAGAGCGGAGAGAGCGAGTTGTGAGTGCCTGGGACGGCTGCTGGGCGCGCATGCTGCAATCGGCGCGCCTTTCGCTGCTGCCCAGCTCTGATCTGCGTGCCAACTATGCGACAATTGGCGCCAATTCGCGTGAAGTGTCCAGTCGTGGGGTGGGGTTGGCTTGGAAGTTTGGTTGAGAGATGTGGAAAGATCCGAATACAAAATGGCTATAATGCGAGCTTGTTTACGTTTCAAATCGGTAAAACAATTTCGGAATGGTATGGTAAGGGATCGTGATTATACGACAGTTGTAATTTTCTGTCGCACGAGTTGGACAAACTGCGTGGGTGAAGCGACTTCTGCTTCTCGCTACTGAACATGGGTGAATGAAATCACGTCCAAGGTAGCTCGTCTCGTCACCATACTGCCAATAGGTACGGGGTCAGCCCGATCCACTCGCCTCGTCACCGCATGGCCGCCGTCGCGACACGGCGCGCAATCCGCTGATGCCTCGCGCGGCGCCCTCCTGCACGCCCTTCCGCCTGCTCGCGGTCGCCGCCCTTTCACTGCTGCACCTCCGCCTCTTCCTCGCGCGCTACTTCTCCCAGCCCCCCACGCCCTTCCGCAACTGCCCCGACACCGCCGCTGACGTCTCCGCCTTGCGCTCGGCGTTCCGCAAATGCCAGGGGGAGCTCGTGCACCGGCGCGTGGCTGCGCGGAGTGCTTATAACGATGCCTCGGCAGGCGGGGGGGATCTCGATGAGCGGTGGCTCGCCGAGAGCGCAGTCGCCGCCGTGCATCACGGCGCTGGGGGCGGCGGGGAGGGCGGCGCAGATTCTGTTTCCGCGGAGTACGCGCGGAAGCGGGACGCGCATCTGACGCGCTTGCAGGCGGACAGGCTGAGCGAGTGCGCCGCATCTGACGCGGAGTTAAAGCAATTCCTGCGCTTCTATCCGCACGCCACGTGTCCCAACGACTGGGAGCTAGCCCACCGCCTCCGCTTCACCGACCATTGCCACGTCATCCCTCCCCGCGCGTGCCTTTCCACCACCCCCCCTGACCCCGTGGAGCCCCCGCCGCATCCGGAGGCGCTCTGGACGCCGCTAGACGGGCGCAGCGTGCGGTGGGAGCGCTACGACTGCGCTGACGTGGCATGCGTCGAACGCAAGCTGGCAGCATTTGCTGCAGGCGCTGCTGCGGACGCTGCAGCTGTAGCGGCTGTAGCGCGAGCGGTCAACTCGAGCCTGGACCCCTTCCCCTGGGAGCGGCGCGAGGGGGAGGGCAAGCAGGATGAGCGGGGGAGGGGGAGGACCGGGCGGGCAGGCGGACAGAATGGGGGGGTAAGGGAGGGAGGCACGGCGAGTGGATGCAGCAGGGATGGATGGGCGGGTGGGACCGCGTGCTTCCAGTTCACGCGCCCCTCCGCCAGCAGCGCGAGCAGCGGCGGCAGCAGCGGCCGTGGAAGTTCCAGTGGCAGTAGTGGCAGTGGCAGGAGCGGGCGCAGCAGCAGCCCCATGACTCGTGCTGCGAGTGGCAGTGTGGAGGAGGCAGGCGCGTGGGAGATGTTCCACATCCGCCATCTGATGCGCCTCAAAGGGGGCGCTGTGCGCTTGGGGCTGGACCTGGCCGGCGGAACAGGGCAGTTTGCCGCCCAGATGGCGCTGCACAATGTGACCATCCTCACTGTGCAGTCCAACCTCATTGGGTACCCTGACGCCTCACAGTCGGCCTCGGGTCTCACTCCTGCGGACACTACTGCAACCAGTCGCACCAGCACCAGCAGCAGCGGTACGAGCAGTGCCAGTGGCAGCAGCAGCAGCAGCAGCAGGGTGGCGGTGCCATTTCAAGAGGCAGTGGCGTGGCGGGGTCTGGTGGCAGTGGACATGCCTCTCACAGCGCGCATTCCCTTCTTCGACGCCTCACTGGACCTCCTCCATGCCACCGGCTCCGCCGGCCCTGCCCTCCTGCACGGCGTCGACGCTCTGCCGCCCAGGGACTTCCACCTCGCACTCTTTGACTGGGACCGCGTGCTCAGGCCGGGTGGCATTCTCTGGCTGGAAGCGATAGAGCACAGTGCGGATGCGATGCCGCTGTACGAGGCTGCTCTGGAGCGGCTGGCGTATCGCGTTGTGTTTGTGAGGAAGCTGGATGCAGTGGTGGGAGGTGTGCCACACAGGCATGTGCAGAGATTGTGGGTTGTTCTGGAAAAGCCAGTTGAGCGGAGGGCTGCGGCCAGTTCGGACAGTCAGGGGAAAAAGGGGAAAATGAGCAAACAAGTGCACTCCTTTGATCCAAATGTTCTGACTTTGATGAGCTGAAGTAACTAAAGCAATCCAATTATACATACCGTATCTAATGTTCTTGAGATTGTTGAGATAATATGAAAACTTAAGCACTTCAAGGATTCGTGTAGTACAGTACAGTGCGAGACTTCGCACGTAACAGTAAAGTATCGATAGGCTGACATCAACAAAGCGCTACGCGCCCTAGGATGACGTCAGCACATAGCTATAGGCCTCGCGAATAGTTACGTACCGTTTTAGAACAGGAATAGCACAGTACAGTAGGCGAACAGGTACTTTACTCTGGCTATATATTTTGTATGTTTGTCATTTTATAATATATCTGATTTCAGAGACATTGATCCTGAAACATATCACTACATGGGCTTTTATTAAGTCCAGACAAAGCCTTCATAACTGGCTTTAACTCATACAAGACTTCCGCTACGACAGGAAGCTACCATCCTAAGTATTACGATCCTATTCAATCATCTCAAATTCTAACATGGTGTTGCGAGCGTCTTAGGATACTACAAGCTTCCAACTACATACTCTGCAACTATGCCTGGCTCTCCACGATCCAACAACGGCTCTTCTGTTACGAGCCCATCACGCCCAACAGCGTCTCCAGCTGCTGACAATTCTTATCTGCAGCAACAACATCAACAACAACAATATCAGCAACAACCGATGTATGGCATGCCACTGAGCAATCAGCCCGTACACACAACTGCAGCAGCGGCATCATCGACAGCAGCCGCAGCAACAGCAGCATCAGCAGCCACAACAGCTGCAGCTGCAGTCACTGGTTCTTCTAGTCAACCAGGACAACAGTCTAGTTTCGTACCGACTGGACCTTATCAATATCAAGATGCTTACCAGCCAAATCTTCAACAACGTGTCAATGCTGCCGTCTTGTCACTTAACCAAATGTTTCCAACTCCTATGAGCCTTGATGGCTCCAGTTATCAGCATGGGCAGATGCCACAAGGAAGCGACGGGTCGAATAACTCCTTCTCTTTCGTTCCTGCTGGACAAGGACAACAAGCACCACAAGGGTCACAGATGCCATCACTTTATCAGTTACAGTCAGCTAATGGTACCGGAAACTATCTTCCCGCTTCTGCAAACCCAACAAAAATTAAAACGACAATGCCCTTTAATGGTCAAGACTTCTATACCTGGAGTTTTGAATTCGAGCTTCTTGTTCAAACCGCGGGATTCTGGCAGTTGTTCGACGGCACAGCATCCTTTCCATCACATGGGTCACCACTCCAACAGGCCACTTTTCGATCGGCGTCGCTGACTGCATACACAGTTCTCGTTCGTAATCTGACACCGACTGAACAGCTCTGTATTCGTCCTTTTCGTACCAGTGCCGCTCCCGCTGAAGCAGCTTGGTTATACCTGCAAGGGGTTCACATGGCAAAGGACACTGTCAACCAGAGTAAAATTTTAACGAAGCTGTCAAATATACAGATGATAAACGGCGAGAAGGTGACACAGTATATTAACCGCGCTCGAAATCTGCGCGACCAGCTTCAGAAGTGTGGAGGATACTTCCCCGACGCTATGTTTCACACGGTGCTACTCGCGGGTCTTGGACCAGAATGGCGACAGTGTCGCTCCATTCTTCGGATGCAAGCACAGTTGTCCGATGGAGCACTCTGTGCCGCTCTCATTGCCGAGCAGCAGGATATGGACCTGCACAACGCTCGAGGAGGAAAAAAGGTGGTAAACAACACAGTCAGATTTTATTCTACTCCACGTCACAAGCCCGTTTGTTCCTTTTGTCGCAAAGCAGGACACACTATTGATACCTGCTGGTCGAAGGATAAACCATCTTGGAAGCGGTCTGCATCGAAACATACCAAAGATTCTTCAGGTGAAGCTGAGAAGCCGGAAGCTGCGAAGCAGAATACTGCGAAGCCAAACACTGCGAAGCCGAACTCTGCGAAGCCGACTACTACACCTGCCAAGACACAAGCAAAAGAGGTTATTAATTGCATGACGTCAGTTTCTACCGTCTACGATCCTGACGTTGAAGACCGTATTCACAGTAACTTCAACGATGAACTCTATACACCCATACCACCCGAGGTCTACGCCAACCTTGCACATACCTTGGAAGGTCCCAACACTTGGTATCTTGACAGTTGTTGCGGCCAGCATATGTGTTCATCCGAAAATCGCTTCGTCATCAATCAGCGTCGTCTTCAGAATCCATGCGTTGTAACCGTCGCCAACAATCAACGTCTTACAGCACACTGGATGGGTAACATCGTTATTGATTCTGTTGAAGAAGACTTCAGTCGTCATCTTAACGATGTACTCCTCGTTCCTCGACTTGGCTTCAATCTGATGTCATCTGCACAGCTCATGAGGAATGGAATTACTCTTATTGGCGAACCGGGCAAGCTTACTTTAAAGTATGGAGACAGGAAACTCGGCACGGCAATCGAACAAAACGGTGTATTCGTTCTCAACTTCGTACCTGAACGCACCAATGCCGACTCCGAGAATATTCTCTCTCTTGGCCCATGGGAACATCGTGATGACATCGATTACACTGATGATACCGTTCCTCGTGAAGGAGTTGTACCCACGTCTTCAACCACGGCTGCCGCTGTCATGCTGACCTTAAGGTTTGAATGACGTCCAGAACTCCCGGGATTATCTTGCTCACGTTGGTGGTTGGGGAGATACGACGGATATGCCCACTGATGAAGGCACTTGGGGGGCACAGGAACCTGACGATACCACTTGGGGAGAAACACCTGCTGATCGTGACCGACGACTTCTCACTAAAGCAGAGCAGCGTGTCGCTGACATGGAAGTCCTCGACTGCGGACGACTTGTCGGTGTTGAGCCTAAACCTGCAGCATCAGATCAAGAGAGCGGGGAGTTAGTTCTCTCTCCTGGCGAATACGTCGACGTTGAAATCAAAATTCCACCACCTAACCTTACCAGGTTCATCCCACCTGTCACAGATCATGTTCACGCTGACGGTCATCGGCTGCTGTTATCTTTCTTCGCTAACGCCGATTATTATCTGCGCGCACATGGACACAAAGCAACTACAGACACATGGCATAAGCGTCTTGGTCATCCGTCGCAGTCTACGCTCAACAACACAATCAAAGCAGCTGTTCTCGACAAGAACTCTCTTCTCTTACCTGGCAGCCTCGAAATGAAACCGGTTAATCGTCCATCACCCTGCTTGATCTGCCCAGCAGCAAATCTACCGCACGAACCGTACCCGGCTCATTTTCCTGGCGCTGAGGATTATCGATTGATGGAAAAAGTTTATAGTGATATTCTAAACTTACCTGCGGAGGGTTTCAATGGCGAGAAATATGTCATCACGTTCACTGAAGCTTCTACTCGATACGTCTGGACTGGTAACATGACTAACCGTTTTCTTGCCTTCACAGCGTTTCGAACATGGCTACCTCTCGCAGAACGCGAGTCCGACACCAAACTCAAAACCTTCCAGTGTGACGGAGCTGGGGAATATCGCAGTCTCGGGTTTACAGCGTACCTGCAAGAAACAGGCATACGGCGCCCGTTCTCACTTCCTCACGCTCACCAGCAGAGCGGTGTAGCTGAACGCCTCAATCGTACTCTGCAAGAAAAGATGCGAGCACTACTCGCACAATCTCAACTCGGCCCACTCTACTGGCCCTTCGCAATGGACCACGCAACACTGTTGCATAACCTCCTGTCTTCATCGGCTCTACCCAACAACGCATCACCTCACTTGTTGTGGACAGGAAAATTGGGCACTACGAAACTTCTTCGGGGTTTGGGGTGTGTCGTGCAATATCGTCCTCCCACCGCTCCGCTCGGAAAGTTCGATCAACGTGCTAAGTGGGGCCTTCATCTTGGCCTTGAGAAGCAGTTTTCTGCCTGGCGTATCATGGATTACCGCAGTCACTTTTTAATACCCGCCTGTGACTGTATTTTCTACGAAAATCTGACCCTTCCTGTCTTCGAACAGTATCTCGCCACGCAGCGTGACCCTGCTACACTTTTCCACGGTGTTCGTTCATTCGCCAGCGCTGACGCCGAACTCGCTGCCAGGGAAGAACCTGACCTTGACGGTGCACGTGAAGCTGCTCCTGATCCACCTATACCAACCACCTCTTTCGGATTTCCAGAATCCATTCCTCTCGTCGACGCTCATCCGGACGATGTTCGTGAAATTCATCATACTTACCTAGTGGACGATCAACGACGTCCCATGCCAGTTGTAACTGACAGCAGCATCCGCGTCGATCCTGACGAAATTGGGGGGGCAAGTGGTGTACAGAGTGAACCTGTCAATTTCGCAGGACGGACCGAATACTGTCCTAATTATCAAACTGGGCTTCAGATACTGGGACTCGCAGCAGCTGTACAGCACAATTCTACAGAAGTCGCAGAACCGAAAACTGCCCGACAGGCCCTTTCAGGACCACATCGCGAAAAATGGCGTGAAGCCATGGATCGTGAACTGGCTGCCCTGGAAAAACGGGAGACTTGGGATCTCATACCCATCGAAAAAGCCGCAAATAAAAATATTCTTACCGGAAAATGGGTCTTCAGGGTGAAGACGAAAGCTGATGGCTCTTATGAAAAGCATAAGGCAAGGTGGGTTGTTCGCGGTTTTGACCAAACTCATGGAGTAGACTACACGCTAACTTTCGCCCCGGTCAGCCGACACACAAGTGTTCGTCTCGTCATCTGCGAAGCAGCTGCGAAGAATTTTCCGCTTCGACAAATTGACGTTTCCAACGCGTTTCTATACGCTGACGTCGATGCTGAAATCTACGTCGAATATCCGCATACCTATCCGAGAAATCCGCCAAGTGTCTGCAAACTCAAGAAGTCACTGTACGGTATCAAACAAGCACCGCGACTGTGGCAGCAGCATTTGAACAGGAAACTTACAGAGGTTGGGTTCCGACAACTGCCGCATGATCCCGGAATGTATCAACTAGACGACAAGGGGAGCTACGCGTTACTCGTGGCTTACGTGGATGATATTCTCTACGTAAGTTCTTCGGCTTCCTTGGGTGATCGCGTCGAAGCAGATCTGAAGAAATCCCTCGACTTAACCGTCTCCACCGAAGTAACCCAATTTCTTGGGTTAAACATTTCGCGAACCTCCTCCGCCATCCACCTCACAGCATCGAAGTATGCTGAGTCACTCGCTAAGCGTTTCAAGATTTCTACAGATTACGTCGCTACACCGTATCAGTCTACACCCACCGGGCACATCCTAAACAACACCAAACTTTCGGCAGCTGGTCTACAACTGTACCAGCAGCAACTTGGGTGCCTTCTCTTCGCAGCAGTCACGTGTCGTCCCGACCTTGCGTACGTCGCAAGCTATCTCGCACAATTTTTACGCTGCCCAAAAAAAGAACACCATCTCGATCTTCAGTGCGCTCTACACTACTTTGTCGCAACACCAACAGTCGGGCTGATTTTCAACACAGGAAAACCAACCGACAAAATGTACCTCAGTGGATATGTTGACGCAGACCACGCTGATGACACGTCAGATCGTCGGTCACGAACAGGCTACATTTTCCGTCTCGAGCCAATTGGCCCGATCTCGTGGAACTCATCGAAATAAGAACTCGTGTCACTTTCCTCAGTTGAAGCAGAATTCATTGCTACGTGTGCTGCAACTCGAGAAGGACTATACTTACAGGAACTGCTCGACGAAGCAAAGTTCGTCACGCCGAATCAGTTTACGTTGTAGTGCGACAACCAGAGTGCGATTACCATCGCCAACAAACCCGGCTTCGTCAATCGCACGAAACATATTTCACTGCGTTGCTTCTTCGTCAAAGATGCGATCGACAAGGGGAGGATGCGCCTTGTCTACTGTCCCACTGGTGACATGGCAGCTGACGCACTTACCAAGAAACTGACACGACAGAAGTTTCACCACTGCAACCAGCTCAGCGGCAGCGGCGTTTCTGAGACAGCCGGGTAACTACACCGAACCCCTAGAAGTGAAGGGGAGTGTTGAGATAATATGAAAACTTAAGCACTTCAAGGATTCGTGTAGTACAATGCGAGACTTCGCACATAATAGTAAAGTATCGATAGGCTGACGTCAGCAAAGCGCTACGCGCCCTAGGATGACGTCAGCACGTAGCTATAGGCCTCGCGAATAGTTACGTACCGTTTCAGAACAGGAATAGCACAGTACAGTAGGCGAACAGGTACTTTACTCTAGCTATATATCTTGTATGTTTGTCATTTTATAATATATCTGATTTCAGAGACATTGATCCTGAAACATATCACTACATGGGCTTTTATTAAGTCCAGACAAAGCCTTCATAACTGGCTTTAACTCATACAAGACTTCCGCTACGACAGGAAGCTACCATCCTAAGTATTACGATCCTATTCAATCATCTCAAATTCTAACAGAGATTATTTCAGGGTGCAAGGATATTTTGCTACGCATCGTTCTCTCAGGAAATGTTACTAATGTTATATTGTCATTGCAGGTTTATTGTGGAGCATATCGAATAAATGACAGCATGAAGCACCTTATGCGGACTACACTCCACCTTGCAACATGAACAAACTGTAGTTCCACGACGACCGTCTGAAGTCGGGGTGGGGCTGTGCAGCAAGCCGAGCCTCGTGGTTCAACAATCGAACCTTTCCGAGAGTACACCATGGCAGAGGTATGCCCGACACCCAGCCAACGACCGCAGGTCGGGACAAGTGGCGCATGCTTGTGGCCACCTAAGCCTCGTGTGCTTTGTCGGCGAAGTTGCGTGGAGAACCTTCGCTTGCATGGACACCTGCGCGGTGCTGGCAGGTTTCGCTGATCACTGGCAGGTGTTGGAGGCGCTCCAAAGCACTGTAGCGTCCTGTTTTCGGTCCAACCACCCGTTGCAGGCGTTCCCAAACCCACCACCACAGCAAACTCACTCGTGGGTGGCCTCAGCATTTCGCACCTCGCCAGCTGTGAGCGATCAGACCAATCATAGAGTAGTTTCGCATTATGTTTACGCGGTTGACCGAGTGACGTGGTGCCAGCGTACATGCGCAAGTCGACAGCCAGCCAGTACCAAGCCACTGCCTATCTCTTTCCGATCCAGGTGTGCGGAGTAGGACCTAGAGGCTTTGGCTGCTGACGTGGGTTAGGTTGCGGGACAGCTTGCCCGTGACTAACTCCCCGTGGGTTCTCAGCCACAGTACCCAGCATCGCGACACGGCCAAGTCGCGGTGGAGATTTGAGCGCGGCCCGGGTGGCATGTCTTGCAGCATTGGCGAATGAGAAGTGTGAAATTCTGCTGAGTAAGCTGGGGAGGAAAGCCCAAGGAGGCATTGAACGGATGCATTGCGCTTTTTCAATTGTCCCCTCCCCTCCCTACCTCCCTCGCTCGCCTCTGCTTGGCCCTGCTGATTTTGCGCCGTGCTGCGCTGTCATCATGAGTCGAGCTGTGGTAGGCTGTGAGCAAACGACAGCAGTGTGAAGAGGATGCATGGAGGACAGTCCTTCTCCAACACACAAAAAACTTGGTGCGACTGGAGCACAACTCAACTTGGATTTATAGACCTCAGCTGAGAGCCCAGCGCTGCAAGGGTACATGAGAAAGAAGTTTCGAAGCCAATTTCACTCGCATCCAAGCAAACTCGCTCGTGCATTTAGTTCAGTGTTCCAAGTCGCTAGTAACGTCGAAAATATCTTATTTCTTCGATCGCTTCATGTCATCGCTTCAGTTCCTTGCAATGCCGTTAGATCGATCGTTCGCCAGTGCCTCTCAAAAGCCAGTTTCCGGTTCGACCTTTTCCCGCGCGCAGCCCGCCATGCTCCTTCAGCAGCTATCGCGTGACCCCGCGCAGCGGGAGGAGCAGCTCGGTGTTTTGCTCCAAGACAGCCCCGCGGGCTCCACCCTCCCCGCATGGCTCCTCGCACACACAAACCCCGCGGTCGCGGTAGCCGCTGGCGCTTTACGCGCTAGACCAGCGACGGACTGCGCACATCCGCATGCGCCACACTTCAGTGACAATCACGGCGCCCAGGTGCTGTTCCGACCGACCGCCATCCGCGCTCCTCCCAACAGCGGCGCCGACGAGGCTCGCTCGGACGAGCCTGCGCTTCGAGGGGATGTTCCCGCGCTTGCGAAGAAGAGGAGGTTCGCGCAAGTGGCGGCGGAGGACGAGGAGGTGAATAGCAGCCATCGCAAGTCGCCGCTAAGCTCGCCACCTCGGCCACCCTCAAAACGACTTGCACTCACCGAAGCCGCAGTTCCCGTCGCGTCGAGAATTCCGCCAAACGAGGAAACCTCGGGGACTCATGGCGCTTCGTTGAGCGCGCTACAGCCGGATGCTACACTCAGCCTGGCGGAGCGACTCTCCCGCTACGACCAGCTAACGGCGTCCCTCCGCTCCTCCCTCCCGCACGGCAACCTGAACAAGTGGGACGTGGCGGTGGGGCGGCTGCGGGAGCGCGTGGCGCAAAAGCCGGAGTTTGGAAGCAACGTGAACCAGTTCCTCGTGTTCCTCCACAGCCAGCTGCGCGGATCGCAACAGCCCTCCGCACGCGCCGCTCTGCACCAGTTCGCCGCGCTTATGCGCGCCAGGTGCCAGCAGAAGCAGCAGCGGTCGGAAGGTGGTAACCAGTGCGTGGTGGGGGAAAGCGGGAGTCTTGAGGGCGTGAGTGATTTAAATGGAATGTCAGTACTCGGTGCGGGCAGCAGAAGTGGCTTGAATGGTGCCGCGGAGGGAGTGGGTGCGGTAGAATGCGATAGAGGAAGTGCGGCAGAGAGGAAGATGGAACTTCAGTGGCTGCTCCGATAGACGCTCAAGATACACCGTAATTACCTCAATGCACTGTTCAGAGTTGTTAGAACAAAATGAAGCTGTTGTATTTATGATGGCTTGAAGACTGTATAGAGTTGATGTGCCAATTGTCACCAGTATCTGAGTTCGATATCCTGTGTATGTTGTTCATGAAAGTAAAGAAAGATTGACAGTTTGTCAATGTGACTAATTTTACACTAATGCCTGCTTCCTTGTGAAGTTTAAAGCCCGCGCCTAGAATGGCAAGGGTTCATAAATACTGAACTTGAAAAGGGTTGCGCGAAGGCTGACGAGAGAAAAATTCGCCTGAGGAAGTTGGCGAAGGCAGAATGCCCGAAAGTGTATCGCAACTTCAACTTCAACTTCCCGAAACTTGAACAAACAGCTTGAGCGACGGGAGTGAGAGAGCGACGGGAGTGAGAGCGTTGCGGGAGTGAGAGAGCGATGGGAGTGAGAGCGCGATGGGAGAAAGAGTTTGACGGGAGAGAGAGAACGACGGGAGTGAACGACGGGAGTGAGGGCGGGCCTTGAGTTATTGCGGACCGGCATTGAGTGCGGACTGGGATAACCTTCAGTGGCGACGAGTGATTCTCACGGTGGCGATCAATCTGAGGGTCCTGTCTTTGTTCATGGCTACGAGATCGGATTTGTTATGCGCGAAAAAGTCGCCGGGAAGTTTCATCTGTATGTGCTACTAACGTCTTAGCATAGCGCGGGGAGATGGGCGTAACTATGCTGGCTACTGACGAGAACTTGGGCTATGGAGCCCACTATACTACGAGTCTAGAAAGGTGTTCTCGAGTTTCAAGTTCCGAAAGTGTGAACAGTGGTACTTGTCCTTGCTTGTTTCTCGCGAGGCTCGTTGGTGTTTTTGCTGAGGGGCATTTGGCCAATCACCTTCTGGCCCACCAGCTCCCTTCTCGGTGAGTCGCGAGAGATCAGCTTTCTGAACCTGGTTACCCTGTTCTTGACGAACACAAGTTCAAGAATCTTGAAGTTGAACCCTTACCATTCTAGACTCGGGCTTTAACTGCCGAAGACACATCATTGCATGCAGAAGGTGCACATACATAGATGCATTCAACTCTATACAAGCACAGGCTGATAAATAGCAACCTCTTTCAAACTAGCCCTTGCCTCCTGGTCTATTCCTGCACCAGCTAGCACAGGTGCAGCTTCCCCAGATATCACCTGCCCACAGCCTTGACTCTCCTGTGCTGAACTGCTTTCCAGCATTGCGATGCTAACCTCCTCATGAATCCCACCTGAACCTGCCTCTCCATCATCCCCCCCTGTATTCACCTGCTCCATCTTCCCCCCCATTCCCTCACCTTCATGCTGCGCCTCCCCGCCACTCCCATCCCCCCTGGATTCTGCTTCAATCTCACCACCACCATCACCACCACCATCACCATCACCATCACCATCACCATCACCATCACCAGCATCAGCAGCAGCAGCATGAGGGGGGCGGGGTGCCTTGCGGGCGTGGAGCACGAGGGGGGAGAGGGCGGGGTAGAGGTCCAGTACCAGCATGTTCTGCAGCCCCACCCGCTCATCTCCCCCACCTCCTGCTGCCCCCTCCTTCCCACCTTCTGCTGCCACTGCTGCTCCTGCCACATCTCCTGCTACTGGTGCGCCCTCCTCCCCGCCTGCACCACCAGCAGCAGGAGCAGCAGGAGGAGCGAGCTCTTCGTCCCAAAGCTCATAGTTACCACTGGCAGTCTCATCGCACTGCATGCGAGCGCGCACCTCCATCGCCCACTCGTTGCCCGCCTTGAACGGCAGCGGTGACGACAGCCCCCCATGCGGGGATGACGGCAGCATCCCCTCGCCCTCCTCCCCTGGCACCACCATCGCCACCCACGGCACCTCCGCCGCCGCTGCTGCCGCTGCCGCTGCCGCCGCTGCTGCCAGTGCCAGGGCCACGGCCTCTTCGCCTGCACTCAGCAGACTCATGCCGTCCTGCATCCCCCCGTGGCTTCCCCCTCCTCCCCCCATGAGGGGCAGGCTCACCGCCCCCATGCCCTTGAACCCCAGCTTGTGCCCCACGCCCCCCTTGTGCCCGGCTTTAAACACCGTCACCGCACGCGCGGCGCGTGAAACCACCCCTCCATGCCCGCTGCTGCTGCTGCCCCCGTGGCCACGCCTGCCGTGCTGCGGGCTGCCTGCCCGCTTGCCCACGAGGCGCCGCCAGTTGCCTTTGGAGGGCCCATGGGAGTCAGCATCAGGGTCGGTGGAGTGGGCAGAAGAGGAGGAGGGTGCAGCAGTGGTGGCAGAGCGGGAGAAGATGGACTTACCCACGATGCGCGGGCTGATTAGCGCTGATGCCACTGATGCCTTGCCCCCTCCCCCTGCTGGCCCCCCGTGCCTCCTCCCACCACCACTGCCACCACCGGCACCACCAGCAGTACCAGCAGCAGCAACAGCAGCAGCAGCACCAGTTGCACCAGGGCCACCAGCAGCACCACTGCCATGAGCCGCAGCACCGCTCCCCACCCCTGGGCTGCCACCCCACCACCCCCTTTCCTTGTTCATCCTCAGCTTCCCCAGGCTGCCCGGAACCCGCCGCTTCCCTGAACCTTTGTCGAAGCTGCCCGACTTGCGGTGTTTCATCTGCCCGGCTGGCGCAGACATGGAATTGCGGGCGGCAATCAGAGGGGAGAAGCCAGGAATAGGGCGCTGGGGGGAGGCTGGGGGGAGGGCGGGTTGAGAGGGTTTGGAGGTATATTGTGAGGTGTGGTGTGCGGCGCCCACACTCATGCTACGGAATCCCCCCTGTGCTGCCGGGGCGGTCTGTGCCTGGTGCAGTTTCTGCAGCTGCTGCTGCTGCTGTCGCTGCAGGGGAGTGAGGTGAGGAGCATGGGAGGTGGCATGAGCAGGCGAGCGGGCAGGTGAGAGAGTGTGCGGGATGGCAGAGGGTGCGGTGAGCGATGGAGCAGCAGTGCGACCCTGCGCCTGCCCCTGCTGTCCCTGCTGCTGCTGTTGCTGCTGCAGGGGGGAGCGGCGGGGCGGTGTGTGCAGAGCCGACGCGGCCTGCTGGTGGTGAGGCGGGACCTGCTGCAGGTTCGCCTGTGGGGATGCGTCTCGCGGCTTCAGAGGCGACAGCTGCCGCTCATGCTGCTGCTGCTGCTGCTGCCCGCCATGCCACTGCCCCTCCGCATGCCCCTCTGCCCCACCCGCCTGCCCCGCACCCCCGTGCAGCGCCATGTGTGCCTCCCACTGCTCGCCATCACCCCACGAGCTACCCGCCTCCGACCCCGGCCCATCTGAGACCAGCGATGCCGCGCTGCCAGGGGCAGCAGCAGGGGACAGTGCCAGGCTGTGCGCGTGGGCGTTCTCGTGGGCGTGAGCGCCCTGCAGGCGGCAGGGGGTGGTCTGGTGGCGCATGAAGAGGTGGTCTGGAGACTGCTCCCACTCGCCCCCGCTGCTGCTGGGGGGGGACGACACTCCCCCCTCTGCTTCACCTGTGTCACCCACACCGGAGCCCCTGCCAGCACCGCCAGTACTGCCAGCACCACACACCGCTGCTGCAGCAGCAGGAGCATCAGGAGAAGCAGCAGCACGGCCGCCCGCAGCAGCGGAAGCAGCACTGCCACCTCCTGCGCTCGCTGCTGCTGCTGCCCCCCCTGCCGCTGCCACCATCCCTCCCCTAGTGCCTGCCCCAGCCCGTCCATTGGTAGAGCCACCACCCACCTCCCCCTCGCCTGCCCCACCACCCGCACTCGCCGTTGCTGCCGGCGCTGCACTGGCTGGGGGGGCGGGGGGGGCGGAGTGCACGTGGGGCCAGATGTAGGACGGGTGGCGCACGTGGGAGAGTGCAGGGCGCGCAGAGGCGGGCGAGCCTGAGGGGGGGCGGGGGCGCATGGGGGAGGCAGCAGCTTGAGAGGGGTGGGGCGTGGCAGGGGGGGGGCGGTGGGATGCGGAGGCAGGGGCAGGGCGGGGAGCGGAGGAGGGCGGGTGGGAGGGGGGCGAGGGGAGGGAGTCGGAGGCAGGAATGCCTGCCACAGTGCACACCGTGCGCTGCCTCTGCCTTGCTGCCGCTGCTGCTGCTGATGCTCCCGCCAACGCCAATGCTGGTGGTGCTGATGGTGGTGCGGATGCTGCTGGTGCAGATGGTGATGCTGATGATGATGTGGGGGGAGAGGGGGAGGGGGTCCTCTCACGATGAAGAGGGGACTGCCGCCGCCGCTGCTGCTGCTGCTGCTTCTGTTGCTGCGCCTGCTGCTGCTGCTGCTGCGGCTGCTGTGCCTGCTGTGGCGGCGGCCGTGGCTGCAGGAATGGCAGCTGAGGCGGGTGGACCGTTGGCTCATCCCCTACCAGGCTGCTCACCTGAAAGCCCAGACCGTCCGCAGCACGGCTCAGGTCCACACTCGCAAACCGCATGTGCCGCCTCGCACCCGCGCGGCCCCGCCCCCTGCCACCACCGCCTGGCACCGCACTCAACCGCCCGGACCCTCCGCCTTCTGATCTCACACCCTCTACGGGCGCACTGGGCGCCCCTCCAGCCTCGCCCTCCCGCCCAGCGCCTCCCCGCCCCTCCGCCCCTCCCCCCGCCGCTCCCATGACAGTTCCTACAGGGACTCCGAGAGGGGCGGCCATGGCGTCCTTATCTGCAAAGAGGCGTGCCGACAGACTGATGGAGCGCTGAAACACCATTCCCGCCTCCTCCTCGCCTTCCCCCGCCGCCGCTGCTGCTGCCCCTGATGCTCCTCCCCCTCCCCCTCCCCCTCCCCCTCTTCCTCCTTCCACGCCTGCTCCTTGCCCGCTCCTACCATCACCTGTCTGTCGGTCAACTCCCCGCCCCCGCCCCCTTCCCCCATCCTGCCCCTGACCCTGCCCCCGCCCCCGTCCCCGCCCACCTCCGCCTTCCTGCCCCCGCCCCTGCCCCTGTGGCAGCAACCGCTGCTGCAGCATGCGAGGGGCGTCTGTGGGGGGTGCAGTGGCAGCAGAGGCAGCGGCAAGGGGTGCGGCCGGAGATGCAGCAGCAGCGGCAGCGGTGGGGGAGGGCAGACGGGGCGCATGCGCAGCTGCAGGCACAGACAGCACATCTGACACTGACCCAGGTCCCCTCCCCCTCCCCCTCCCTCCTGCTCCCACCCTCCCCCCACCACTGCCACCTCTCCCAACTCCCATGGCCCCGCGCCCTCGGCCTCGCCCCCCTCCCAGCGGCACCGGGGCACCTGCGCTGCCGTCACTGCCTCCTACTGCTGCTGCTGGTCGTGCTGCTGCTGCTGCTGCTGCTGCTGCTGCTGCTGCTGCTGCTGCTGCTGCTGCTGCTGCTGCTGCTGCTGCTGCTGCTGAGGGCACTGGGCTCTGTGCGCGCTGGAAAGAGGGGACGTCGGCGGGCTGTGCCTGTGCGACTAGGGGCACAGGTGGCGGCTGTGCCTGTGGCTGTGTCTGCGTGCCCAGGAGTGCGAGCATGGACATGTGTGAGAAGTCACCTGACATGCTCCGCGCCCTCATTCCCCTTCCCCTGCCCACGCCACGCCCTGCTGCCACTGCTACTCCTGCACCCATGCCGGCACTCCTGGCGCCCATCTGCACCGCACTGCTTGCGATTGCAGAAGAGAAGGGGTCGAGGGTGCGAGGGACCGGGGGGGAGGCTGGCTGCGAATGCGACTGAAAGTTTTGCCTCAATCCGCTTGTTTCTGCAATGCTGCTGGCCATTCCCCCCATTCCCCCTCTACCCACTATCCCCAGCATGCCCCGGCTGCTGCTCTCTGCTGCTCCCCCCATGCCCACCCCCACCCCCACCCCCACCCCCACCCCCATGCCCATGCCCATGCCCATGCCCCCCAGCGCCATGCTACTCACGTCCGCCAGGCTGCCACTCCTGCCATGCCACACCATGCGGGGTGGCCTAGCCCCTACCTCCCTACCGCCCGCCATGCCTTGCAGCCTCCGCGCGTCCTGCTGCTGACGTGCCTGTACCTCTGCCTGCTGCCGTGCCTGTGCCTGTGCCTGTGCCTGTGCCTGTGCCTGTGCCTGTGCCTGCGCCTGTGCCTGCGCCTGTGCCTGTGCCTGTGCCTGCGCCTGTGCCTGTGCCTGCGTCTGTGCCTGCGTCTGTGCCTGCGCCTGTGCCTGTGCCTGCGCCTGCGCCTGTGGCTGCTGCTGCTGCTGTGGTGGCAGTGGTGGGGGTGGTGGTGGCGGCTGGTGCTGCTGCACGGGTCTCAAGCGCCCTAGATTCACTGCACCTGGACCGCTCACGCCTGTGCCCCGCGCTGCCCTCCCCAGCACCAGCACATCCACCCCTGACACTGCTGCTGCCGCCCTCACAAACTCGTCCTCCTCCTCGCCCTCTCCCCCTTTCGTCCGATCACCCCAACTGCCTCCCCCGCGCTCAGACTCCCCCTGCTGCTCCCCCTCCGCTCCGCTCCCCTTTCCCCCGCCTGCTACAACCCCCCCAGGGGTGCCATCGAGCACGCGCGGGGGGAGGGTGTGGCGGCGCTGCATTCTGCGCGAGGGGCGCGGGGGCGGGGAGGAGGCGCAGGCAGGGGGGAGCGGGGGAGCTGGCGGGGGGACAGGCGGCCTGAGAGGGCGAGAGGAGGCGGAGGAGGAGGAGGAGGAGGAGCGGGGGACAAGAGAGGGCTCGCAAGGGGAGGAGAGGTCACGGGAAGGAGAGAGGGAGGAACGTGCAGGAGGGAGGCGCTGTGATTGTAGCGGGATGGAGGCTAGGGATTGTGATAGTAGCGGGATTGAGACCTGGGATTGTGCCTGTACCGGGATTGAGGTGCGCGATCGTGACTGTGAGAGGGGTCGCTGGGTGAGGTTGTGTGTGTGAGCAGGGGAGGAAGAAGGGACGGTGCCCTCCCCAGCATTGTAGCTCTGAGAGAGTTTTAAACGGGACGGGGAAACCAGCTGCTGCTGCTGCTGCTGCTGTGATGGCGGGGGCAGCGGCGGTGGCGCGGAGGCAAGGGAGAGAGCATGGGAGGGGTGGGCGAGGGAGAGGAAGGGCAGGGACGGGCCGAACGCGGACTGGGACATGGAGCGAGATCGCCGCATGTGGTGCTGTGGGGCAGGGGGGTGGTGCTGGGGGGGAATGGTAGCCGTGGCAGCGGGTGGAACAGGGACGTGCGCGGGGGATGAGGAGGAGCGTGCGACTGCAGAGGCGGGCGAGGGGGAGTGGGCGTTGGGGGGCCAGCGGGGAGGCATGGGGGGCGCGCTTGTAGCGGCGGGTGCAGGGGGGAGTGGCGGCACTGACGCCTGCTGCTCCCCGTGCATCCATGCTCCGTGTGCTGCCATGCGCCCTCTGCTCCCCTCCTGCTCCTCCTGCTCTTCCTCCTGCTGCTCTTCCTGCTCCTGCCGCTGCTGCAGCTGCAGCTCCTGCTGCTGGTGGTGATGCTGTGACTGCTGCTGCCGCAGCCCCGCCTGCTCCTGCCACATGTTCTGCTGCAGCCGCTGCTGCACCCACTGCGGCACCCCTCCAGTTCCATCCGCGGATGTGAACGACCTCGACCGCTCCAGCACCTCCCCGCTGCCATCTGCACCCCCACCCACCGCACCACAACCAGCACCACCAGCACCGCCAGCAGCATGGGAGGGGTCCCCAGGCGATCCGCTGCTCTGGGCGCCCAGCACGTCCCCAAACGCGCCCTGGCAGAGCGACTGGGAGCGCATGATGCGCCCCTGCGCGTTCCCCCGCGCCCTCAGCAGCCCCGGGATGAGCGCCGCCGCGTCTCTCCTCAGAGGCGCCAGTGGGCGCTCCAGCGCCGCGCCCCCCTGCCCCGGGGGGCGCGCAGGCGCGTTGCCCGGGCTGCTGGAGGCGGAGGAGGGGCGGTTGAGCGTGCGGGGCGAGCTGGAGTTGGCCTTGCGGAACACCCTTCCGCCCCCTGCGCCCGCCACCCCGCCCTCCGCCCCTGCTTGGCCGCTCGGCTCCATCCACCCTTCCCTGCCCGCCATGGCGCCATCGTCTAATGCGCCCTGCCTGTGCATCTGGCGCTCCGCGCCCACCCCCGCCTGCGCCCTCTGCTGCGCCTGCTGGCGCTGGTGTGGCGGCAGGCGCATGTGGTGCATGTGGGAGAGCGAGTGGCGGTGCGCGTGGAGGGGGAAGGAGCGGCGGCGGTCAGAGGGGTGGGCGTGCGCGTGGTTGAAGAGCGGGTGCAGCGCGGAGGGGAGCGGAGGGTGCGCGGCAGTGGGGCTACTGGCGGCGCTGGCAGCGAGGGGGTGGTGGGCGCGGGGGGTGTGCGCAGGGCTGGAGGAGACAGAGGAGCAGGGGGCGTGCGGGGGGTGGTTGAGGGGGGGCCGGCTGTTGGTGAGGGAGAGAGAGCGGAGCAACGACAGGGATGCAGGCATTTGCTGCTGTTGTTGCTGTTGCTGTAGCTGCTGGTGCAGCTGCCGCTGCAGTTGCTGCAGCTGTTGCTGTTGCTGCTGCTGTTGCTGTTGCTGTTGCTGTTGCTGTTGTTGTTGCTGCTGCTGCTGCTGCTGCTGCTGCTGCTGCTGCTGCTGCTGCTGCTGCTGCTGCTGCTGCTGCTGCTGCTGCTGCTGCTGCTGCTGCTGCTGCTGCTGCTGCTGCTGCTGCTGCTGCTGTTGCTGTTGCTGTTGCTGTTGCTGTTGCTGTTGCTGTTGCTGTTGCTGTTGCTGCTGCTGTTGCCACTGCAGTTGCTGTTGTTGCTGCTGCTGCTCCTGTTGCTGTTGTTGTTGTTGTTGCTGTTGCTGTCTCTGTTGCCAGTACTGTTCTTGCTGCCCCACACCACCAACACCCCTGCCAAACTCCCCACTCATGCCGCCGCCCATGCCAGCCTCATCCACGATCCCGTCTCGCGCGCGGCCCATCCATACGCCCTCCTGCCCATGCTCCTCTCTGTACCCCTCATCCCCATTGCTCTCCTCCCTCCCCTCCTCCCTCCCCTCCTCCCTCCCCTCCTCACTCCCCTCCTCACTCCCCTCCTCACTCCCCTCACTTCCCTCCGCACTCTCCTCCGCGCCACTCTCTCCCCTCTCCTCCTCCCCATCCACACTCCTTTCCATCACCGACATACCATCCTCCCCCTCTTCCTCCTCTCCCTCCTCATCTTCCTCACCTTCCTCCTCCTCTTCTTCATCCTCCTCCTCCTCCTCGTCCCCGTCGTCCCCCTCGCGCCCCTCCCACGCGCTAGTGTCAGCATCGGAGGTGGTATAACCGCGTGCATACCCATCAGAGTGCCACATGGTCGCGCCCCTATCGTCCTCCGCGCCCCTATCATCCTCCACGTCCCCCTCGTCCCCCTCGTCCCTCGCACCCCACGCCATCTGAAAATCGACACGCGGACCCTCTAGCACCCCGAACCCACCTGAACCCCTCCCAAACGTCCCCCCATCCCGCTCTGCCTCCGCCGCTCCACCCGCCTCCGCGCGCTCCCCATCAAAGAATCCCTCCGCCCCGCGCCACTCACCCCCTCGCTGCCCATCGTCGCAGCCCGCCCCACCATGAGCCACGCCCCGTGCAAAGCTCAGCTCCCGCGCGCCTGCCGCCACCCCGTCCTCCAACCGCCCCCCCCCATGCGCCCCGCGCCAATCCCCTGCCCCTCCCCCCTCCACTCCGCCTGGCACATCCCTCCCCCCGCTCACCCCATCCCAGATCCCCCTCCCTTCCGCGGCGTGCGCGCGGGCGTCTTGCGCGGCCCAGGCGGCGGTTCTGTCGGGGCTGTCCCACCCCGCTTCGCCTCCCAGTGCGCGCCGCTGCACGGCTCCTCCGTCTAACGAGCTGTCTCGCGAGTGATCCACTAACGAGTGCTCGCTAAACGAATACTCTTCGTAGGGATGGTGGTGTTCTTCAAACGAGCGGTGCCTATGCTCATCCTCATCCTCATCCTCGTGCTCATGCTCATGCTCATCCCCAATATAAGCTGGCCCGGGTTCGCTCCTAGAATGCAGTAGCCGAGGCGGGCTTTCGCTATAGGAACACTCAGGGGGGGAGCTACAGCTAGCGTCATGGAACGCGAAGCTGTCAGCGCGTGCAGCGTCCGACAGCTCAGGTTGCATCAGCCGCTCAAACTGACGGTCAACACCGTGACGCGCATCCGCGTCAAGAGCTGGACCTGCTTGCGCCATGCCACCCCCCCTGCCCCTCCACCCGTCCATTCCTGCGCCCCTCTCCATCCCGCGTCTCTCCGCGCCCGCGCCCGCCTCTCTCTCGCCCTCCATCGCCCCCTCTATCCGCAGCACCTGTGCTCCCCCGCCCCACTCCACCACGCTTCCGCTGTCCCCACCCCCGCTCCCAGCGCCACTGCTCACGCTGCTGCCGCGGCTGCTGCGCCGCCGGCGACTCGAAGCCACTCCGCCTGCTCCCACCCGCACCTCCTCTTCCCACTGCTGCTGCTGCTGCTGCTGCTGCTGCTGCTGCTGCTGCGGCTGGTCGTAGGTGGGCGCAGCGGCAGCAGCGGCGGGGAGCGCGGGCGCGTCGGGCCAGCGCGTGGCCTTGAAGAGCTGCCAGCACGCGTTCGCCTCCGCCACTACGCGCATCACCGTGTCGGGGGACGCCGGCCGCCCGCCCTGCGCAAACACCGCCTGCGCCTTGGGGGCTGCGCGGGATGGAGACAGGGAAACGGTTGAAGATAGAGGGGGAGGGTGGGGTGGAAAGAGCATGAGGATAGGAGGGTAACGGGCGTGTGGATCGATCATGCCATGTTAATGCATGAGCTGACACGATGGCACTACGCGCACGGCGGTAGCTCCAATCGCACCCGCTATTATCCCGACCCTGGCTGACACACATGGAGCATGAAGAGGCGGTGGATCTGGAAGCGCATGACACGGCTACTGCACTGCACAAATGACTTCTGGACCACGGAGCACAGGGCACGAACGACAGACCAACTATCGCACGACACGTGGAGACATCACCGCTCCCGAGTGGGTACCTCGTCCCGGCCTCGAGCGGTAGCGCGCGAGCCATGTGCGCAAGCGATCCGTGACCCCCGGGAAAAGCGACTCCACGTCGTCCAGGCCCGTCGCGCGCCCGAACAGCGGGTCGTCCCACGCTACCACCAGAACTTTCCACGAAAGCGCCCTGGTGAGCGGGTCGACGAGCCCAAACGCGCCGATGGGTCGCACCTCGTACACGTCGCCCACCTGTCGCACGCCGAACCCTAATTCGATCGCATCGAGCGGCTGGTTGTCGTTCGACAAGCCGGCAACTTCCGATGGAAATTCCTCGTTTGCTAGGGTCTGCGGCAGCAAGCCGAAATGCCATGGAGATGGCTCTGACAAGCGCGAGAGGTTTCTGTTAACGAGGCGAGACTTTAACGGGCTGAGACGTTCGGTTAACGAAATGGCCATGTCGTACGTGGAGCCACGTGGACAGAGGCAGACGAAGTGGAAACTGGCGGAAGAGGAGAATAGGGGCACGTCGTGCAGCGGAGACACCTCCGCACCCCACGCGTTCTTGAGAATGCATGTGTACAGTAGGTCCCCGGGATTGCCGATAGGCACCGGCATGAACTGACGGGACCGGAAACGAGGCTGCGCGTCCCTCTCCATTCTGTCCGTACGCTTCGTCAGAATATGTGCTTACGGTTGGCTGGTGACGGGTCAGCCACCCAGTCTTTCAAATAATTCACGCATTGCCTCAGATCGAAGAAGCAAAGCTCGCTTATTTTCGTGAATATGTAGCACATAACTTATTAGTTAGTGAAGAGATCCCTGAGGGCTAATGATTAGCAGGTCCTTGGTCAGAATACCTAAGTTGATGACAGTGGCCGCGCAGAAACCCTAATTTACTCCAGGACGAAATGGATGGGATGGGAATGCGGGAGTGGTGTGCCGGAGATGTTGCAGGGGACGTGACTGGCGGGAAAACGGAACAAACCCGCCACCCGACAGTTGACGGTGGCACTCTGCAGTAACGGGCAGCACACGAATTGTCCACCACAGTGCGTGGCAGACCCCCAGCCAACCAGGCCCAGCGCGGGGCAGCAGAAACGAGGCAACAGTGAGCATTCAACATGAAAGTGCTTGCATGTCTTCAAACAAAAAACGTGACAAACCGTCCGTACAGGCACAGGGGCATTCCATATCTCTATAGCGTTTACCATTTTTACCTTAGAAGTGTACATTATTCAGATTCAATCCACCACAGCCCCTCCGTCCCTCGTTCCCACCTGCGCGCATGGCGGGAGGACCTGCCCGCGCCAGCATCACCTCACCTGCGCACTCTCTTGGTCTTCCGCAAATCTCGAGGGAAATTGGTGCTGATTCTGCCCCATCTCATGTCCATTCACCACCTCGCGAGCTCGCGTAACCGAGGAAAATTGTCTTCGCATCCGAGATATGCGAATGCTAGTAGGCTCAAATGTTACCATGTAGCCTCGCAAGGGTGTCAATCTGCACAGCTCCTCGAAGAAACCTTCACTTCTCTCTGCTCAACCACAACCACCACATTTTTCCAGGCGCATCTATGAAAGTTTAGACTAGGAGGTTCCGACAATTATCCATAGGCCGTCGTTATTCCCCCAACATCGCTCGCTTACAGCAACCGACATGTTTAACTTCGGAAAGCCCTCGTATGCGCAACTAGGCGTGGAGGCGGCGCGCAAGCCGCAAGGGGATTCATGGGCGCGCGCGGAGGGCGATGTGGACAGCAATGGCGGCGCGAGCCAGGGCAAGGCGCCGGAGTCGTTCGCGGGGACGAGCTCCAACATGAGCGCTGAGAGCGGCCGCGTCCAGGTGCGCTTATCCGTTCACCTCCGCTACTCGTTTATCGAAATGCGGTCAAATCCTGTGATTTTCCCGTTGCCTAACAAGATCTAATCTTCCCTCGTCGGTCCACATGGCTCCGCGTCCCCCGCCCGTTCTCACCCTCAGGTACCCATCGGCACGGTGTCCGAATCGCACAAGATGCCCGTCGCGCAGGCACTCGCGCTGCTCGCGTTCACGGCCGTCAATGTCGCCGCGCTCGTCGCCATCTTCTGGCTCGCGCTCTCGCTCGAGGGCACGGAGCGCATCCTCGTTATAGCGCTCCTCGGCGGCGGATGGCTGGCGCTGCTGCTGTTCAACGTGCGCATGGCGGGGCGGCCGCGGCGCGTGATCCAACGGTTCCTGCACGCGAAGAGCAAGACGCGGTTGGGGCGGCGGCTGGGGCGCGGGCAGACCGTGGTGGTGCGCGGCGCCGTGTCGCTGCTGCACGAGGAGCTGCTCTCCACCGAGTTCCACAACGTGCCTGTGAGTACCGCTCTGTACGCGATATAAGGCGGCGAATTCAGCTCCGGCGTGTTCATAAGGCATGCCTTGCTCTCGCTTTTTTAGCCCCCATCGCTCCCGACCCTCCCCCTCCCCCCCTCTCTTCTCATTTTCGCGCTCGTCTTTCTAACCGACACACGCGCACGCTCATCCCCACCTGCCCGCGTGCACTCGGCGACGGCAGGGGCTGGTGCTGGTGGAGAGCAGCCTGCGGTCATACTACCCGGGGCTGCGCAAGGCGGACGCGTCTAGAATTCAACTCCGGCGTACTCATAAGACCGTCTTTTGTCATGCCTTGCTCTCGCTTTTTCAGCCCCCCTTTCCCTCGCCCGTTTCCCTCGCCTTCCCCTTCTAAATCCTGCGCTCGCTTTTCTAACCGACGCACGCGCACTCTCACCCCCCCCCCCCCCACCCGCGCGCGCATCCGGCGACTGCAGGGGCTGGTGCTGGTGGAGAGCAGCCTGCGGTCGTACTACCCGGGGCTGCGCAAGGCGGACGCGTGGACGGAGCACGTGCGGCAGACGCGCGCTGTGGACTTCCGGATCACGGACGGGCAGACGGGCATGAGCGCCATCGTCAAGGCCTTCCACGCCGCCGAGACCGGCGTCGCCACGCCCCTCGTGCACATCTCCACCGAGGTACCGCTCTCCACCGAGGACTCCCCCCCGTCCACGGGGGCCGCGGCGGGCGGGGAGGGGGGCGCGAGTGCGGAGGAGGAGCGGAAGAAGCGGCGCAAGGCGCTGTCGCCGCAGCTGATGGTGTGCAAGGGGTACATCCGCGCAGGGCAGACCATCACTGTGATGGGCGTGCTGACAGAGGAGCCCGGCACGCATGAGCTGCTCGTCCAGCCCATGCCGCAGCCCCACAATATTGCCAAGCTGCTGCTGTTCCGCGGCTTCATCCCCTTCTTCTTCCCCACCTGGGCCTCGGGACTTGTTATCTCGGACCAACGTGACGTGGCGTGATGTGGGAGGGTCTCGTGTGGCACGGCATTATGGTGTCGTGGTGATGTGGCTTAAGGGTCGTGCGCAGGAGGGACGAACACTTGGGATGGAGCGTTGTTGGTGACAGATGTTGTGTGTTGTGAGATCATGCTGGTGGATGGAGGCCCGCTGGTCATGATCACACAGCAGTGCTGCATGACTGCGAAGCTTTGTATCGTGCAATACCCTTCACGGTACTCCTATTGTAGAGCAGTAGTGTTCTATGGGGGATTGTAACAGCTTTCATTTGTTAGAGGTGTCTACTATACCTGTACACTAGAGGTACTGCCTTGCTGGATACGGTAATGCACCCTTTTCTTGGAAATTTATTAGGGGGTTTGGCCGTGCCTCTTTAATTTTCTCCATACAAAATATCTGGGATGCGGAACTTGGTGCTTCTGAATATTACAAAAATGAATCATTTACAAATCACTTGGCCATATTACAGCTGGACGTCCAAGGCCGTTAAGAGGGTCATTTGTTGTGGCAAAGCAATACCGTGGGCACCTTCTACGTTACTCTCGCCCCACCTTCCGCGCCACAGGAAATTGTTAAATCAATGTTTGCTTGTGCCGAGGGATGGGGAGGTTTAGATTGCGGGTGCTGGGGCGGATGGCGAGATGCTTGGATGAACAGCCTGCTGCATGTTCTTCTACCGAGGAAGAGGGAAGGGAAGCGGCGAGCTCACAACTGAGCGCATCGCGCCTCGTCCCATCGTCGTTTCATTGTCGTGCTACATCACGACGCCTCGCCCCGCACTACGAGCGCTGCAGCTGCGCGCATCCCTGCAGCAGCGTCTGAATTGCGTCTACCAGCTGTTGCCGCTGCTGCTGCCAAAACTCCTCCGTCTGCCCGCCCTGCGCCTCCTCCCCCGTCCCGCTCCCCACCACCTGCTCCTGCCCCCGCTCCTCCGTACCCGTCTCCTGCGCTGACTGCCACGTGTCCAGCGCTGTCGCCAGCGACGCGAAGCTGTCCACCCGGCGCCGCTTCGAACCGACAACTGGATCGGCCGCGTGAGAGGCGGCGAGCGGGCCGCTTGCGCAATCTTGCGACGCGGCCCATGGATCGGCGGCGCGGAGCGAGGAGGTGCAAGCCGTGTCGTCGTCGTGATCGGCGGGCAAATCGCAGCTGCCGACGCTGCTGCAGGGAGACAAGGGCTCTTCCGCCGGCGCGGGTTCCTCCGCTGCGCTTGATTTCCACGCGCCCGCCGCGCCATGTCCCACGCCGTTGAGCAGAAGCACGAGGCCCAGCGCTGCTAACCGGCGGCTCACAGGCGCGGAGCTCAGCAGGCCCTGCAGCAGCACCTCCGTCTCCGCGTCGCCCCGCTCCCCGCGCGCTAATGCGCTGCGTCTCCGCACCGGGGGGCTGGGGGCAGTACCTTCCGTGGGGAAATGAGCGCTCGTTGGCGATGCGACGTGAACTGGCGTAGTTGGTTTGGGGAAGGATGGTTGTGCGGAGGGCGGGGACTGCGGGGAGAAGAACGCGGGGATGGAGGTGGGGGAGGGGGAGCGAAGTCTGGAGGAGGGCTCGAGGATGGGAAGCGCGGAAGGCTCGTGGGCGGAAGAGACGGGGCGCCACAAGTCCTGGGAGGCTGCGGCTGGGCTGCATGTGGGGGCGACGGGATGCGCCGTCTTGCGCCGAGTGGGTGGTCGCTGATCGTCCGCTTGACATGCAGCGTCGAGCGTGCGGGCCGTCCGCGCATTCCAGTCCGCCGGCACTTGCTCGGCCCTGGCTGCATGCTTCAACGACTCCATCCAGTCCCAGCTAAACGCCGCCATGGAATCTAACTCGATAGACTTAGGGTGTTGGTTGAGATCGTAAAATGTACTCTGGGGAAGCTGCTATACCGGTGAAACTAGAAGTACTTCGACCTGATCGATAGTCATGCAGAACAGAAGCACGTCGATCGAATCTGCACTTGGAGAAACTAGACGGCGCCGAAGTAGTCAATGGCATGACACGAGACAGTGGGATGGTTTGGTCGCGGTGATGGGAATGGCTTTCTCATCAGAACAGTGGTGTGATGGGGTGGGGCGGATGGAGCAACGAGGAAGGCCCTGTGTGACGTGGGCCAAGGCCTCGTTGCGGGCATGAAGCAGGACAAAGCGAGCGTAGCCCCCCCCGACCGATTCACCCCAGGCCAGCTCTCTTCTCTTCCTCACCATTGGTCCGCATTGCTGTGCGGGCGACTCGGGTCGGGTGGCGGTGCGACTTTTGCGGGGTATGTCTGCTTGTTCTGATACAGTATGAGAAAAACTGCAACAGAAGCAAAATCTG